ATAGTAAACGGAGGCAAGCTGTTAACCGAGCAATTTGTTTCTTCTTCATACTCTTTTGCAGGATGGGGTATTCGTCTCTAGTCGACATTTTACGAATATTGCGAACAAGGACAAGCACCCAGACGGAACAATTAACACTAGTTCATACAAATACTTGTCCTTGGAGAGAATAAAACGACCCACGCCGTACTTACCAATCGTTAAATCATCACCTATTCCTTATTATTCCTCAAAATGTGATAACGAAAACAGTATCATAATTTACGTAATATTAACGAAAGTGAGATTTGCTTCTTACCTTTGCTCGAAAAAATCGAGCAAGCTCGTTTTCAGTGCATTTAAAACATTTTTTACGGTGGTAGGGCCACGCAGCAGCTTCGGCTGTTGCACGAATGGGCAGGCCCGTCCGGGTAAGTACCACGACCTCACAGAAGATCAGCGTAAAGTGGAAGTATGACAAATACTTTCGCGTTTCGTCTGGTGAGTGAGGTAGCCGGAGCCCAACTTTCAAAAGGTTGTCAACGCATCTGTAACCCTCGGGTGTGGCAGATGTCCATGGGCGGTGGTATTCACTTAACATCAGGTGAACCCTCTGCTCGTTTGACAACTTTTCGCATAAAAAAAAAATTAAAACAAAAAAAAAAGGGTTGGTTATTTGAAGTCGAACTTTCTCGCTATACATGTTCTATTTGATTTTGGGACGTTCCCTCATTCCCAAGGTACAGTACAGTACCTGTTTCGTAAACGGAACAAAAAAAGAAGTTTGACATAAAAAATATGTCACTATACAGTCGAACATAGAACCTCTTTTGAAGTCAGTTAAAAGTGGTTGACATTCACACCGTTACGTAGAGAATCGTTGAATTGCAGCATCGAAATTACATTTATGCAGATATTATTGATGCATTGACATTTCGAAACGATGTTGCCGTGTTTTTCCCCGTACACTTTCTGTCCACTAACCGCTTGTTTACAATACATTCGTTGGAACATCCTAGACGCTTCACGTTCCCATAAATATATGGACACATTTATGTATCAATGCATGTATACATGTTTTCATATGTTCGATAGCTGACGGTTCACCTGATGTTAAGTGATACCCACCGGTCATGGACATTTTCAACACCTGTAGGGTTGCAGACGCATTGCAACCTTTTAATAAAGTGGGCTCCGGGTACCTCACTCACTAGACGAAATGCACTTCTGCGTCAGACGCTCTAGCCACTAAGCTAAACGGGTGATTGCCACAAAGAGCGTCAGGGCACGAATCGGGATTATGTGGGTTCGATCGTTCCTCTTTTCTACAAATTTTAATGTTTAATTTTAAGTGCAGAGGTTAGCACTATAAAAATAATATTAGGAACTAGTTGCCACCTACAAAATTTTAGCATAGTACCGTCAGCCACCGAATGGTAATATGAAGTAAAAAAGTAAAGTATCAGCCTATACGTGTCCCACTGCTGGGCAAAGGCCTCCTATGTACAGGTGGTATCAGGGTATAGTTTATCACGCGGCCCCACTGCGGATTGGCGGACTTCACATATCTTTGAAATAATTTTTTTTAATTATTATTATGAAAATATGCAGCATTCCTCACGATGTTTTACTTCACCGCCGAGAACGTGATAATTCGGCACTTAAAATTAGCAATATCGTTGGTGCCGGCACCGAAGATCGAACTCAGGTGGCTCGAGTATCAATCACTAGTGTGTACACATAGTATAAAACAAAATCGTCCCGCTGTCTGTCTGTCCATATGTATGCTTGGGTCTTTAAAACTACGCAACGGATCTTGATGCGGTTTTTTTACTAGATAGGGTGATTCAAGAGGAAAGCTTAATGTATTATTACATTAAACTTTCCTCTTGAATCCAAATATGTATAATACATTGCACCCGTGCGAATCCGGGGCGGGTCGCTAGTATTCAATAAAAGCGAGCACCCGGTCGCTGAGCTATCACGGTAATATAATTACGTGCAAATAAGTATTTATCACTTAAAGGTAGCCTATGTTGAAGAATAATGTCTTTCACGTTTCTATAATAATAAATCATTTTTAAACGAAAGTTTTCTTATGAAAACGTTAACTTTATTACGCTTTTTTTAAGATTTAAAATGTGTCTGAATCAATAAGTTCGATGAACAATTACGAGAAATATAGCGTAATGTAAAGAGATTATACAATCGAGTAATTAACAATTGGCGTCAAAAATTGCCCATAAATCGAAAGCTTAATGGCTGGACAGCCTCGTACAGCCTCGGCGCCCTCTTTACGACCGATAATAATAACAATCGGAATGTCAAGAGAGGCACATAATCAACAATTAAGCATTTATCTCCACATAGGGCTGCCTATTAATTATTTAGGCGAACATAACTGTAACAAGATTTAAATAAATGAAAATTCTTTTCATACACCGCGTCCTTGCCACCATTTTCGCAGAGAACGCTCGATCAACTCTTTATTGTTCAACTAGTGACCCGCCCCGGCTTCGCATGGGTGCAATGTGTTATACATATAAGCCTTCCTCTTAAACCACTCTATCTAGTAATAAAACCGCATCGAGATCCGTTGAGTAGTTTTCAAGATCTAAGCTTAAATAGGGACGGACAGCTTTGTTTTATACTATGTAGTGATTATTAATAATTGAAAATGTTATTCATCATCATCGTCATCCTGCCCTTATCCCAGCTACGTGGGGATCATTTTGTTAATGGTTTTGAATAGTTTTTTTTTAAACCAGCCACCTGCCCGACGTCAACCCTCCTTAAGATCACACGCCCAGACCCGGGACACCATTTGTGGGTCACACAAACACTTGTCCCGAGTGGATCGAACCCACGACCTCCGGAGCCGATAGGAGTCATAAATACTTATTGAGGAATGTAAATAAAACATCGCGTTAAATATAACACCATCTGTCCCGTGAATGTGCACGCTGTAACGTATAGTCCGGAATTTTAAACCTAACACAAAATACCAATTTTTATCATCTTCCAGACCAGACTATTCACAATTGCTTACTTTTCATATTACCATTTTTTAGGGTTCCACACCCAAAGAGTAAAACGGCCTATTACTAAGACTACGCTGTCTGTCTGTCCGTCTGTTACCAGAGTGTATACATGAACCGTGATAGTTAGGCAGTTGAAATTTTTACAGATGACGTATTTTTGTTGCCGCTATAACTAAAAAACAGAATTTAACAATATTTAAGCGGGGCCCATTCAATAGACATGACTTTTTTTCAGTTTTTATAGACTAGTACAGAACCCTTTGTGCGCGATTCCGACTCGCACTTGGTGGGTTGTTTCGCTTTCTTTTCTTTTTACAGAGATTATTTGTGTTGAAGGCTCTTCTCTGATCCCTGTATAATCCGTATATACATCTCCGTTCCAGTCACTGCATCCGGTACACGTCACCACTAAACGGGCGAGCCAGTATGAATATTAATCTCGACTCGTGTACTCCGTTTTTTCGCTTGAATACCTCACAAGTATCTGGCTATTGATTGGGTCGTCATCCGCTTGACGGCGTGTAGTAATCATAATCAACACGGCCTCAGATCTCAGCCTCAATTCGTTTTGCATTTAGTCATGCAGACTATGTGAGCTATATCTTATCAACAGTAACGGTTATTTTTTGTATTTAAGAAGATGGCAAGGGATCTGGCGGTTCGCGTTAAATGATAACTGTCACCCATGGAAATTTGTTACACCCGTAGGGGTGCACATGCGTTGCCAGCTTTTAATGAAGTGCACCCCGGCTACCTCACTCACCAGAACTAGCAGAAATACAACACATCCACTTCCGGTCTTCTGTGAGGTCGCGACACTTAACAGGACGGACCTGCCCATTCGTTCAACAGAGAAAACTGTTGCGTGGCCCTACCACAGCTAACACTAACTGTTAACAGTCTATATGTAACGTATATGTATAAAACATATACATTCTTTACATCTCCGTCGTTCAATTCCAATTGCGTAACTCCTTAAAATTCATTATTCGTCGCATTCGCGCGGTTCGACACGGATGCTCTTACATCTAGCTCGATTGACAAATACCTTGTATTAGATATATGAACTTTATATTCAATTTATACATACGACTGTATAACGTATTAGAACGTATGCTACGGTTGCAGATATTAAAATAATCATCTATTGATTGGAAATGTAATCCAATATTTAGGAGATGAATGCGATATTTTGAATTTCTTAATGTAATGGAATTAAGAATCGTCTTAATGTAATGAAATTAAGTCGTTGATGGTTTACTGTTAACTACGGCATCAAACATGAACAGTACCGAAAAACTTGGAATTGTAAAAACTTTAAACGAGAAGTACCGGAAATAAGTGTAAAAAAAGAATAAGTAAAACATTACTCTTCACTCAAAATTTCATTTCAAAACATAGTGGCGAGTATCTGGTGATAGCAATCCACAAGCTTCCGTTTTAAGTCCATAAAAGTAACAGCCTATACATGTCCCACTGTTGGGCAAAGGTCTCCTCTATACAGAGGGTATCAGGGCATAGTCCACACGCGGCCCCACTGCGGATTGAACTTCCATATCTTCGGTTACCTCATAACTGACATAACCAACAGAGTGAACCGATTTTGATGATTCTTTTTTTTTTGAAAGCTGATGCTTCCCATGTGGTCCCATGTTAATTTCATTGGTATTGGATATTGGACTCTGGAGATACTTAGGAGAACTTCTGAAAATCAATTATAAAATGAAAACAGAGCGAGATATATGAAGACGATTTTGTTTTTTGTTAGTAAAAAATGGTTATTATAATTTGTAAATATTTGTACATAGATGAACAAACACTTTCAAAAATCAAAAACAAAAACAAGACTTCTGGTTTCGCGTCCAGACGCTTTACAAACTAAGTTAAGCAGCCGATGCCCACGGCCAGAAAATCACAAGATCTGTCTACTTATTCAACACAACTAACGTAGTCATCCATTTTGTTACAGAATAAACGAAAATGTTCCAAGGAGGCATCTGGTCCAAGCTTCAGGGCTACTACAAATGGTACGTGCTCGGTTTGGTGTCCGTCGGCTACATCCTAGGAGAGCTCGGGCACTACCTCATAGGTAAGTGGAGACGCTTTTTGATGCTATAAAATCAACGTATTAACAAATCTGTAGCAACTTGTACAACCTTCTGTTTTACTGATACTTTTGACGATAGCATCAATAGTGTCTGGCACTAGAAAACGTTATGTTCATCCCACAATATTTTCCTATTAGTGAGCATCGAACCTCCCTCTTGCGCAAGAGACAGGGTTCACTATCCACTACGCCAATTGGGAATTCTTGGACTACTTTGGAATTCTCTTAGGATATACCGGACCCACCGCCGGGGGTCCCGCCGGATAACACTACACCCACAGTTAGTGTAACAACAATCACACCAGTTCGCCCTCGCCTCCGAGCACGGCGAGACCCACACAACGCGTACACAAGGTACACCCGCGTTCCGGGGCGGTTCTCACCGCTCCCAGCCACCGATTAGCTAAATGCACAGTCGACGGCCATCGGGGTCTCGGTCCGAACCGGCGACCTCGACGGCCCTTAGATGACACACCATAGTAGTTAAACGCACGCATGAGCACATGCGCGACCCTACCCATAGCGGAGGGTCCAAACCCGTGGGTTCTGGCTAGCCCACCGGTTCTGCGTCCGATGAAGCTTTAATAGTCTCGGGACTGAAAGCAAAAACATCAGTTAATACAAGATACAAGATCATTGATATCATAAGCAGGTAAATTTTGTTTCTTTAATGTTTCGTTAACTCTCTATAAAACTGATAGGTTATATAAGGATTTGCCGTCATGCGATTTCGGGACGACGTAGCTAGTAGTGGAATAAAGCGATGTCCATTACTGTCACCTGATCCGACCCAGCAAAGCTTTTTAATTTGCGAAGGTGGCAAGAGAGCTGAAGCTTCACCTGATCCTAAGTGATAGCTACCACCCATGGACATTTGCAACACCCGTAGTGTTGCAGATGCTTTACCACCTTTGGGCTCCGGCTAACTCTTACTCACCAGACGAAACGCAAAAGTATACACTTCCACTTCACGCCGGACCTCCGTGAGGTACCTACCCGGTAACTACCCAGTACCTACCCGGCACCTACCCGGCACCTACCCGGACGGAGCTGCACGTTCGTGCAACAGCGGAAACTGTTGCGTGACCCTACCTTTTGGAACTCTTCGCAATTCCCAAATGTCCAGTGGTCGTGGTAATCAGTTCCGATCAGGAGAGCCTCATCTGCTACCTTATCCCAAAAAACCCTTACAACTTTGGCTAGAGTGCACGTAAAAGAAGCACTAGTAACAAAAACTTGTTGGTCCAAAACCAGATACTTAACTATCTTTAAACTTTCGCTTTCTATGAAAACCCGTAAGCAAACTTTTTGTTTTAAAGGAAAACCTAATTTCAGTGTTAGCGGCCTGCACAAGGTAATTTCTGTGCAGAAAAAGTACTATTACAATAAATGTTACGTCTAAAAAAGGAAAAGTAACAGACAAAGTGTGACAAAGGGTATTATTAGGGTAATGTACAGAGGGTATTAGGGCATAGTAAACCCGATTGCCAGTACACCATGTAACCCGTTTGCAGATAGGCGGACTTTTCATATCTTTAAAATTTAATTTTTTATTATAAATCACCAATTAAAATTGCATTTAACAATTTCGTTGGCAACGGGATTTGAAGTCAGGTTGCTCCAGTAAATTGAATTAAAAGCGAGTAAGCGAACACTGAGCTTTCAAAGCTTTTCTTACTGACATCTAACAATATCCAAATACTAATGTACCGAAGATCCACGCAAAAGAACACCGATTCCTTCCAAGGATGATCCGCGAGGCTATTGAAACAAAGAAACATCCTAATTTCAATAGAGAAGATGGTTGGAGTTTATCATCTGCTTGGGATCCCCTTATTTATAAAATAATTTATAAAATTAAATCCAAGCACACCAACACTGCCAGACCTCAAGATACCATAAGCTCCTACTGCGTGGATCGGAATAAAAATAAACAAAATAATTGACGGTAGCCGGGGTTAACTATGACATCAAGACGTCTAACAACTTAGTCTGTCCCGTGACCATGAACGCTGGAAAGGGTTCGAAACGTCGGGAGTTCAAATCAAAATAAAAAACGCGATAAAATCCGTAAACTAGTTTCATTTAATATACTAATGAAGACTTAATAGTCTGCAGCCTTAATACAGCGCTTCTTCGATTTACATTTTAATGTGGATTCATAAAATGGTTCAATTAAAAAAAAAAAATAAAACATATATCGGGACATATTTTACACAACGCTATCTACTCCCTAACTGAGCAAAACTTGTACTATAGGTAATAGGTAACTGAGAAACATACTTAAACGTAGTTTTCTTTCGTAAATAATTACATATTAAACGGTTTTATTTAGCTCGACACGTACGGAATTTATTTGTTTATTTGGGTCAAAATTAGAAATTGAAATTTAAGCACCTTCCCGTTGTCAGATTGATCTGAAATTTGGTACACACATTTAATTTAGATATTGTAGTTTTCAGTGCAGAAAAAAAACAGAAAATAAAACCGTTTAACTTAAAAGTTTTTAAACGGTTTTATTATAGATATATAAACGCCCAGACACTAGAAAACGTTATGTTCATCCCACAATATTTTCCTTTAGTGAGCATTGAACCCACACCCTCTTGCGCAAGAGACAGGGTCACTATCCACTACGCCAATTGGGAATTCTTGGACTACTTTGGAATTCTCTTAAGGGTATACCGGACCCACCGCCGGGGGTCCCGCCGGATAACACTACACCCACAGTTAGTGTAACAACAATCACACCAGTTCGCCCTCGCCTCCGAGCACGGCGAGACCAACACAACGCGTACACAAGGTACACCCGCGTTCCAGGGCGGTTCTCACCGCCCCCAGCCACCGATTAGCTAAAAACACAGTCGACGGCCATCGGGGTCTCGGTCCGCACCGCAACTTCGATGGCTCTTAGATGACATGTCGTAGTTAAACGCACGCATGAGCACATGCGCGGCCCTACCCACAGCGGAGGGCCCAAACCCGTGGGTTCTGGCTAGCCCACCGGTTCTGCGTCAGATGAAGCATTTAGTAATATCGGGACATGAAGAATTTAGTAGTATCGGGACTGAAAGCAAAAACATCAGTTAATACAAGACAAGTCTTAGGATATAGAAATAGCCGCACGAAAACCTCATTAGTTACGCGCGTACTTACTGGCACCGTGCCTCGCTCACTATTAAAAAGGAGAAAAAAAAAACGCTCGGTTTTTTACCGACGCCAGTTAACACTTCGCGTTCAAGGTCAGTGTCAGGGCCGTCGGTAGCAGATAATGAATGTGAGACAATTGCTCGATACATTAAGAGTAAATGAATTCGATAGGATCTGTGACGTGTAATTTCCGAAGGCTCTTAAAGGAACTATTAAATTATTTAAAAAACCGGCCAAGTACCAGTCGAACTCGCGCACTTGGGTTCCGTACCATTAACTTATGAAAGACAAATAAATCAAACTCTGCATAATATTACTGAATGGATGATTAGAACTAATTTAAATTTAAACATTAGTAAAACCAACATTATTCAATTTCAAACATACAACAGTAACCATATATCTATAAATGTTACAAATAATAATAATGCTGCTAGAAAAAGTAGAATCAACAAAGTTTTTGGGCATAACGATCGACAAATATTGAAGCTGGAAGATACATATCGATAAAATTTGTTCCAAGTTAGAAAGTTACGTATACGTGTTAAACCGATTAAAACAAATTGCGACAGCAAGCGCTGCTCTTTGTGCCTATCAGGGATATGTTCCCTTCATTTTGCGTGATGGAATAATTATATAGGGTAATTCGGTCGCCAATTTGTGTAATTAGATTGCAAATTTATGGACCGCTATCTCTTTCCGTATCATACGTTCTATATGACCTGTCACATTCACTTGCATATGTCATATAATGTAAAGCTGAACACTTTTTTAACGCCGCGCACTATGGACACGGGTCATCTTTATTAAAACAGCATACGGTAAAAATCGATACTATGTATTAAACTAAGTGATACCGTTAGATATAATATTCTATTGCAAAAATGCGGGGTCAAGAGCCTAGGTGGCAAAAAGCATAGATCCGCCATTTTTATGCATAAATATTTCCACGGCTTAATGAACTACACGAGTTTCGTAACAATAAGGAAATTGATAATAAAGACAATTTCCTGGTAGGACCGGTTTTTCGTATATCAGATCAGGCATCAGAGACGCCAAGTCCCGTTTTGCATACACATATCGCAATGTGGTAAACGCTGATTATATTATAATACTCCCACACCCAACCCTCTCACTGATCTATTAAGGAAGCAAACTGCGTCAATATCTCCATTCGAAGGCAACGCAGAAAATATAGATTACTAGCTGACTCGGCAAACGTTGTTTTTCCATATAAATTATTTCTAGAGTAATCGGAACGCGTTCAAAAATCGTTTGACCGGTTACACAGACATAGTTGACACGTTGACATGTTTGTATGGGAAAATAAAATTGTTGCTATTTCGATTTTCCATGCAATTTTTCCATAATTTCTCACCGTTTAAACCTTCCCTGGACTGCCACAAATATTTCAAACCAAAATTAGCCAAATCGGTCCAGCCGTTCTCGAGTTTTAGCGAGACTAACGAACAGCAATCCATTTTTATTTATAAGGAGATTAAGATTAGTTTGTCATCTTAATAATCTATATTTAGCGATAACTTCGATTATTGTACTGGACAGTACATGCTTAGTATTTCTACATTCAATCGCATTTAGGCAGAATGGAATACAATAGAAAAACAGACGCCATTCATATATTATTTTAGTTACACTTATATCTAGTTAGCCAACCCGCAGTGGGGCCGCGTGGTGGACTATGCCCTGATACCCTCTCTATGAGGAGGCCTTTGCCCAGCAGTGGGACATGTATAGGCTGTTACTTTACTTTACTTATATCTAGTTAATTAAAATGAAACTTAAACTCAAAGTTTAGTCTTTAATTCCTGTGGAAGGAGATAGAGAGCTTCTGCTGACTTCGCTAATGAACCATAGCGGACTGCTACCGCCATGATCTTCCGCCCTCAGCAACAACCAGATGGATTTTAGTGGATGGATGGATATCTGTGCACAAATGTGTGATTTCTTTACGAAAATAACATGAAAAATTTAAGCTCGATATTGCTTCCTTTACAATGCTTAACGGTGGTAGGGCCACGCAACAGCCTCGGCTGTTGCACGAATGGGCCGGCCCGTCCGGGTAAGTACCACAACCTCACAGAAGACCGGCGTAAAGTGGGAGTATGACAAATGCTTTCGCGTTTCGTTTGGTGAGTGAGGTGGCCGGAGCCCAATTTTCAAAAGGTTGTCAACGCATCTGCAAACCCTCGGGTGTAGCAGATGTCCATGGGCGGCGGTATTCACTTAACATCAGGTGAAACCGTCTGCTCGTTTGACAACTTATCGCATAAAAAATTTAAAAAAAAAAACAATTAGTTAATGTACATATGTTTATTTTATTACTTATCTTTGAGTCTCAACGGCGGCGTGGGGTGACGTTCCAGTTATTCGATTATTTCTTGGCACACGGTGACTAGAAACAACATCTGACACGCTCAGAAGTTCTACAATAATTAGGCATCTGACTACCCCTCATTGTCCGGGAGCTCGCTTTTAATTCAACATACTGAAGCAACCTGAGTTCGATCCCGGTGCTGGCACCAATGAAATTGTTAATTTTAAGTGCTGAATTATCACATCCTCAGCGGTAACAAGGAAAGCTCAAGGAGAACTTCGTGAGGAAACCTGTATATTTTCGAAATAATGTCAAAAAAAATTCTTCGAAGATATATTTCCGCCAATCCGCAGTGTGGTCGCGTGGTGGACTATAATGAATTTGTAACCTCCCTTATATCCCCTCTGGAGGCCTTAGACATATATAGGCTGCTACTCTACTTTTTACTTTACGTTAGTGGTAGATAATGTATCATCTGTAATTTAAATATGATGAAGCCCAATTTGAACCTTATTCCTTTCAGGTACGACGTCGAAAGTAACAGCGGACGATTTGCATTACGGTGACAAATCGTGCATGCTGAACGCGACGCATCTCACGCTGAGCCAACTTCCGGTCGTTTGCGAGAAAGTCAACTCAACAGAATTGTAAGTATATCGCTAAGTTTTAAAGTACACAAAAATAAAATTGAACAGAATGCGTCACTACCGCTGACTCTGCACTGCTTGCATAAGAAAACTAAAACTTTGATGACTCCGTGGCGCAGTTGCCAAAGTATTGGCTTCGGCGGCGGGGGTCGTGGGTTCGATTCCCACACGGGACAACTATTTGCGTGACCCACAGATAGTTGTTTCGCATCTGGGTGTTTGTCTGCGTAAAATTTATGTTTGTAAAATTTCATTACAACACAGGAAAATATCATCCTAAAGTAATGGCAATCTTTTTTAAAAAAAGTGTATAATACATTGAACTCGTGCGAAACCGGGGCGGGTCGCTAGTAATATATAAATAGCAAAAAAATCGTGTGTGGTGTATGAGTTTAATATTTATTTATTGTTTTTTAGCATTTGTTGTTATAGCGGCAACAGAAATACATCATCTGTGAAATTATTTGAAATTACCGTTCGTCTAACTATCACGGTTCATGAGTACAGCTTGGTGACGGACAGGCAGACAGGTAGATAGCGGAGTGTTAGTAATAGGGTCCCGTTTTACCTTTTGGCGGCATCCTTAAAATAACTTGGGCGCACCTCAATCGTGGAATATCAAGATCATAATCCTACGGGTGTTGCAAAAGCCCATGGTCGACGGTTACCACTTAACATGTAACCCGTGTAGGGTTGCAAATACGTTACCTTTTAACAAAGAAGGCTCCGGTTACTTCACTCACAAGCGAAGACCGCCGCGTGGCCACAGGTATTGGCAATAGCTAGGAACTAATCTAAAAAAAAAAGTAAATTGGTTGGAAAAAACCAGAAAGGTACTGAACTATGTTGTCTTAACTGATTATATACAGATTTTTTTTAAATAATGTATTTTAAAGGAGACTTTCTTGCTGGATCTTTCCCGAAGAGGTTTAGATTTGTGGGTAAATTAAATAAAAAATCTCCGAAAAATGAGTGTCAAGGTAGTTGCAAACGGAGGTATACTATTCCAAAGGACATTGCCAGACCAAAAAATTTACTGTGATAGATAAGATTTTAAACTGCCTTTAACCTCCACTCTTATCACTTCGATCATTGAGACATGGCCTTGACAAAGCTAAACCAACACTAACGACCGGTTTCTGAAACACTGATCATCGTAGAAGTCAACTAATCAGCTGTTAAATGGCTTTTCAAATGTTTTTGAGTTGCCAAAAGTATGGTTCAACTCTTTGAATTGATCATTCTGATCATTAAGAAGATCATTCTGATCAATTCACAGAGTTTAACAATCATTTTGGCAACTCGAACAACATTTGACAGCTGATTAGTTAACTTCTGCGATGACCAGTGTTTAAGAAACCGGGCGTAAGTGCCATACTGTACTTGTTACGTGAAAACTTGAACTGAATCACATAAAACTAACTTATAATAATGCAGAGTTAACACTATACTTTTGCATTTTTGGTGGGAGGGGTTGTGGAGAAACCCGCCCCCCCTACTTATCAAAGACAGATCAAAGAAAAATCTGTTCAGAACAACAATTTGGTACTTAGTAGATCAAAAATAAAATAATTTCTAAACCAAACAGAGGCAGTTTCATTGAAATATTTGACGACTTCACTTCCATAAAAAAAGTTTTAACGCCATCTAACGCCCAACTAGGAATTAAACACGTATTAGTAAGGATAAATTATTGTGTTAATAATCTAAATGTGAAATATATGTACGAACTACGGACGAACGGACTATTGTTTAGTATTAACAATGATGTGAGGTTAAAATATTTTCATACTGGATTGTTAATATTTTTAATATTTTAATTTTAGCACACAAATACAAGGCTGCTTAAACACCTTTGTTATAAGGTTAAAATAATGTAGTTTAACAGGAAATAATTAACAAGTGAGAGAGATTTTTAGTTCAGTTATTACAATACAATATTAGGTATTGTAATTGTTAACCATATATCTCAGTTTTATTTTTAAATCTGTGGCATTTACATATGAAACATTTTAAACTTAATCGGTAATGAGAATGTTATACTTCAAATTCTGTAAAGTAGATATTAAAGTTCCCGGTTAGTAGAAAAATTGCACCTTGTATGTAAAGTAATGGAAAATTATTCTGTAAGAAAACTTATAAAATAGTTACAAAAATATTAATATTCTCCACCGTATTCTAGTTTTATTAAAAGGTGACATATTTGTAAGGTTGCTCACAGTGTAATACCCATTTACAAATAACCCATAAATAAATACAGGCTAGAGTTTTTGTTACCAATTAATACTGGTACACGATACTTAATTTTAATGAAGTCGATTAAAAGCTATTGTCAACGTTGTTTTAAAGCCCATTTGTATTAATTGAAGAAAATCAACTGAAACATGAATCATTCTACAGTCTAGATGAGTAACCGTGACAAAGGCGGAATTATTAGGTCGTTTTTATAATTATAAATTGCTTTGCTCTAGAATAAATGCAATATTCATAAATGTAAGACGACCTAGTTTTTAAAATTACAGATAATAATTAAGACTTATCTTTAATTCACTGCGTCAAGTAGACACTTCAGGTAGGTAAAGGCACAGACAATAAAAAAAATTGTACCAACATTGTCATTCAGGTTTTCAAATCATTGTTTCGGATCTGGGTTTGTTCATGTAAAATTTATGCATGAAAAGTGTCCTTACAACACTGGTCAATGCTCTAGGAGGAGAAAAGATAAAAAAAATGTCCCTAATGGGATTCGACCCGCTGCGAAATCTATCGCTCATCAACTACTTCTAACCTAACCACATTATTCTATTTATAATCTATATTAATCAATAAAAATAAAAGTATACATGGAAATAATACTATTAATTGCTACAATGTCGGACGGACTGGGGAACACATTTTACAAGCAGAGCCATTCTAATCAAGCAAGATAAAGGATACACAATGTTTGCTAAGACCTTGATTAGTTATGTCACCGACCTTGGCTAGATCGTATGACCTTCAGATCCGGAAAAGGACGTGTCTCACTTAACTTCTAAAGTTCATATTACGATTCAGAACACGACTGAACTCCATTCAAGATATACCTTTTTGAGATGAACACCCTTCTCTTCGCACTGTTAAGGGGTATTTGAATCAATAATTCCACTAGACGCTTAAGACTTTAGCTGACACTTAAGCGGTGGTGAAAACGGAACCAGCATTTAAATTTTTTTAGGTGCCCCTTAAAGTTAGGGATCGGTGGTGAAAACGGGCATTGAACCCTCAGTTGGCACTAGACGGAGGGGCTGCGGTGTCCCCTATGGAATGGAATGCTTCGGTGCCTCTCTGGACGTAGTAGCCAGTCACGATATTTAGAGCGGCAGGAATGCCCTGACAGGGAAAAAAAGAGGCCAGGCTATACGCCAGATGAAACGCGAAGGTACATCACTTTCACTTCACTCCGGCACCTTGTTTGTAGTCGTGGTACTTTCCGGACGAGCCTATCCATTCGTGCAACAGCGTTACCACAGTGAAACTGTGTTCTTTTTATTGTTCACGTCACATGGTTCAGAGCTCTAGCAAAAATATTATTGCGACCGGCTAATAAGCACATCGTAGGGGATATCATTCAATCCGTATAGGCGAGTCCGGACCATTAGCTCCCAAGGGAGCCTCGGCTCGGCCCTCACGCTATTATTATCATTACCGGCTTGGGAGGCCAGCTCTTAGGGCGCTTTGGCGGACGCTCCATTGAGTGACTAGGCTCAAGGGCCCCCGAGAGGGGACCTCGGCTTGGGCTGTCACTGAACACCCGTTTAGCATTCCGATTCGAGGGTGCCCGATAAGGCCGGACCTGCTCGATCGGTAGCTATAGGCATATATCAAGGCAATACATATTTTATAGTAATTGCATAAGGGACAACGGTCCTTTATAAATTCAAACTTTGTGAGAGAACATGACATTACTTTGGCTTTTGAAAGCTCAATGAAACTTATTCTGCGGGTGTCAATATCAAGTAGTTGGTCACCGCATTAGCATATAATTACTCCGTAGGCGCGGTCGTCCACTTTGAGGTGGTAGGGTTATAATTGATTTGTCAATCGGGCAGGCTTTTGAAGGTGCTTGTGACATTTTAATTAATAGAATAATGATCGCGGCGAAAACTTTAACAAGTAGTAGTGGTTAGGTTATTTAATGTTGGAAATATCGTAGCGGTACAGGTCCCGTTACTTAATTAGCTTCGTGTCCATTTCCGTCACTTGTCCGTTATGCTTTCGAAAGCATATATGCTGGAGGCCTGTACTTATGCAAACATACTTATTTCTTTTAAGAATCATATTTCAGCAATATAATGGCTCGTTTATAACATTAACGTAGTCTAGTTTGTCCAGCTACTATTTCATTGAAAAGCTCAAATGATAATTATAAATCATACCAAATCCATGATAATACCAAGATGCCATTTAAATCCCATCTTTTTAAACAATATATATAAAACATAAATGTTTTAATCTCCAATAGCAACCCAATCCAATACTTCCCAGTGTACTTGCTAAGGTGTTCTTACTATTTACACCACTGCCATTGGAATATCATAGTTATCCTTGTGTTCTATTTGTTATTTGTTTCCTATTCGCTGTCACTTGATTTTTAAAAACTTCATGAACTCATTCGATTTGATTAATTTATAAGTGTCATAATAGTTTTGAACCGCACCCGTAGGAGATGTTTCACCTCCCTATACCCTAATCTACGGGAGCAACCGGTTCCTGATTTTTTTGCGTGTTCGTTACATTTCTGCTGAAAAACTTAATATATCAATAAAACGAGAGACTCCCGCAGTCGACAAAATAGACAATGCTCACTCCCAAAGTTCAAACGACAAACGATAATCACGTGCGAAGTAATTATATTAACAATAAAACCCCGAAAAGTTGATGTTACAATTTAACCAAATTATTGCCGAGACCAGAGCTCAACTTATATAATATGACTACAGCATTATAAAACAAATCTAGGAAATATTATGAAACAAGTAATAAAATTCTCGTATATAACATGAGAAGAAGATATGACGCACTTACGCTCGGTTTATGAAACACTGATCGACATGGAAATTAACTAATCAGCTGTCAAATGGCTTTTCAAATGAGTTGCCATAAGGATTGTTAAACTCTTTGAATCGATAATTCTGATCATTAAAAAGATCATTCTGATCATTACGAAGATCATTCTGATCAATTCACAGAGTTTAACAATCATTTTGGCAAGTCGAATAACATTTGACAGCTGATTAGTTGACTTCTACGATGACCAGAGCTTAAGAAACCGGGCGTTAGTATCATGCGTGCCTTTACAATCGTTCTGATCGAAAAACACAGTAGCAAATAGCACGAAGTAAAGCAATAAAAATAATCCGCAGTGGATAACGAAAAACCTAGAGCAGAACCAACTTTATTATAACCAGTTATTCGTTGTAATTCACTCGCTATTCTACACGACAAAACTCTAGTTCTTAACGCGGAAATGCATGGATAAAAATACAATTGATTTATGTTATGACAGCGAATAGCAGCGTTAAATGCAAATGAGTAACTGGGCAAAGGCTCTCGAGCATTGCTTGAACTTTGTGGGGGGCTATCAAGTTTTATAATTTGTTGAGTTATATGGTTTTTGCACTTACTAGCTGTTTAACGCGGCTTCAACCGAGCGGTCAAAGGGAATTAACAATTAGTTTTTTATTATACACAACTAGCTCGCAGATAGCAGAACGTACTTAACACTTATTATATTTTAGACAATTCACACAGTATCTTTATCCTATCTGTTATTCATCAGTATAACAGATAGGATAAAGAATTGAAAGTGAAAACTTTACAATAATATATCTTACACATCAGTGTAAGCTATAATTATTGTAAACTCTAATTATTGTACAGTTTTATAGAAAACCATTAAGTACATTTCGCGTGAAAGAGTAACAAACATCCATACAAAAAAACTTTCGCGTTTATAATATATAAGGATAGTAAGGATAGTCAGGTTTGTCTTCAGAGGTTTCGGGCAGGGTACTTAATATAAAAAACTTACAAATGATTACACTTGGATCTCAATAATGACTTTTTGACCTTTTGACCCACAGCAATTGCTTCCGATCTGGGTGTTTGTCCGCGTGAAATCCGTGTATGCCAAAAGTCCTTACAAAGTAGGATAGTTTTATCCTACAGTAAAGTCAATGGTTTTTAATTTTTTTTTTCACAGATGCGAGTCGCTGACTCTGAACGGCACCCGATATTGCGAGTGGGGCTACAACGGCCTGGGCATAGATTACCAGGTGTTGGCAGGACCCGCTTTCATGGCAGTCTTCACTGTCGTCGGAGTGATTATCGGCGTGGTGGCTGACAAGTACGTTGATGAACTATTCGATTGAACTATTATGGCCATGGTAATTCGCATAGGGCGGGCGAAACTGTAATTACGCCCAATGATATTTTAAGTCTTAATATAAAGATGACGCATTTCCATACTGTGCGGCGTTTAAAAATTGTTCCGCTCTACATTATACGACATTTAAAAATTGTTCCGCTTTACTCAGTGAAGACAAATAAACATGTTTTATGAGCGTACATTAAATTTACAGTGGGTACATGCCATACATTTTTAATCGTATGAATTGTATACAGCGTGTAGTTACCATCGCGACAATAAATGAACACACGTCTAACGCTACTTACCAATAATCATAAAAAAATATTAACGTTAAACAAAATCCATATTTAAAAAAAAATATTTTTCAAACAAACTAATTAAGTAAAAAAGAAACAAAATTTGTAACATCCTATACAACTCGCGCCACAGCGTCGCATTACAAGCCTCTCCTTCTAACAGTATGTTTTGTCTCTTTTAAATTCATTCAACCCATTCATATACTTTGTGACCTTTACAAATGAACTTTACGTTACAGTTTTATACGTAAGGATGTTCTAAAATTCTTTGTTTTGGAAAATTTAATAACTCGTTAAATATTGATGTTTAAAGAATGTAAATGTTTAATACCATTTTTAAAAGTTATCCTATATATGTGTGTTCATTTATTGTCGCGATGGTAACGACACGCTGTATAACTGCAATAAAAATAACACTGGTGGGCAAAGGCCTACTCTGGTCAAGGGGTATGAGGGCATAGTCCAACACGCGCAACATTGCGCATTGGCGCATATTTTACATAGCTTCGAAATAGACTTTATTATTTCGAAAATATGCAGGCTTCCTCACGATGTCGCGGAAGATTGCGTCTTCGTGTTCCCGTGCCCCCGGTTGTTGCGACAGAGACAGGTGCAACGTGGGTTTTTTAGTGGGTGCCCGTTTCTGACTGGGACTCCCACATACCCTTACCCCTCCGCCATCCGGGGGCAGGGGATCCATAAAGGATTCTTCCCACCTAAAGAAATGGCTTCCTCACGATGCACATCCCAGCCCGTGAACGGTTACAATGGTTCCCTTGACGAATAATCCAAAATCATTATTTTTATCGCCCCTCCCAGATACAACAGGGCCCGTATACTGTCGTTCTGCACTTTGGTCTTCGTGATCGCGATCGTGATGATGGGCAGCGTGACCGAGTACTGGCACCTGGTGATACTTCGCATGATAATGGCGGCCGGGGAGTCCGGCTGCAACCCGCTGGCCACCGGCATACTCACGGACCTGTTCCCTGAGCACCAGAGGGCGCTGGTGCTGTCGATCTTCAACTGGGGCATCTACGGCGGTTACGGCATCGCCTTCCCCGTCGGCCGCTATATCCCGATCCTGGACGCTTGGGGCTTGGTGAGTGGCGTTCATGGAGTCACGAAGTAAATGATTACAAAAATGCTCTCGCGTATCTCAAACCTAACGCTGTAGGTAGTTCTCACCGCCCCCAGCCACCGATTAGCTAAAAACACAGTCGACGGCCATCTGGGTCCCGGTCCGAACCGCAACCTCGATGGCCCTTAGATGACACACCATAGTTAAACGCACGCATGAGCACATGCGCGGCCCTACCCACAGCGGAGGGCCCAAACCCGTGGGTTCTGGCTAGCCTTCCGGTTCTGCGTCAGATGAAGCTTTAACAGTCTCGGAACTGAAAGTTAATACAAGATACAAGACACTACGACCTCACAGAAGACCGGCGTAAAATGGAATTGTTATACTTCTGCGTTTCGTCTGGCAAGTGAGGTAACCGGGGCCCACTTACGAACGAAACCCTACTGTTGTTGCATATGTCCCTGGGTGGAAGTTATAACTTAAGATAAGGCGAACGGTTCGCCCGCCATGTCTTACATAAAAAAAGAATAGTTTAATAGATTCTTTTACGACGACCTTCTCAACTGTCTGTCACCCTTCCTCAGAGCTGGCGGCTGTGTTACTACGGTGCGGGCATTGTGGGCATTCTGATCGCTGGTCTCACATTCTTAACGCTCCGCGAGCCTGAAAGGACGACGATTGGCGAAGAGGGTAAGCCGCAAATACAGTATAAGAGTTCTAACGTTTTTGCCTTGATACTGATATTTTAACTATTACTGAACTTGAATATAAACAACTATTATAACGACAAGCAGCACTAGTGGTTATATCACCGTCTGGGAACGCAGCCGAAATCCAAGCGACCACTGCTCCATGCGACGATGTGTCCCTTGGCTCGAGTAGATAATGTCATAACCGGTATACAGTGTTGCCAGCGCCAATACTAGTGCATCTATCATTACTCTAGCATCGCAACCATCGCACATTTAATCAAACATTCATTCTACTTTTTAATACGCCACAAACTGTGTCAAACAAATCCGCTGAGCATCAATGATTAAAAGCTAACAGTTAATTACGATATCAATCATCGGAAGGCAAACACTCGAAACTCTCGACATTAAAAGCCTAATTATTAATTTCACTTGACTCGATTAGACGAGAAAGATAACGTCATATCCGGTTGCTCCGGATATGACGTTATCTCAGGATATGACGTCCAATCAGGTTGCTCGAGTATATTGAATTAAAGGTGATTGCCCCGGTGCCACCACCAATGAAATTGTTAATTCTAAGTGCTGAATTATCACGTGCTCAGCGGTGAAGGAAAACATCGTGAGGAAACCTGCATATTTTTGAAATAATAACAAAAAAATATTTCGAAAATATGTGAAGTCCGCCAATCCGCAGTGGCGCCACGTGGTGGACTATGGCCTTATACCCTCTGTACAGAGGAGGCCTTTGCCCAGCAGTGGGACATGTATCGCTCCACGCTGAATAGGCTACAACATATTTGATTGTTTTTCTTACCTACTCTTTTTATTTCCCTTCTGACTCTTAGATTTCTTTCCACGGACATGTTTTTGCGTTCTTTTTTTAAAAAACATCGCCCTTACTGTACGAAAACATTGTCCTGACGTTTACAAACACGAAGACAACTGTCTGTGTTCTGTCACACAAATAGGCCGTCTCGTGTGGGAACCGAGCCCACGATTCAGATGCCGAAGCCCATACATCCGCAACTGCCGCGGAGGCACCACCACCACCGGGATCTTGTTGTCTGCATTGTCCGAAGACATGCGGGTACGGTTCTCGGAGTCATCTAATCAACTTGACACTCTTCCACAGGTGCCGGCAACTCGAAGGGGAGGGACGCCGCCCTGGAGTCCGGCAAGAAAATGCCCCAGGTGACCATCTGGCACGTGATCGCGCAGCCCAGGATCCTGCTCCTGTGTCTGGCCGCGTCCATCAGGCACTGCGGTTAGTGCGACAGTTTTTTTTTTATGTGAGAAAGTGGCAAGCGATCTGATGGTTCATCTGACGTTAAGTGATAACCGCCGCCCACGGACATTTGCGACACCGGTTTGCAGATGTTTTACCTTTTAATAATGTGGGCCCCGGCTACCTCACACGCCAGACGCAACGCGGAAGCATAACACTTCTTCTTTACGCCGGTCTTCTGTGAGGTCGTGGTACTACTAACGTGGCACGGACCTGTTGCGTGGTCCTACCACCGTTTCTGGTGACAGTGTTGTCACCAGAATCGTCAAACGATTTTTGTATACGTTAAAAGATTGCTAAGCGATCTGTCATGTACAATTCACATTTTCGAGCTTCGGCACAGGTCAGCGGTCTTGATTTATAACACCTTGATTTACTTTTGAGGTGAAGTCAGTCAACCTCCATACTCGGTTCGATTAGCATCTTTTTATAACATAGTTGTGTGTCGCTATTGAAAAAAATTCTTTTTACACAAATAAAAGTGATTTTTAGTGTATATAGCATCTGTCACTTGCGCCAAATAAGACTAATAGTAAAATTATTATTTACCTACTTATTGATATGAAATTTGCGTGATCATTATATTATCACCATAGGTTTATTCTATTATCTGGGTGACTGCACGAGTATATCTATTATTTCGAGAACATATACAAAAGAAAGAGACACGAAACTAAACATTATTGTATTACTTATAATTCGTTACAAATCGCTTGAGCGGCATCTCGTTAATTTTCGAGTTACCTGCATTGTTGCTTTGCTATTGTATGTTAGCCACCCTACTGATACCTCAACATTTCGTGAGATGGCGCTATATGACATTATCCGAATACAAATAACATTATCGAGTAACATTGCCAAAAACCACATTGGCCCAGGTAGTACCTTTGTTGTATCTTTTAATCAACATTCTCTTTTCTATCGGTTTTCTATCGGTCTGAATTGAATTATATTTTCGTTCATTTTATCTTTCTTTACATTTTACATTATATAACATTTATAGAGTGAATGTGACAAATGATATAGAACATATGATCCGGAAACAGATAGTATAGTCTATACTCTATAACATCGCAATCTAATTATGTACACCAATCGCCGTAATTTGAGTTTCATTTGAATTTCATTGTCATATCTACCTAACTCGTATTTGTATGTAATATCGAAATTCAAAATTTTGATAAAGGCATGCTAGTCACTATGAAACCTCCCTTTTTACCTTCACCGCAGTTGAGAACGAACCGTTAAAATCGTTCGTCCGTCTGTTTTATACGTTGTGGGCCATTGAAATAATATTGGGTCCTTGTGCAGGTGGCATGTGCTTCGCTTACAACGCGGATCTGTACTACCGCGACTACTTCCCCGACGTGGACCTTGGCTGGTGGCTGTTCGCCGTCACCGTCGGCATCGGCTCCGTCGGCGTCGTCGTGGGCGGCGTCGTCTCGGACAAGTCAGTGGCAACTGCGCCCTATCTGATATTAAAGGTGGTAGGGCCACGCAGCGGCCTCGTCCGGGTGAGTGCCGCGACCTCACAGAAGACCGGCGTCAAGTGGAAGTATAAAACTTTCGCGTTTCGTCCGGTGAGTGAGGTGGCCGGAGCCCGATTTTTAAAAGGTTGTCAACGCATCTGCAACCCTCGGATTAAGCGGATGTCCATGGGCGGCGGTATTCACTTAACATCAGGTCGCTTGGCAGCTTTTCACATGAAAAATCCCAATAAACCTTCCAAAGGTCACATGGTCTTGAAGGCTCTCCTCGACGTCTCAGCGCGTTATTACCAATAACCAATTAACAGGTACAATTTTCCGCTACAGAACTAACGCCACCCGATATTATTATACAATATGGTTTATGTTAATAATTGTAATCGCCTCCAACTATAAACCTTGGGTCTCTTTGCTTTGTCTTTGACGTATGACGTTTAGAAGTTTACGTCAAAATGACAACAAGACACCTTGTTAGTTACGTGCTATTTGTTTATTTTTCGCCTGCCATAGAAACTAAACCGTATCGCGGAATTATATGAAAATGAAACGATAGAATGTACTCACTACAACGTTCTCACGTATTCCACTCAAGTTATCACAGTAGTTCAAATTGCTACTTTCCGTATTAACTTTAAAATTAAATTTGAAACCTGAAACCGACATATTTTCGAAGTAATAAGAAAAAAAATATTTCGTAGTGGACTATGCCCTGATACCTATACAGAGGAGGCATTTGCCCAGCAGTGGAACATGTATAGGCTGATATTAATTATATAGATAAAAGAACATTTAAAATAGTCTTTCATTTTTTTAATTTCACAAAAGGAGTGTTTTGAATCTTCCTCAATGAACCCTTGATTTTAGATACAAAGAGATTCACAGCCGATACAATGCCGCATTTAACAAGTCGTACTCCCCTTCCCTGCCATTATCAAAGATTTCTTATACAATTTAGGGTTGGTCAATTGAAATAAAAAATGTCAATATCGCAGTCACTATCTGTCTGCAGTGTCTGTCTCACAAATCATAAACTCCACACTCCACTAAAAACACAAAATCGTCCACTTCGCAATACTCTCTTTCTCGCAATAAATATCACATAAATACCACTTCCAGTAAAATTCGCAAATATTAACAATTGCAGCTTACTTTGTCGCTCTTTTGTAGAGTATTATCGTTTTTTACCAATCGCGCCTGTCCTTGCATTTTTTGGCTCTAACGCTGCCTCCTCCTGATTTTCGATCATTAAGCGAACCGCTGGGAGACTAATTCGAGGTTATTTCGGGAGACTTCATAATCTTCTGCTATTCTCAGTAAGCTATTATAAATATTCGTTATTTAAATGCAAAGTATTCCCAGCCTCTGCAGCGATTTTAATGACGCATTATCTAACTATACATATATACATTCCGTCTTGATGTCTGGTAGCTGGCTCAAACCTCACCTTCACTAGGCTCTTCACTAAGGATATTTACTCTTCTTCGTTTTATTATCGCCTGAAAAAACCTTATTAGTAAAAGAAGGAAGGAATGGGGCGTCGCGATATACCTACGATGTGCCATTCAGTTGTGGCTGCCACAACTGAATTTATTTTCCCTGAAGTAAAAGTTAAGGGCACTAATTTCCAATGGTGACTATTTCGCCAACTTCGGATTGGTTCTTAAATCAATGGGCTCAGTGTGCCCACGTCATCATGGGTGAATTTAATACCAACCTTCTGCTATCTGATTCTCCACGGACCCGTAAACCTACAAATAGTTTGTCTACCCCTCTGATCCGACTAAATCTATTTCTTACAATCCTTCCATTTTTTGTTAAACTAAAATTATTTACTTTTAGATTAAAGTAAGTGATTAAAGTAAACATTTCAAAACTATTCAATTATTAAAGAGAATAAATTATAAAGGCGGTGAAGGAAGACACTAAACTATTGATATTATTACACGTGCATGAATATACAAAATTATGTTACAGGTTCGTTGCGAAAATGGGAGTGAGGTCCCGGGTTCTGGTGCTGGCTCTATCGCAGCTGGTGGCCACGTTGCCGGCGTTCGGGTCCGTGATCTTCGGGCCCCTATGGGCCATGATCACGCTCGCTTTCTCCTACTTCTTCGGTGAGCGATCCTCTACACACAGTAGCTCTTGGCTACCCTGAAATGACGCGGTTCTCAAATACAAATACTGTATACGACTGAATTCCATTTGTAGCAGAGATTGTTATAGCTTAATAGGCCGTAATCTTTTCACCGTCCACAACTCATCAATATGGGTCGTCAATTTTTTCTTGTAATAAATACCAAAAACCAAAGTTTCAAAAAGTCCCAAAAAGTTATCTGACGCATGTAACACTTATTTTAATCCGAAATCTCATATACTCGCCATTACAACTCAGCGATACGCGTAATTTCATTTACGTTTGCAATTGGTGATAACAATCGCTTGGAGTCGTTTTTTTTTAGGAACAAATGCAATGTTATTTGATTATCTTAGTTCTTTGAGGAAAGAAAAAAAAGGCAGGCAAACTGATTATTCAGACGAGGATTAAAAATTATGGAACTCAAAATGATGAAGAAACCCACATTTCTATCATGACTTCTCGTTACACTACTTAGAATCTGTTAGTAATAAATTATGATGAACGAAAAGTAGTTATTTAGAATCCTTAGAACATAATTCGCCTTTCTTCTTCGTGGCTTGATATTTGGAATTCGCTATTTTGAGATCACCCTCCGTATCATAGCTTGCGAATGGGGAAAGTATAACAACAGTGAAATTGTCTCTTCAGCCGAGATGTGGTTCGGGATAGTGTTCGCCATATTGGTGGAGATAGTCCCGCTGTCCGTCCGCTCGACCACCGTAGGAGTCTTCCTGTTTGTCATGAACAACGTGGGCGGCAACCTGCCCATACTCGTGGACCCTGTCTCCAAGGCGATCGGTTACAGGGAGGCAATCATGATCTTCTACGCCGGCTTCTACGGAATCAGTAAGTTGCTTTTCTCCTAGACACTATAAACAGGTCACTAAACGCACGGTCACGTCGAATAACCATAAAAACCAATGCACAAACTTGCGATATACTCGTATGTGAATATTATTTTTCGCATCTATATGCATGTGTCTATTGAAGTTATACTTCTTTTGGTGCGTTAGGGAAAAATTATGAGAGTAAATTTTTACGATGCGCGCGCACACAGTCACGAAAAACCGACACCCTGAAGTTAGCTAGACATCTACGTATGTTTGCGTGAGAACTGACAACTGTATTCACGATATTTATTTTGTGATATTTAAATAGACTTTATTTAACTAGACAATGCGTTGTAATAAAACTTTCAATGTATTAAATACCTTTTTTCTATTTAGTGTCGTTTTTTCACAAACGTAGAATGTGGCGAAAGATAAAATTTTTATCTTGTTACGCCAAAGAAGTGTAACTTCTAAGTCGTGTACATAAGTACACACACACGCTTTTTTTATGTATTGCATACACTAAATGTTTTATAATTTATAGGTAGTATTCTCTTCTTCCTGACGATGTTCCTGATGGACGGTCCCGTGGAGAGGCAGGCTGAGCAGACGCACAAGCCGAGCGGCTTAGACAACCGGGCTTTCAGCCAGGACGAAATCCCCGCAAGAAGCGGAAGCAGGAACTTGCCTTCGGCCCCAATCGACAACAGCAAACTATAAGAGACAATCATCGATTAACAATAACACATCTGGTTGGTGCTCAGAATGTTGCCTCCATGACGGTACTGGACTCGAAGTCGAGTACTTGAGAATTTGACGTCTTAAAATTCAAATCGCGTGGACTTTGCCGATACCGGTCCGAACGTTAATGATTATGAACCGGCGCAGCGATATAAAGTCGCGATTTTGTTATATTTATGAAGTTTTTTACGGTCGAATGTGAAACTTAATTCCCTATGTTCCTTTGTCGTAGCCTAGAACATTATTGTTTTTATCTGTGCAGAAATGTTGAAGCATTCTCATTGCCATGCAGTTCATGTTATAATCAATGTTGCCTATTACAAAATATAAAAATATACCTGGTGTAATTTTTAAAGATCTCTAAAATAAATTTTAATTTGAAATTGCCTTTATTATATTCAGTAGTTAGTAATTATATTCAGCAATTTTTGTTGTTAATATCGTTTTCATGACTGGCATCAAAGCCGAACCGTTCCCTTTTTTGTTAGTTTGTAGGTTTAGAGGTAAGTCGTTGTAATTTAAAAAAAGTACAATTAAGTTTTAATTTTTCATATTTATTACCGTATAATTTTATTTAATTATGCACTGCTACTTAAATAATTATTTTGACACAACGAGTACCAGAACCTCTTTATATGTTATGTCAAGACATTTTATTACAAACATAAGGCTGAAACAAAACTTGATTAACAAAGCTTGATTAAATAGGAGAAATTTGGTTAATATGACAGATATTGACAGAATATGGTAACAAAGGTTATAAGGAATGTTATCTGGATGAAACAATCATTGACATTAATTTTAAGCTTTAAATTAAGAAAACTGTTTATAAATTAATATTTGTCTGCAATCAACAACATAGACATGGGTTATCGTACCGTGTAATAATTATTTATTCTGTTCATATTTATCATTATAAATTCTTTACAATAGATGGCACTGATGATTTTTTTTAATATTTCTTTATTATTTTTCCACATAATTCCAAAGTAAGTCATCAACATTACTTTATTTATAAAATTATCCGATCCACTAAAGGATATTCTCTTTTCTCGGTTAAGAATATATATATTTTGAACACAGCGTTACCAGATATTTATTTATTTTTTGTGATATTTTACATTATCATATATACACCTTACTTTTGGCTACAATTTACAAAAAAAACAATAGTCCAATGAAGTAAGATTTTAACTTTAGAACGAAACAACTTTAACTGTTAGGATACGTGTTAATTTGCATTATAGTTACTGAGTAATTTTTTTTTCTTTACAGTTTACTTTTTATATACCAAAAGTTATTATAATGTGAAAACTGAGTAAATCGTCTAAATTACGAATAAACATGACATATTCCCAGATATTGTTCTTGAGGCCCAAATAACAGAATTACCTAAGTTATTAATTAATTGTATCTGGTAGCATTTGTTGGATGTTAAACATGTGTTAGAGAAGGCAGTTATAAATGTGATATCAATACATGTACATATTTTAATAAGCTATTCATGTAAATAAATCTCTCAATGTTGCACATTTCGTTTTTGCTTTTACCCTCTTATAATGAAATTTTCGATAACTCATACTCTTTCACAGTGTAATTTTGCGTATCTAACTTTTGCAATTATTATTAAATTACGCTAAAAACCAACCCGTGCAGCGCGATTAACTTTAATTGTAACAATTGAAAATTATATCCATAAAATGATTACATTAAAAATAATCCTATTTTTTATGAAAGATAAGAAATGACTGGGAAGTCGCCTGTGTTAGAAAATTATTTATTCAAAATTAAAAAAAAATATATGTGTATATATTATTTAACACATATTTCATTTTTTATACAATACCATATATCAATATACTAGTCTCAATTCAATTTCAAAGTACCCCCACTATAGACGAAGCTCGCCTTTAAATACACAGTAACAAACAACCCACTCTCCCCCACCTCTGACTACCGGTAGTGATGTATAACATCAACTTAATGTTTTCATTTTTACATTAATTTAAATTTGGCAATATCTCACACCTGCAACACCCTTAGGGTTACAGGTGCATTGCCACCTTTGAATAAAGTGGGACCCCACTGCGTCTGTCACCAGACGAAACGCAGAAATATATTCCACTTCACGCCGGTCTTCTGTGAGGCTGAGGTCGGGATACATCACACATAATTTTAAATATTTACTTTATTTAAATGTTGTTATACATTGTTATATTGTTGGTAATATTTGTCACATATCAAATATCATTTTGACTTTCTCCCAATATATAGTAACTACATTAGATTAAGCGAGACTGGTAGTAATTTTATTGATTCTGGCAACCCTAGCGGGACGAGAAAACGGGAATCCCAGTCAGTTTCATTTTTATTTTCTATAGACCTAAAGATTAGAGAATAGCGAGCGTCCCCAATTCATTAGATTGTATAGTTTTTATTACTCATGATTATTGTATTAATATTATTAAAGAAATATTAATCAAAGTAGCTGTGAAAATTGACATTGGTAGCTGGTTGTCGGCAATAATGAATTGGTAAGTTGTATTTATTATCCGCTAAATAATCGAATGTGTACCTACACAAAAATGTACCTATATAAAATAAATGAACATACATAATATGTACATATAACAAATTAACTATTAGATCTACCATAAACTTAAAAACATTCGAGTAATTATACGCATCCAAAATTTCGGGTTAAATCCGTATTTTATTAATTTGAATCTCCAAACTGAATTTGAAGTCAATAATTTTTAGCATAATTCCTCATATTTCATAGAGACGCCCCGATGGGACAAAGATAATACGTAAATGTAAGAAAATATTATTTACTTATTTATTTTTAGTGTAATAAATGCAAAATATTATTTAATAACATAAGTTTTCTTAATGATGGCAAATAAGTTATAAATTATTCTGGTTGTTATTGTTAAAAAGGATATTTAATCTAGTTTATTTTAGTATTGTTAAAATGGATATAACGTTAATTTAAAGAGTTTTTAAAAAATAAATATGTATTTTTCCTTTTTTTGTCCAGTTTACACTTTTTTAAGATTGCAAATAAACATTAAACCTCTGGCTCTCTTGATAAGATTCCTTAAATATTCAGTGTTATAACAAAGTTGCCGTAGCGATAAAAACACTTCTTGCGAACGACAAGTGTTTTTATCGCTATGGTCGGAAGCGGTTAAATTACCAGGAGTGGGCGTTGCGACGACGTACCGTTTACAAAGACCGTTTTGTGTTCTGTCTGTGACGATGAATTCGTTTTAGGTCCTGGGGTTCAAACAGTCTTTGTTGCACAAATAGGTCTTCGAATATATTGACAGGACAATAGTGCAGCACATCTATCACACTAATTGTCCGTCGCGTCGTTCGTTTACATTCACAAAACAGTCCTTGCAATTAAAAGTGAACTTTTTCTCAATGAAACACATATCTATAATGTTTGTCTATAATGTATTACCAGTTGTTAATGTGTCCTTCGTGATGCAGAGGCCAAACCGGTGCGAGCTTATGTCGTTTCACTTAAAGTTTATAGTTGAACAATGAATTGGAATAATCGCCTAATATTCTGAAATTCGAACCGATAAGCGCGTAAGACATTATTTCATACTACCTTTTCGCTCGCGGCTCCGCCCGCATGTACTGTAATATTTAATCTATTTTGGTAATCAAATTATACTTAAATTTGAAATTGAAGATAAAGATTAGTAAACAACTTAGTAATCAATAATTGTTAACGAGTTCAGGGTGCAAAGTCCAGGGTTGTTTGTTTACTTTTCTCATAGTATTCAGTTCTAATTCATAAGGTCCTCCACCCCGATGTAATAGTTACTTCGGTAAGTCAGTTCGACACGACAGTTAGTCCGGTACGACAGTCCGTTACGATAGTCTGTTAAGTCAGTCATTCACATCAACTCCGTGTAGTCGCATAGTCTGCTGTAATAAATAAATATACTTCGATATATCGTCACGGTGATGTTGCCATTTAAAAACCCTTTCCGACCACCCGAACATTACAGTAAGCAAATAATAGCCTTCCTTAATAAATAGACTATCTACAGTGCCAGAATTTTTCAAATCGGACCAGTAGTCCCTGAAATTAGCATGTTCAGACAAACAAACTCCTCAGTTTTATAATATAATTATAGATATCCTCGTTTTTTTGTCTGTCCCATCACTACTAAAAATTCTTTCTAGTGCGGTTCAGGTCGATATCGGCTCGCCGCTTTCCCAGGTTCCTGGCTCATTTTTGTTATATGTATAGATAAACGGTATTTCTTGTTTTTTTTTTTTATGTGAAAATGCTCTCACTCACCAGACAAAACGCAGAAGCATTTGCACTTGCACCTCACGTCAGTCTTCTGTAAGGTCGTGGTACTTCAACGGACGGATTTGCCCATTCGGGCAAAAGGGGAGACTGTTGCTTGGCCCTACCACAGTAAACATGTTATGTACTTAAACGTTATAAAAATACACTTATTTTTTTTACAGACAAAATGCGAATCAAACATTTTGTTACATTTTTGGATAATGCCAAGATCGATAAAGGAATAATATTGAATAATTCTTCGTTGGTCATAGACGGTCAAAACTTTCTTTACGGTATGTACACGAAATCGAAGCTCCGATCCATCTTCGGATGTGAGAGCAGACTTTATGCGGACTATTTACGAGAGCAGCTTAGAGGTTTTCGAGAAGCGAACGTGAAATGTTACTTCATATTTAGAGGCGGCTCTGAAACTAGGGACAAACTTTTGGAAACGGACGAAAATGAAGGAATGTCATCGGGCAAGAATAGGGTTTATGAGCCGCTTTTCGCACGAGATGTATATAAAGAGGTTTTAAACGATATGGATATGGATTATGCGATATGCGAATATGCTAACAAACGGGACTGTGTCGCGTTAGGGCAGAGGTTGCATTGTCCGGTATTGGCTTTTGACATAGAGTACTTCTTCTTTGGCACGGAGTACGTACCTTATCCAAGCCTACAATTCAATCCTACCACTAAAGTAATGCAATGTAAATTACTTCTATTGGATATGCTTATGGAGAAATTTCAACTCTGCGAACGAGATATCGCTGTGTATATCACATTGTTCGATGACAATGTATTCTCTGAAGAATTCCGCGAAAAATTGTTGAGAAAATTGAGATTGCCTTTATCTTATGGGCGGCGACACGAGACTTTCCTTCGATGGCTGTCAAGAAATGGCGGGTCGGCTTTGGAAATCATATCAAAGCTCGTGTCGCGCAACGAGGATCGTACAATACGACTGGAGTTAGAGCGAAAAATTAAAAATTTAAAAGTACGAGAATCCGGTGGGTTGCCGACAAAATACTTTCTCGACAGGGATTGCTGTGTGATCAATCGAGGCGACCGAGAATGGTTCTCCAAGGGCCTAATTTGGAGATTCGTGGCCATACCATATGTCAATGTCTACAGACATGGAATAGTCACCGGTTCTTGGAGTACAGAGGACAACGACGCGGAGGATGCCATGCTACTCTCCGCACCGATCGTAAGGTACGCGCTTGATTTGCTCACAAACTATAACGACGCCGAGTTATTGTTCGTAGGTGCGAAGCGGAACCCAAACGTCGATGACGAGAACCCGCCGGCCCGTGCCAAAGACCTTCTCAAAATAGCCACCACCATAAGAAAACCCGAGTACGGTTCCAGTAACGTGTTCGAGAACGGTTGGTCGGGAGTGAGCAAGTACCGCTTGTTCGAGCACTTCTTAGCCGAAAGCGTACAGATGAACACGAGCGTTCTGGAACAAGTGCCGGCCGAATGCAGAATGCTCGTCGTGGCGCTGGTCTACTTCGCGCGCCAAAAGGGTTCCGACGTGGATAATGAAGCCTACTCCGTACTGCTCTCGTACGCCGTGCTAACAGTGGCGGATGGGGGTGCAGGGGTAGACGAGCCGCTAAAAGACGGCCAATGCGAACACGCGAGGGCGCTTATGGATGAGTACTCCAATATTTCGGACGAGGAGGTTGAACTAATTCTCGACAGGAAGTCGCTCCATCCACTCGTGGAATTCCAGCACTGCCTCAGGCACCTGAACTTTCTTAACACGCTGTGCGGCTCCACCTTAGCGCCGACGGTTTACAGTAAGACCTACAGCGCCACGTTCGTGTACAAGATACTCCGCGACATGAAACGATATTACAACGGCAACGGACGTAGATTTTTGGAAGATAAATTGGACCGGGCCTCGAGCGTTTTGTCAATTGTAAACAAACTTTACAACTTGTATAGCGACATGAAACTCAAAAAGGTCTAGTTCATACGCCAACGGCGCTATGCTGAGACATTGACATGATAAACTTAGATGAACTACGTTTAAAGATTTGATAATTAGATCTATAACTTAAAGGTAAACTTATTATGATTCATCCATTCGCCAAAGAAGTTTTCGTTTAATTCTATTAACTAGTTTATAATTTTCTATTAATTTAAATTTGTGAAAATTGCTCTAGCTTATATGTTATTAAGTTCAAAATGATCATGTTTTCTTTTTTTATTTTGGTATTTTTATACAATATACATACCTACTTTTCATAATTATCTTATAGATAAATGTATCTTGTATCCATCACATTTTAACTAATAAAAACCAATCATAAGACATTCGTTTCATTGTTAAAGCTCTTTTCATTGTAAAACCTTTATTGTAGCTGTGATGTATTATTCCCATTATTCAAAGTCCAAGAATAGTTCTTTAAACTTAAGGAACACTTAATACCGACTTATCTTCATCATTTCAGTCCACTGCTGTACATAGAACACTCCCACAGATTGCCACGGGCACCATCCTGAGCCCCCCTGCATCTATCGACTCCCGCACATTTGCACAGGTCATCAACTCATCACACCAGCAAATGTCGTAGTTGCGAACTCTATCACGCAGCGAAATACCGAGTATAGCCCGCTCCATAGTTCGCTGAGTGACTTTGGAGCTTCCCCATAAGGCCAGCAAACTACGTCTCGGTTCCGTAGGTCATTACTAGCAGCACACATTGGTACACAGACGTATCTTATTGCAACAAAACGGCTACCAAGTGCTTTTTCAACGGCATGCTTCTTGATGATGGCTGACGACCACCAGCGCTGCCAACCACCGAAAGTGTTGGTGTCCTTTTACCAGACAAAGAGGATAAGTATAATATACAAATGTGTAAAAACTTGTCCTGAATTATTAATTTTTTTATAACATGTTGCAATGCTAATTTATTGGAAGTAGTAAAGACTGATGGTCTAAGATCCGGCTGCAGGATTAGTGCGCTCATCGGTTATTTACTAAAACCCAAATTTTTATGTATATTTATAATTAGGAAAATATAATATATCTACCAAGATGCCTATCAAAATTTGTCCGCTAGTATTTTTGGAAAAAAACTTAATTCACTTGTTTTTTTTTTTTTTTTTAAATAAAACATCGTATACATCACGGCAATTTATATGAAGATTCTAAAAAATCACGGTTGCCGTTGCGCACCTGGCCGCACCTCTTCGCAGCCAGGTGTAAACAGATTTCGACACATGATTGTTACGTTCATAACGTACATTTATTAATCATATATATATATATATGAAATTAAAGCTAATTTTTTTCTATTAATTACCATATATGGTTGCCTAATTAAATCCGGCCGCAAATAAGGGTTGCTGGCTGTTAAAGATGACAAATATTTAAGGTAGAGTGAAAGAGGGTTAGCCGTAAAATCATTTGTCAGACGAGGATAGCGATTGCCGGAGTTGCGACGCTTTTAAGCCATTGCTCATGCGTCTAATGCTAGTGTTCTTAACTGAACAGCTGCGGCCTTAAATACCTACTACTAACTATAAACTGCTTGACGTCACACTGTACAGTGGTCGCAGTGGGATATCGGAACATACCCTCAATATACTCGAGCAACCTGAGTTCGATCTCCAGTGCCGGCACCAATGAATTTGATAATTTAAGTGCTGACTTATCACGTGCTCAGCGGTGAAGGAAAACATCGTGAAGAAACCTGCATTTTTCACTTTAGAAATAATTACAAAAAAAATATTTCGATAATATGTGAAGTTCGCCCATCCGCAGTGGGGCCGCGTGGGAAATGTATACAGCGTGTCGCTACTAAGGCGACCATAAATCAATACACATATAGAGGATAACTTATTAAAATTGTATTAAACATTTACGTTCTTTAAACACCAATATTTACAGAGTTATTAAATTTTGCAAAACAAACAATTTTAGAACATCCTTACGTATAAAACTGTAACGTAAAGTTCATTTATGAAGGTCACAAAGCATATGAATGGGTTGAATGAATTGGAAAGAGATAAAACATACTGTTAGAAGGAGAGATTCGTAATGAGCCGCTGCTGCAACGAATGAAAAAGTGTCTGAATGTATGAATAAGTCAGTTGTAGTTGTATAGGATGTTACAAATTTTGTTCCTTTTTTATTTAATTAGTTTGTTTGAAAAATATTTTTTTTTAATTATGGATTTTTTTAACGTTATATATTTTTTTATGATTATTGACAAGTAGCTTGAGACGTGTGTTCATTTATTGTTTCGGTGGTAAGGACACGCTGTATAGTAGGCAGTTACTTTACTTTTTTACACTTAGATAATTTAGTTAAACTATTTCATTCAGTCACTAAGGTATATTTTTTTTTTATTTTATCACTAGAAATTTGTATTTTGTTATTATTTAAGTGTTAGTCTCTGCATTTAAGTTGGATCTTGTTTTTTTTTTATATAAAATAACAAACACTTGGCGTTGTAGGATTCGAACCTGCGACGGCCGCTTTCGAACAGAGAATCGCTGTGATTTCATCGGCCACTTAGATTAATTAGCGTTTTTGCAAAATTTTAATCGGCTAATAATGTAATTACATAGATTGCACTTAGTATATAGTACTTGCCTTTTTGTACATATAGAAAATGATAGTTTACTAAATATGAGTATATATAAATTAACAAATCTTATTGAAAGCACTATCAGTTACACTTTGGTAGTGTTTGTTTTGCGTAAATCGGTTGTGTCATTCCTGTTTACTAAACATTAAGCAACATCTATGTTTAAACCAAACTTGTGAATTTATTTCTTTGTGCTTGTTATTAAAGACATCTTGTATTAACTGATGTTTTTGCTTTCAGTCCCGAGACTATTAAAGCTTCATCTGACGCAGTGCTCATGCGTGCGTTTAACTATGGTATGTCATCTAAGGGCCATCGAGGTTGCGGTTCGGGCCGGGACCCAGATGGCCGTCGACTGTGCAATTAGCTAATCGGCGGCTGGGAGCGATGAGAACCGCGCGGGTACCTTGTGTACGCGTTGTGTTGGTCTCGCCGTGCTCGGAGGCGAGGGCGAACTATCGTGTTTGTTGTTACACGTGGGTCCAACGAATCTAAGTCCCCATCTTCGACCGGGTCGATGAGGACGTTTCGCGGACGACGCTTGTTGACGTTCGCGTTTGTGTCGGGTTGGTAATTTACTGTATCAAGGACATGTGTATGTAAAGAACAGGCACAATTGTATTTTTATAGTGAAAAGAACTTAATTCCAATGACACCTTTCGTTACTGTAGTATGATGTAGTTTTGTTCTTCATTCAAATTGACAGTAAAAGTCATTGCAAAAGTTGTAGAACATAAACTCAAGATGGGTGATTAAAAGCAAACATGGATTTTTGAAGTTTTTATTTGTCTATTACAATTTTAAGGTGAATATTATAAAACTGAGAATTAATAACAAAAATTTTATTTGGTAAAGACAAAATCATTAATGAAATAATCAACAAGCAGAATTCGAAACTCGCTTATAATTTTCGAGAAAAACAATTATTTTAAATTTCTTATTTTCAGTAAAGAAATCCGCCATTTTGTTGTTGACAACATGTACGAAACGAAACGAATTCACACTTTTCCAAATGTTAACCTCTCATTATTTAAAAGTACTAAAAGAACTGTTACACTGACGTTCTGGGTGGTTATAAGAAAAATAATCAGGAAGGCGGCAAATTTTCAGCACATTGACGAGCGTGTTGCGATAAAAAAAAATTTTAATGATCGAGAAAAATCACTAATGAATTAATAAAAAAAACAATTGCCCGGTTGTTTAAAGTTTTTACAATAACACGTAAGCTCTCTATTGTGTTGTTTCATTTACTAAATTCGACATACATATGTAGAATGATTTGTAGTTCCTAATTCTGATAGAATCTTATCATTTTGGTCAATACTTAAGATTAGTCAGGTCTTTTTCAAAATTCCGGACCATTGGGGGGTGTTAGGCAGTACTCTATAATGCGACAAAATTCGATAGTCCGACAACGCCCTGCAAAAGGTTTGCTCGGCTGGGCGACCTCAAGATTTAAAAATACCTACCTAGTCTGAGCTCAAATATTTTACCTACAAATAGTTTAGTACTCTTAAAAGAATTTTATTCCACTATTTAAACATTTGAAGTAACTAACTATAGTGGGAGCTAACCAAAAATTAGGCAACTGCAGGCAGTATAATGGTATATATCTCATATTAATATGAATAAGATGATAGAATAAATTATTGGGATATCATTCATATAAAGAAAAAATATATCGTTGTTTATAATCAGATAGAGATTGTTGGCTATTTATTTATCTTTCCACAAAAGTTAAAACATTATTTAGACCATTCCCTTTATATTTATATACCTTCTCTTTTCTCCTGGACTTCCAAAATTTTGTTTCTTCTTTTGATAGGATATAATCTCCGCTTACTGCTACTGAGTTAAGTTTTGCTGCAAAAAATTAAAATTTATTATCTTTAATTATATTTTTTTTTCTCATAAGAGTTTTTTGTCATTTAGCCATTATTATATGTAATGCATATAAATAAACAAATAGATATATATGTGGGGGGAAGCTACAAATAATATTGTGTTTACTTTTTAATAACTTTTAAAAATTTTAATTAAATTTTATTTCATTTGTTACATTTTTATATTAACTTAAAATCTTAGTAATGAAATAAAAGTTACAAATATTGTAAACCACGTAACAACCAATCAGAGCACATGCCTCGAGTGGGGTTGAGGTGCCATCTTGACTTAAGGGAGCCTTAGGTTTTGGGAGACACATTGGAGAGATAGCAATTGATCGAGTTTGATTGTTGTGAGTTTATTCAGTATTTAAAGTAAGATTGGTGCCCTGAATCAGCTTTTCTTTCAACCTTGTTGTGAACAGACAAATCTGAATTAAAATAATACAAAACTGTGCTCGCATTTTACCCTGATGACGCCCACTGAGAATGCAACCATTAACGGCAGTATATATAATGAGAACAATGCTTCTCCATCATGTATATATTTAGACTTTTGTCTATGCTTTATATGTAATGAATCCTGAAATTTCAAGATTTTACTAACAGAACATAAAATATCTTTATGTTACCTTTATGCATCCCATAATAGAACATTAAAAAACGTAATGGACATCCTAGCTTTACTATCCAAAAATAGCCCGGACAGACAAAATGTTAATACTATCAAAGGTAATGATTGTGTTTGATTGTGATTGTGTTTGTTAGCTCTACGCCACACTGCCAGTAACAAATTCAATTTTATTTCTCCTGAATTTTGTCACATTAATTATAATTTGGGGTAAAATCTTTTCACAACTAATTATAGATCTATAAATCTATGAAATAAAATTATATCTGTGGACAACAATTTTGAAATTGTTTTATTGTCCTTTACATGATTGCACAGTTCAGAAAAGCATAAGAATAATGTATCCCAAGTTGAGAATAAAAAAAAATTACCTAGTTAATTTTCAATTTAAATGTTTAGCCGTTAATAAACCTTTAGAAGATACACAAACAGTTTTCTTGTATATATAACCTTAAAGTACCTAGAAACTCACCTGCTTCATCCATTGCATCAATATTTTTATAAGAATGGAATTTCTTGTTTCTTATTCTTCTTGATAAGTTGTTGTGCTCTTCAGTAAGTGTGTCCTTGGCTTCTTCACATGTCAAAAACCCCACTGAGTCTCTAAATAATTTCACACCGCCTTGAACTGTTTGGTTTCTGGAATGTGCAATTAAATATAAAATCAAAACATACCTTCATATGTAAATATTGTAAATCAAATTTTTCTTACTCTATATCTGCATCTTGTACATTTACGAATTTTAAATTTCTATTAATTATTTCAGACACTTTTGCACCGATTTTTTTCTGCAAATCTTTAGATACTTTGACATCATTATAGTGAGTAGCTTCCTCTAAATACCTTTGAGATCGTGGTGTTTGATCTAAAACTTTATTAAATTCTAAACAACCATTCGTTAGTAGAGTACACATTTCTTTAACAAATTAATAACGTAGTTACCTGTTTCTTTAGACACCAATCCGAATTTATCATCATGGTTTGCAATAATTTTTTGTATAAATGAATCATCTACCGCCTCTTGAAACCTTGATAAATCTTCCTCTTCCGAAGAATCTGTCATTTTACGAGCCCACCAAAGAGAACTTTTATGCTGAAACCTGGAGTCTGGAGCCCACTAAACGTTAAGTTCGCTCTAGATGTGGGTAGTATTACTTAACTCTACGTGTGGGTCTAAAACTCTAAAATCAAAAGCATGGCAAAAATTATCGATATAGAAAAATATCGATATTTTTCTATATAACTGACGAGTCAAAATGTCGATAAAAAAATCCGCAATTTATCGATATTTTTTTAGACTATCGAAGACTGATAGGTTCACTTGTGCGATTGCGATGATCAGAAATCGACGCCCGATTTCTGATAATATTCTGTATAATCGAAAATAATATCATAAACGACATTTTAAATTCAAATCCATCACAGTGTCCGTAGATGTCAAATGTTTAATACTTGACAGTTGACACAACTGTATCCGAAGTATCGATATTTTCTCTTCGATATATCGAGGTTATTATCCTTTTGTGTAAATTCACTTTTTCATTCGATTAAATTAATTTTGAAAACATTAGTGCCAATCCTTGGTGATGACCTCATAAATGTGTAACGCAGTTCACTCTTAAACAACAGTTGTCACGTCCAGTTTTATTAAAAAAAGAAGCAATCTTCCGCTTGATGCACTTTTCAAGCGCGCCGCATTGGTTCATTTCGGCTCATCTTGGAAGACCCATACGCTCGATTGCTACATTGTTTTGGGATCGTAGTAATAAATCCATGTTACGTCACCTGTTATTAAGTGCCATACCACCACCATTTGATGCTTCTGAGATGAACAACCGCGAGCGCAGTTGTGTAGGATTGATTTTATTTGACTCTAGCCTATGTCTAAGGATGCCCGAATCTCATGTTAGGTTACTTGCCTGCCTGTTTCGATAATACGGCACACAGCACCGATGTTTTTGTTGATACAGCGGTGGACGCGACCAGTAACAGATATATAGATACCGTAATACGTAATAACAAATCCACTTATGAAGGCGGTCTCGGGCAGAAGCACCCTGAATTTGGCCTCCTGGAATCTCTTCGCAGGGTTTTAGACCCGCCTGATGATGGCAGTGTACGCGTAACGCATGATCTCTGAGCGCACGTCTATCTCTATCAGTTTTATCGGTGTCCGGTTCCTCGGTTATCGTGGCAACCTCCGTAAATGTTGGCTGCTTTAATAAGAAATTGTCTTTTTTTCCCCTGCTCTAGGATTTTCCTTAACGCGACTAAACCAAATGATTATAAAAAGAGTGATTTATGGCGAGCGAACTTGACAATCTCAGTGAAGAATCGTGAGATTTATTGACACGATCGTGCTTGAATTCCGCAAACCAGCTATAAATAGTCGTCTGGCATGGTGGTTCATCTTCAAAATCAGATTGAAGCCGAGCGAGACTCAGCTGAACTGTCAAATTACAAAAATCGTTGAAAATCATACCTACTTAGAAAATTTTCTCGAGTAAATCCATGTTAATGTAGGACATACAATTTTTAAAATGTGCTACAATGTAAAAACTATTGACAGTCTGATGAAACGAACTGCATTCTACAGCCATAGAGCTCCATTTTCAAATGTTTTTTATTTATTTATTTATTTAAAAGGTTCACCAACGTACGTTCACATATTACGTTGACCATTAAAAAGATGAAACATCAAAACATAGAAAATTACATATGTGACGAACATTTATAGGCGAACACCACAAACACCAAAAACAGAAAAATATTAAATCCGATTAGAATAAACTTATAGTTACTTCAGGCTGACCAGTGTGTCCTACATACTGAATTGGATAAAGCGAAGAAAACGATCAAAGACTTGGAAGCCACAACCGAAATATTAAAAAAAGATCTTACTGTGTTAAAACAACGCCTAGAAAGTAACGAAAGATTTAACAGAAGCTTCAATCTAGAAGTCCAAGGTATACCGGAACACAAAGCTGAGAATATACTAAATATATGTAAAAAACTTTGTGAGACTGTCTCGGTCCCATTTGTGGAATCTGAGATAATACACTGTAGGCGGGTTGCGAAGCTTAATCCGTCCACTAAAAGACCTCGCAATATATTAGTAACCTTACCATCCCCACGTCATCGCGATATAATCATATCAGCAGTACGTAGATTTAACAAATCTTCGACAGGACCGATTTCAATTAATCATCTTGGAGTACCCGGGGCCAATAACCAAGTCTTCATAACCGAGCATCTGTCTCCAGAGTGCAAAGAATTGCACGCTGCTGCGAGGAGAATCGCGAAAGAAAAGGCTTTCAAATACGTGTGGGTAAAATTCGGTAAAGTGTATATAAGGAAAAACGATAGTAGCAGTGCTGTACTAATAAAAAATAAGGATACTCTCTCAAAATTGTAATAATTAGTTATACTCAAGTTGTTTTTTTATTTTTTATTTTTGTTACTTACTATATTCTCCGATTTTTTTTTATATAAAAATAAATAATGTTATTCTAAATGTAAATAGAATTAGGTCCAAAACTCAAAATTTACTTTTAAACGTTATGGTTAATGATTATGATGTTATTTGTCTTACTGAAACAAACTTAGACAACAGCTTATATGATAGTGAGGTTATTGATGCTCGCTATTACGTGTTTCGCAGGGACCGTGAACAAAGCTCCAGTAGTAAGTTATCTGGTGGTGGAGTATTGTTGGCTGTTAAAAAGAAATTTTCTGTTAGACGTTTGAAGTCATGGGAGAGTTCAGCTGAAGATATATGGGTGGTAATAGGTGATGATTCTTATAAAATATTTGTGTGTCTATTATATCTACCTCCTGATATACCTAAAAATACGTTACAACACTTTTACGCAAAATGTAGTGAAGCATTGACTGACACAATGGGTAAATTCATTGTCTTGGGTGATTTTAATACACCAAGCGTTGTGTGGCACCATGATTCCCTGTCAAATATAGTAAAAGGATCTTTCGTAAATGATATCAAGTGCATTAATCTTTCTGATCTAATAAATATCGGCTCCTTAAATCAATTTAATTTTCTGAAAAATCATAAAAATAGTATATTAGATTTATTCCTTACAAATATATCATGTGAACATCTTGCTCTCTCAACAACTGAGCCCTTATCACGTCAAGATGATTATCACCCTCCTTTCAAAGTTTTAGTTCAGAACTTTTTATACCACCAAACTAAGCTGAACGCAAAAACACCTCTACTTAACTATCGAAAATGTGATTTTGATGAATGTAGGAAATTATTAAGAAATGTGAACTGGGATAATGTTATTCACTTTAATGATGTCGACCAAGCAGTAATTTATTTTATAATACTTTGAATGACATAACCAAAAGTTGCACTCCCTACAAAAAAAGCACAAGTAATACTTATCCTATTTGGTACAATGGAGCCTTAATACGGTGCTTAAAAGAACAAAAGAAGATGCATAGTAAATTTAAAAAATACGCTAACCCGAGGGACTATGACTCGTACTCAATCTTACGTAAACGCTCTAAAGGATTGATTCATCAGTGTTACAACTCTTTTAGGGACCTAGTTGAAAACTCGTTGGGAACAACCGCGTCTGTTAAAATGTTTTGGACATTTGTGAAATCTAAAAAAATGGATGTAAGTATTCCGCATATTATGTCTTACAACGGTAAATCCAAATCTGATGGAAAAGGGATCTGTAATCTCTTCGCTGAATTTTTCTCTTCGGTCTTAGAAAAACATGACGGTGTAAAGTTAGCGGGATGCAATCCCGGTGTAGATAAGCAATCAAATTGCAGCATATCATCTATTTTTATATCTCGTAATGATATTAAAAATAAAATTAAATCAATAGCGTTAGACAAAGGCGCCGGACCTGATGGAATACCTCCGTATTTCATTCGCGAATGTGTAGACGAAATTTTAGAACCTTTACACATGATCTATAACATGTCTCTTACTCAAGGTAAATTCCCATCTGTTTGGAAGCTTGCATTTATTGTCCCGATACACAAGTGTGGCGATAAAACGGAATGTGAAAACTATAGACCCATAAGAATTTTATCAAATTTTGGTAAAATATTTGAATCTTTGATCTATGATCACTTGTTATCATTTGTATCACCTTATCTGGTGAAAGAGCAACATGGATTTATAAGACATAAATCCACAGCTTCAAATTTGCTGGAATACACAAATTATATTTACAATTCCTTCAGTAACCGAATCGAAGTTCATTCTATCTACACAGATTTTAAGAAAGCATTTGACAAGGTAAATCATCGTTTGTTAATATCTAAATTGGATACTATGGGTATTCATGGTAGCCTACTTCGCTGGGTGCAATCTTATATTGAAAAAAGATCACAAATAATCACTTTAAAAAGCTACATATCAGAACCGACTCTAGTGACTTCAGGCGTCCCGCAGGGTTCCAATCTGGGTCCATTCTGATTTAAAAATATTTCGTAGTATTAATACCAACGAGGATTGCATACTATTGCAACGAGATTTGGATTTAATCACGACATGGTGTAATAACAACCAAATGTTTCTCAACGTCCAAAAATGCTTCTGTATTAATTTCTCATCTAGCGCTGTGAAGAAAACTGACTTTCAGTATTCTATCAATCATATGGACTTAGATTGGAAAACTACCGCACGAGCTTTAGGAATAATCATGGACTGCACGCTATCGTTTAGGGACCATTATGATTACTTACTCAATACTTGTAACAGGACGCTTGGATTTATTTCCCGATGTTGTAAAGGCTTTCGTAACCCTGAATCATATATATGAATCATATAAAAGTCTTCAATAGTTTAGTTCGTAGTAAGCTGGAGTACTGCAGTATTGTCTGGAATCCTTACTACGCGGTGCACATAGATCGCCTCGAAAGTATTCAGGCAAATTTTTTCAGAACTATTTCATATCGCCTGGGAATGAAGCGTACTCTCACAACTTATACAGATAGATGTACCTATTTTGGTATGTCTACTTTACAAAACCGCAGGCTGATGATTGACATGTTAATGTTTAATAAAATACTGCACTAATAGGTAACTTGAAAACTGAACTCCTTGCAAATGTAGCTGTTAATGTACCCATTCGCAATTTAAGAAAATGTGAACTGTTTTATGTTCCAACTCATCATACAAACATCACTAGATAGAGGTTTATTGTAAACCTCTATCTAGAATTAGCCGCAATTATAATTCCCTGGTTCTGAAACATCCTGAGCTGGATATTTTGGGTGGTGATCTGTTCACATTTAAACGGAGATTGAAAGCAGCCTTAAATGCTTCATGATATTGTTCTCCATTATTCTATTTTAGCTATATAGTTATTAGTTTTAAGTTTTTTATTATGTTTTGTCACAAATATTTATTATTTGTCACTTTTATAGTATGTACAATTTACTTGTTTTTTTTTTCTTATATAACTTGCTGTCGTCGTATACTTGGAATGTCAACTGAATGTTATAATATTGTCTTTGTATTATTATTTAAATACGTTGTCATTCTGCTTTGTGATGCTACAAATAAATAAATAAATATATTGTAGTAACAATAAACCAAAAAATAAAATGACAAAAAGAATATCAATAAAAAAATAGAGAAAATTATAACTAAAAACAAAAAATCAATTAATTTAGAAAATATTAGATAAACACTAAATAGCAAGAACACCGTATAACAAAGAACAAAAATAAAAAATGTCATTAACGTAAACGCTATAGCACAATATTGCGGAGTTTGGTAAGTGTATCTTTATTATGCACATCGATTCGGTCGCTAAAATTATTAATTAATTTACACAGTCTGGGGATTGGTGAATTTTCGCCGAGCATTTCTAATTACTTTTTAAATATCGTTTATGTAAGTGGCTATTTCCTTAAACTTTTAGTGTGACCTAGTACGTCGAAACAATGAAGTTTGTTTCATATTTAGTAGTGAGATAAACTAGGTTAAAGCAACAACAGTGCCAAAGTGCTCAGCAACAAGTAACAACTGTGAGAGGGTGTATCTTTCTAACTAAGGCAACAGTCCAGGCATGAATAAAGAAAAGCTTGTGACAGAGTATTAAGGAACAATATGTGTGGAACAAGAACTGTTATTTCAGTTTGTTCGTAACATGAACAGTCTGTTATCTCAAGATACCTGTTACGATAAATACGCCCTACTCCTACCCACTCGTGTGAGGTATCAGACGAGACATTACGTCCGTCGCTTTATTGGTAAGGTACGAAGCTAAAAGTCCGAATTAGAGTTCGACATTCTACATATGACCGGCCCATCGCAACTTCACCTGCTAATCTTCTGAGCTATTTCGGTTATCTTGGTTCTACTGCGAATGTCTTCATTACGAACTCTATTACGCAGAGAAATACTGAGCATAGCCCGCTCCATAGCTTGCTGAGCGACTTTAAGCTACATGTCGATGGATGCAGGTGGCTCAGGATCGTACTTCGTGGCAGTGACCACCATATAGGTGGAGGCCTATGTTCAGCAGTGGACTCAAACAGGCTGAAATGATGATGATGATGATTCTACATAAGAATTCATGGTGGGTTGTTTACTTTTCTCGACCTCTACCGTTGAAGTGAACGCGAAGCTATCATTGCTATAAAAGCCGCCGGGTAACTAGAGTTCTCATGACATTACAACATTTCTTCTTCTTCTAAGCTAAGGCAGTTGGAGATCCATATGGTTACAACATTTACATAACAACTTGTCAAAATGTCACCTGTGACCTGATCTGTCAGTTGTCTGTCATTTTATGAAGTAATTTAAATGCTAAATGCTAAGATATAAAATAAAATTTTATATTTGATGGCTAAATTATATGTATTTGTAGGTTATTTAAATTGAAAACCTTGTACAATATTACTTAAGCCATTATGGAATACAAGAAACCGCCAGTGGATCCAGATTTAGTGAAATTTACAGAAAAAAACGACTATGATGCATTGGCTAAATACTTAGTCGGAAATAACTACCGCTATCGTGACAACATTATAATTCCACGAATATTAGGCCCCGTCGTTATAAAAACAAATGAAGAGAAGATGATTGAAGCTGCTGTAGAAAGTTGCCCATTCAAGTCAATTACTAGTTGTATTATTGGTAAGTCATATAATGTTAAACACTTTTGAACTATTTAGCAGACTTGAAAACAAATTAAATTGTCTGGTTCTGTTTTTAATCACTTCTAAGTTTTCATGGTGTTGTTTCATTTATTGAAACTATATCATTGGTTATAATAAGTTACAACAATAGTTAAGCTTTAACTAGCTCATATATACAATAAAAGCTAACTATATAATCTCAAATTTTATCTTAAGTTTGCACAAAAAATAACAAAAATAATTTTAAAACACCACTTGCACTTTTATTTGCAAACATCTGGAGGACTTGTAACTTTTGTAAACACCCAGATTCAAGTCCAGGCTAGTTTATTAATAACTATTTAAGTGGAATCTATAAAGTAATCTGAGAGTCTTAAAGTCATGAACATAACAATATATAATATAATATTTTCTGGATAAAAAATGGTAATAACAAAATAAGTTGATTATTCCAGGTTATGGCCTTGGCGCAGCAGTCGGTCTCTTTACATCATCCCTAATGCCTAATGTCACAGATCCTATGGCACAGCAAAATCAAACAGCAAGAGAAATTTTAAGGGAGATGAAAGGATCTATGCTTAGTTACGCAAAAAACTTTGCAATTCTTGGAGCAGTGTTTTCAGGAGTTGAATGCTGCATAGAAAGTGCTAGAGGGAAATCTGATTGGAAGAATGGAACATATGCTGGTGGCGTAACTGGAGGTCTTATAGGGTTAAGAGGTAATATTGTGAAAAACTACATACATTTGGTGTACCAACTATAATTTGTGTTATAACACCACCTAGTGTTAATAATATGTCTTTGCCTACATACTGTTTGTTATAAGATATTTTTTGTAGTATGATTCATGATTTACATATTCCTAATAGTATAATTTAAAATACATTCTTTTCCAATTTGTTGAATATATCCATATTTGTTTTAATTGTATATTGTTATAAGAGCAATTTAGAGCGGTTTATAATCTAAATTCAAAAGCATTTCTTTCAATATACATGAAAATGTAATATATGTACATAGAAACATAAATATTTTTTTATAAGAATAGTGATTACATAATACGTGTTTTTACGCCAATAACTAGACTATAGGGGAAGTCACAAGTTCGTTAAATGTTTTTCTTTATATATTTATATAGGCTTCTAGAACAATGTGCAAAGCCTGCCTATTACAGTTTATTAAGAAAAAACTGTATATAAATAAATACTTTAATGATAATAACCCCTTGGAATGAGTTAATCACTCCCAAGGTATTTCCAAAAAATGTATAAAATTATGTATGTGTTAATGCCCTGAGGAAAAAATTTACAATAACCAGGATACCTAGTTTCTTTCGCCGGGTTTTTCTCCTTTAGAGGAACCTCATAACAAAATGATAAATGTATGTTTCTTATTTCAATGAAAATGATTTGATTGATTTTGACACATTTTGGAAGTATGTACCTCTTTTGGAGCATTTATGAAAAATGATGTCAGTGAATTGATATGATGTGCGTCGTGAAACAAAGCGACACCAACTTAAAGGTGCCGCCATAGCAATCAATAATTTTTTTGACATTTACAATTCTAAGTTTTTTGATTAAACCATTATCAATTGCATTCAATAACACATGGGATATAATTTTAAATATTTTTCTTTTGTTATGCTAAAGAAGAGTAACTTCTTACGTGAACACTAGTACTCAAATGCGTTTTTTTTTTAATTTCAGGTGGATTAAAAGCTGGTTTATTTGGTGCAGCAGGATTTGCAGCTTTCTCGACAGTAATTGACTATTACATGCATCAAAGAGGGTCTTAAAATTCTACACTAGTTGTTATAGGAAAAGTCTGTATAGTTTTTATTTACAACCATTAAAATATATAGGTTTTAAAACAAATAGAAAGCCATATATTTTGTTTTATTCAAGTAAAAAGTGTTTTACTTGAATAATATATAATTTCCCTATATCATAAAAAATATTTTATAACTCAATACAACATTTTCCAAATATATATTTACCAACTATGGGATTCATCTATTTCAAAAAAAAATTAGGAAGTCTCGACAGGAAAGTAGAATGAGACATGGAACATTACCTCCATCTATTATTTATGAGCAGGTACTCCAATTACTATATGTTTGTATCAACCTTGAAATTGGCAGAACCAGTAAGTTGTTCTTGATTGAGCCATGTAACACTAAAATTTAAACATAATTTCATTATTCAACATAATGAGTTCTATAACACCTCTGCATAAAATTATTCGGGGATGTTATGATAAACTTGTTGGTTTGTTCCTTGTAGAAAGCGATGATTTTTTGGGTTACTATTATATTAGTTATATCTGTCGAACACGGCGATTAGATAAAAGTTGAACTCAAAGCAAGCCCCTGGACGAGCTATTAATAGCTGCGTATCTATTACGGCTACATACATTATTATATCAATATCAATTATGTACTACTTGAATTTGAAATAAGTACCACGACCTCACAGAAGACCAGCGTAAAGTGGAGTATGACAAGTACTTTCGCGTTTCGTCTGGTGAGTTAGGTAGCCGGAGCCCAATTTTCAAAAGGTTGTCAACGCATCTGTAACCCTCGGGTGTAGGCAGATTTCCATGGGCGGGGGTATTCACTTACCAACAGGTGAACTGTCTGCTCGTTTGGCAACTTTTCACATAAAAACAAAAGATATAAACTGTTATACCTTGTCACAGTTGTTACTGAACACTGTCACAAGCTCTTTCTTTTTCTTGCATCAGTCTTATAGCTTTGTTAGAAAGAGAAGTACGGACGTTACTGTAATGTACGTAACTGTAACAGCTGTCACAGTATGATACTCTATGGTAGCAGTTACACAATAATTATCACCACATACTATGAAATAACAAGCTGTTATTTTATAACAGGTATCAGTCAGGTATATGCATAGCGGCTTTGCGTTATAGTGCGGCGGCTGAATATTATTAATCGTGCGTGGAAGCGGGAAGCTGCTGGTACGAGGATTCCGAAAGCCTTTACCAGCGGATTTGTATGGGCGTTAATTCTTTTGAAGTGTCCTATCAACACTTCTTTAAAGGTGGACAAGGATGTTATATTTAATGTCGCGAAGCCAATCGGCGCTCCGCACGTACCACGGTGTGCCCTGTTGGAACGAAGGAATTCATTTAGAATTATTTTAATGGCTCTAATCTATGAGGAGGGATATGCGCTAAACAGGCATTCGCATATGTCATGACTGGGTGAATAGAAATTTTATATAAATGCCATGACTATTACACTCTTTTTCTCTACGTTCTCAAAATAATTTTTTACTTAGTACTCCTAGTCACTCCTCTTCCTTCTATGCTAATTCTTTTACGGTTTTTGCTATACGTCTTTGGAATTCTCTTCCTTTAGATATTAAACAATCTAAATCTCTTCACATTTTTAAAACTAAATTAAAATGTCATTACCTATCCTCTTAATATACTATCTGTCGTCCATCATATATCTTTTTTTTTTTTCTGTCTATATGTATATATATATATATATATTTTTTTTTTTGTGTATTTACTATTCTTATTATTTGTTTAGTACACCCTACCGCTTTCTTCTTTTAATGAATCCTCTGCCCTAAGGTTGCCTGGAAGAGATCGCTGTTTTAGCGATAAGGCCGCCTGTTGTACCCATGTGTCTTTAGTTATAAATCCTTTATTTCTACTGGTGTACAATAAAATATTTTTTACTTTACTTTATTTACAAATTTCGCCCTATTTTATCACACATTATGGATAAACAATATATGGGTGTTTTATCACCGTACGAGTCGGCGTTCGACAATAACAACGCTGGTTCGTCGGTTGCTGCGGCCTGCGGTGCGGCGTAGACATAGGTTTAGTAATGCGGTAATTGCAGCGTACCTGTACATACGTGCGATATGTGGTTGCTGCAGCGAACACATAGGTGTGTGCGGTATTTCGTCGGCCGATGTCACCAACAACGCCCTTTCGTCGCACACAGGAGGCATTTACCTAACAACGGTATATAAATGTACAGTTTTTTACTTTACTGCATAAATTAAGTGTTAGCGTCCGTAAAAATAATAATATTTTTCAGGACAAATTTTTACACGACGTTTTCTAGTCTCAAAGAGACGCTCTTACTATGGGTAGTACTTAACTGATAAATATACTTTTCTTTTGTATGAAATATATAAACACCCAGACACTGGAAAAACACTGTTCATCACACAATCTTTTTCCAGTATTGGGGATCGAACCCACACTCTGACGCAAGAGGCATTGCACATGAGTCGAATCAGGTCATCAATAAAAAAAGGAAAGGTAATACAAAAGGCACGGAAATGAAAGAGGGTGGAAGTTGGGAAAATTGGAAGACTAATGTTTGTGTTTTAATAAAGATGACGCATAGATTTTGTATTACCTACTTCTGAAATGATTTTAATTGTATCTTAATTAAAGAAAGAAGTAAGGAATAATTAAACATTTAATTATATTTAATGATTTGAAAAAGATTTCAAATGAACAATTTTTCGTTCTGTAGTTTACTGTTAGGTTTTTACAACTGCGTTGGAAGCAGTCCACTGACAGATAACAGGCCGGCTCAGGAGAACAACTAAACCGGTGCACGAAGACGACACGTAGACGTCGTCCGCTCCTAGCCGTAGCTTTAGGACCCCGCTAGCGAAAGATGAACGATTTGATTTACAATGGGGATGCACGAAACAATTCAATGACCCCTCAGATTGTTGTTTGAACCACGGCTTTGACCGTGATCAATTGTGCCTACATGAATGATAGCTTGCGAAAATTAAATTCCAAAAGCAATTAAACACGAAGTTCGAAAACAATCAGTTTCCCAGAAATAAATTATTTAACAAACTCAAGATTTCCGATACCCGTTAATAATCAATTATTATAAAAACTATTAATCTTCAAAACTTAAGTTTCATAACTAATCCATGACCATAAATATGCAGACTTAAAAAATAACAACGACGAGACGTAAGCGATTCAAAGGCGATCACGAAAGCATCGTTCCCGCCGGAAAACACTACACCCACAGTTAGTGCAACAACAAACACACTAGTTCGCCCTCGCCTCCGAGCACGGCGAGACCAACACAACGCGTACACAAGGTACACCCGCGTTCCAGGGCGGTTCTCACCGCTCCCAGCCACCGATTAGCTAATTGCACAGTCGACGGCCATCGGGGTTTCGGTCCGAATCGCGACCTCGATGACCCTTAGATGACACACCATAGTTAAACGCACGCATAAGCACATGCGTGGCCCTAGCCAAAGCGGAGAGCCCAAACCCGTGGATTCTGGCTAGCCCACCGGTTCTGCGTCAGGTGAAGCTTTAATAGTCTCGGGACTGAAAGCAAAAACATCAGTTAATACAAGATACAAGAAAGCATCGTGGAATACAGGCTGCGAAAGGAAAGAACGCTTCGCGGTGGGTTACTCGTCGGACTGCGGTGAAAATTATTGTTTTATCTGCTCATTAATTCATGGGAAACGTTTATCACGTTTATAGGACGAGTAATCTCGAATAACCGGTCCGAGGGGGTGCGGGGATGCTAAAGATAACTTTTATATGTTAAATATAATTATTTAATTACAACTTCCATTTAACCTAAAACACAACGAAAAGTGGGCAACACTTATATTTCGTTTAAAAAGAAAACGAGTAACGAATAATTGTGTTGCGTGCGCTGCGTTGCGTCAATCAATGCAGAATGGACTATAGCCGAATTTTGAGAGATTGATTTTATACTACATATTATAAATATGTATTAACGTGGTCCTTTTTTTGTAAAGAATAAAATTTTACACTGATAACTTAAAAGTTAGTTCGTATTTTAAGATAGCTTAGTATAGCGATCTAATAAAATGAAGGATCCATTTGTGTCCGACTCCGGTATTGATTCGCCGACACGCGAAAGTATAAAAATTATAGACGGCTGTTATAATAGAAATATTTTTAAAGCTAAACCTTTTTTAAACTCAAGGCGTGCGTTGCAGTCCAGTGCAGAGAAAATTTCAAAAACGTTCAAAAGCGTTAGGAACACTTTCGGCAATTTATCGCAGGTATGAAATAATTTAGTATTTATTTTCAACGTTCAGTATTATTTAATATTTACATTTAATATGTGATTTACTTGAAGTTATTTTGAATTCAAATTTTTTCGTTTTATTATTTTTTATTTATTTTAACTTAGTTTTTCTCGCAAGCATTATTTATTTTTGTATTCCATTGTGTTTCCTGTGTTTTGTGATCCCTTGCGGGTAAAAGCCTCCTCCATCTCTTTCCTTTTTGTTTCTTTTCAGTAGCGATGGTCACCCAATTCCTTCCTGCTATTTCTGTAATGCCATCTGACCATCTTTTTCTTGGCCTTCTGACTCTTCTTTTGCCTGATGGTCCTAGCCATTTTGTAACTTTAAGAACATTTTATCCTTTTATCTGGCTACATATCTAGCACATCTCCATTTCTGTTTTAAGCTAAACTGAAGTGCATCTGTCAATTTGGTTTTTTGCCGGATGACTTTGTTTCTAGTTTTGTGTATTCTTCTTAGTCTTAAGAGGCTTATTTTCGTTCCATGTTCAGTATACATCCACCTTGCTTACATCCATGGGTAACAAGGGAGGATGCAGGAATCCGTTACTATTTTCTTTATTTTTGGTGTATAATTTTCTTGTAGGATTTCTTTATGTGCCCAGTATTTTCTCCAGGTTGATTTTACTCTTCTATCTACTTCGTTTTCATTGCTGTTAACATCAAAAGATATCATTTTGCCAAAGTATACAACTGTCTGCATATTCTATCATCTTTCCTAAATATAGGCTCTGTAGAATTACTTTTAGGCCATTTATAATTTTTTTAATATATATCCTTATAAATATATGTTCTAAAATGTGCAAACATAGTGTGCTAGACCAATTTAACTAAAATTCACTCAAGATCCTTTTATTAGTAAGTTAGTACAAACTTTTTTATTGAAATTCATTATGTTTAAATGGGGCACTTTAGCATTTCAGGCTGGGAGGGAGACGCAGACATAGGCTTGCTGAACCGATATCACCATGTAGGAGTCCTTCCACACCTGTTACAAAAAAGAAGGGGGTATGATAATTTATTTTTTAACACCATGAAAGCGAAATACACTAATAACACTGAAATTGTAACTGGCTCCAGAATAATTATAAGCTTGGAATCTGTAACTATTTTTATACTTTACTGTTTCCATTAATTAATCTTTGGATATTTAAACATTTTAATTATTAATTTGTTCCAGCTACTTGGTCGGAGCCCTACAAAGCTGTACAGCCCCTTTGGAATTGAAACACCCCACAGCCGTGACTTTAGAATGTCTCCATACATGCCTGATACTCCTGATGGGTGAGGCTACTTGTTCCAAGTTTACCATAAACATAGAAGGGATATTCTTCTCTAGTGGGAGCCGTGTGTGCAGTGCTGGCCCTAGCCTTTTATTTGGGGAGAGTGAGATTGTCTTTCAGCGTCCTTTAGTCATTTCTTGTTATTTTCACTTAATAATAAAATATGTTTCCTAATAAACAAAAACCGCCCCGCGTCTTTTAAAAGGCGCCATCGAAATTTTTATTTTATGTTTTTTTTTTTTCATTTGGTTGTAGTGCCCTTTGATAACTAGTGCCTAAATGGACCCTGCTCTAATAGCTACCTTTGGGCTGGTGATGCTTGTGGTATAAAGACCTTCTATACTATACCATTATGGATGTTCTTGAAACATCTCCATTTTCTGGTCTTATAATCTATAATCATATAATATAACCAATATTTTCCATTTTAATACAGCCATAAAATATAGAATTACAGTGTGTTTTGCTTCAAGCAAAATGCTTTTATTACGCCTCTGTTAGTTTGAGTAAATAAATTCTTAAATAACTTTACCTACCTGACTACTCTCTTTCTTTAGTGAGGAAAGAGAGTATTCATGTACAGTCGAACTCCTATACTATGTGAGGTGTCCTCATAAGTATAGTAGTTCTACTGTACGTGTACATAAACTGCTGGCCATCTGTAGGATAAAAAATAAAACTTCAGGACAGAGTGTTTTAATTGGTATGTCAAACCCAGAACACTGTTGACTAGTTTTTCTATTTGCTCAATTTGTACCCGATGGGTACGGTGATATATTTTTGTCTACTTCATCAGGCCCTTGTTTTCTTTCATTTTATCGTGAATGTTCAAATTCTATACAATAATCAATGCAAAGGAGTTTATTAGTTTCAATATAAATCAACTGTGGCAGCTTTGTGTCTAGGCATGATTGCATGCTTTTATTATGTGAGAAGGTGGTAAGCGAGCTGGCGGGTCACCTGATGTTAAGTGATAACCACCGCCCATGGACATTTGCCCGTATGGTTGCCGATGTGTTGTTACCTTTAATTAAAGTGGGCCTGGTTATCTCACTAACCAGACGAAACGCGGAAGTATAATACTTCTACTTCACGCTGGTCTTCTGTACGGTTGTGGTACTTCTCCAGACGAACCTGCCCATTCGTACTACAACGAAAACTGTTCCGTGGCCCGATCACAGTTGCGTAGCCTTGATGAAAATGTCAATTAAAATTGATTAGAAATAAACACACAAATTGTCATGTCATGGTGTACCATTGATTTCTTTCTATAATTATTAAAATTTGTAGAAAAAAGTACAAAAAGGTTTTCTCCGCTGTGGGAATCAAACCCTCGCCTTCAGGATTCGCGCCCTGAAGCTTTAGCCGCTAAGCTAAACGGCTGATTGCCACACTGACGAAAATCTTAACATCTTATCAACATTGTTTTTTAGCATTTGAAGCAATGCTTGACGCATCCATTGTTATATCCTCCAGCATACAAACAATTTCGAATATCGTTTTACAACGATAATTCGAACGAGAGATGTCGCCATTGCTTGCGTAATGATTAAACATTAAGATTTCATTCAAATGCTAAAAAATTATGTAGATAAAAGACGGTTAAGATTTTCACGGGTGTGGCAATCAGCCGTTTAGCTTAGTGGCTAAAGCGTAAGGGCGCGAATCCCAAAGACGGTGGGTTCGTCTCCCACAGCGTCGAAAAACATTCGTACTTTTTTCTACTAATTTAAATATTTAATCCAAGTGCAGAGATTAGCACTATAAAAATTTTAAATTTTTATTATTAATTTAAAATAACTTCCCTTATTCACGTTAATTCCAGTTTGTCACCGAAAAGGCGTAAAGGTGTCGCTCACTCGTGGCATCTTTTGGCCAAGAAGAGGCCCAGAGCACTGTTCCACTGAGCCTCCGCATTTAATGAGGAGCCGGCGCACAAATATTGTAACCCACCGCTTAATACCATAAGGTTAGCTTTGTATCCAATTTTAGTATTTGTTTCAATGTGACTGGTGCTATGTTCAGATGGAGGGAGTTGAATGTGGCAGTTTGATATATGCTATTTTTGTCTTTGTGCATCAGTAGTTATTTTATAAACATTACATTGACAGTAGGATTTGTAAACAAATGATAAGATTGGTTAATTGACAACACATTGATAGTTATAACTATGTTTATTTTCAATAAAAAAGATTAACGTTTTTTTTTATTAATGTGTGATATCTACTGATCTAAAATAATTTATCAGATTTGTGGTAAGGAATATGTTTGTTATTCTGGTTATTTAATTATTTTTTAGCACTGGTTTCTAGCAAATGAGTTAACTGTGATAGTTAACAAAATGTGCATGAACCCCAAACTAATCAGCATCAATCTGATTGTTTTATTCAATTTATGCTGTTAGGGGTTTTTTACTTAATTACTTAATCAGAATATTGAGTAGTTTCAATTCTAAACGTATTTTCGCATATCCAGTATTAAATAAGCCAAAATTATACTCGCTTATACCTTAATATGTCATCAAGATTATGGTTATAATGTAATTTTTTATATTACGCTTTTCCGTGACAATATTGTAGTCTGCTAACTATATATATGTACACTAAGACTGGTAATTTTTATTACTCTTTACATATTTTAAGGCAATCTCATATGTTCTAACAATATGACGTCCTGTGAGTTCAAAGTAGACCTTGTTGAAGTTATTTTCAGTATTTCTTACATTTAATGTCGTATTTTGTACTTAGGGCACAATATTTTATTTATTTTTTATGTACAATTATTTTACTAATTTAGTAATAACATGTTATGAGCCCACCACATGATTCTTGTTAAAGCTTTTGGAACCATTATAGTTGTGCACAACTCTGGCAGCAGTTGTGTATATCTATTTTTATCTTTGGATTCACAAATCGGGCTCACTAACAAATGTTACTAACATAAACACAGGCTATTTTATCAATTGTGAATCCAAATATAATAATGAATGAATTTAATAATAATCTTTTGGTTGAAATACAATATCTTCAAGCAAGGGCATAGTAACTTGTTCCTGACGGCTGGTTTTCACTGCTTCAGCATTCATGTATTACCACTGTACAAAAATGTATTATCATATTTTTACAGACAGTAGAATATTGTCAAAATTTCTTTTGGGAATTGATTGTGTTGTTACTCTAGACTTTTACGGTCTGTATTTATAGAAACCTCTTGTTAGATCTGGTTAAGTAGGCTCCATGGCGCTAGCTTCAACGGCAAGGCAACAAGACAGTAGATAGAAATGGGAATGAAAGGTCAGTGGACAGTTGAAATCATAATGTTTTTAGCGGCAGAGTGACAGTTACACTGGACTGGCTTGAACAAACTCTTTCTTCATAAGGGATGGAAACTGTTTAGCCTGTGAAAACCAGTCTCAGCACTTAATTACTAAAATCTTCTGTACTTTTGTGGGATAGAACATGCTGAAACAACAATAAACGATTTGTGTGAATAAAGTATAAACCAAATAAGTTTTGGTACAATTTTACACATTTGGTATTTGCAATGGCAGAATTAAGTTTAAGGAAAAATGGGGGACAGCAGTGAAAGAGTTTTAGGCTGAGAAAGAACTAAAACTAGGGTAGTTGGGATTTAGGTTTATGTTTTCTGGCTTAGTATAAATCTCTTTTATATGAGTTGGTAATTTATACAGCTCTACAAGTATTAGGTTATGTTTTTTTTAGAACAAAATACAATTAAATTTGTTCTTTTGAGATTTTCTGTTTCACCAAAGAATTCTTTTTAGTACATTTTTGGTAGTTATTTTCCAAATTATTTTATGCCATTCCTCTAAGACACAAGACATGTTTTTCATCAACAGGGCTGTTATGTTGAATGCATGATTTACAATTTAAAGTTTTCATTTGTATAAGAGATTGATCTTGCTGATGAGATTGCAAAGTTATTAAGTATACTTTGCAGTCTTTGTTAGTTCTCGACTCTATACATGATAATGCACTTAGTAAAACAGTTGTTTAAAGAAAAGGCATGTCAAATGAAAATAATAAAAAAATCAAATAAAAAAATATTTCTAGTATTTACAATGAAATATTGTACTTCTAAACTGCTATTATAATCTCGAATGCTATTTATAATTTATTAATAAATCATTCGTATGGAATCTTGTCTTATTTTTCACGTCAATAGAAATAAGATTCTATAATTATTAAAATTTTTTAACATTTAGTTATTTAGTTTATAGCAATAGTAATTTTGTGAGTGATAAATGAATCCGTGGGTGTCTGAAGAGGAGACTAAAGGGTATGTCACATAATATATCTACCTCCGAGGCATGGCTCGACTTTCCGGACCCTAAATATTCAGGCCAATAACGGGCTGTAGAGTTGCAAGGTGTCTGGAATACTGCAGTTGCCAACCTGTTCGGCAGGAGTGGTAATTATGCTACCCACTCACCTTAATGGAAACTAAAGTCTTGTAGCCCCCCACTTCCTGACGGTGCTTTAATTCCTGGCTACGGTAGCAGTAATGTAATGGGTAAGAGAAAGCTAATATTCAGCTAGGGTTCCTATAACAATGTCTGGACCTGGCATCCTACAACCCAGAAACTTTGAAGTCTGAGATAATTTGATTTATATTAACGTTTAATAAAGTTATTTTTGGGAAATGTACTTTATACTTTTGCATAAAATAAAGTAGGTGAAAATACTCTATTTACAATTTTTACTGTGATGCATAAAATAAAACACATTGTATGTGGACAATTATTCAACTTTTATCGATACTTCTAAGTTGAAACAGAACACTTTTAGCTTAGAAGCTTTTGCTTTTATTATATTTAATGTAATTATATTATATGATGATATATAGAAAACATTTTTATCCCAAGAAAATTTTGTCACTTCTCAATAAATTTTTTCTTATATGATAATTTGTCAATTTATCATTTGATATATTTCTAGACCTAGCAATTTTTGGGATAAGTGTATGTGTGCACTTTGTGTTTTCACAGATTTTCATTTTCACAATATTTTTTTTTATTTTTTTGGAATGTAAAGATGGCTTCCAAAAATTTAAGTACTTACCTACTTATAGTGAAAAACTGTATGTGCGCTAGAAGCATACAAAAACATTATAACTTGTAGAGAACTAAATAAAATACTTTATTTTTCTTCTATATACATTATTTTTTACTTGAAAAGTGTGTATACTTTTCTCAAAAACAGTTGGCAGCCCCAGGGAGGAAGGACATGATGATCCTTGAATCAGGCAACTAGTTTAACCACAGGACGAGCAACTGTTTTATGGAGGTGTCGGCATAGTTGAAATCGTGGGTTGCGTACTTTATACTAAAAAAAAAAAACCCTTATTCCCAAAAAGTCAACATCGGCACACCCCGATGATGAGGTAGGTACAATGTATGAGGATACAAACCCATATATTTTTCAAAACACGAGACATCGTGTAAATATAAGATTTCAACGCAAAACTAGGCAAAATGTTGGTCAATCCATTGAATTGGCAATAACTCTTCTAATATTGGATTGAATCCAATATTAGAAGAGTTATCGCCCGAAAAAGAAAAACCTGTTCATTACTTAATGAGTGTAAGTGTTGAAATTAGAGGAAAAAAAGATGCGTAATTTTATTTTCTACAATAACGGTCTCTATGACTTTTGCCCTAAAGTGCATAGTTTACGAGATATCGACCCAAAATGTATTTCACGATGTCTGAAGCTTCACCGGAATCTGTCAGCATTTTGTGATTTTATTCTGAGTAAGTGGTCCTAAACCTTTAAAAATAATTGGATTGGTAATTTGGTTATTTTTACTGTGTGGTTGAATAAGCGTTTTGTAAGACGATGTTACTGGTAAATAACAGAACTTTCTACACAACATAAATAGATGTGTATTTTTTGTATGAAAAGTCAAGGGGGCAGGCGGTTCACCTCATATTAAGTGATTATGGCCAATCATTGACATCAGCAACACCTGAGGGGTTGTAGAAGCGTTGACAACGTTTTAATAGTTTCATCACTCACCAGACGAAACGCAGAAGTATAATATTCTTATTTCACATCCGTCTTCTATGAGGCCGTAGTAGTTCGCCGCTTTACAATAGATGACGTATATATATGTGAATGAGACAGATGATGTAGAATGTGATATATGAAAACTCAATATAATTACACCAAATGGTGTAATTTGAGTGCATCAATTGGTGTAATTAGATTGAAATTCTATATTCGGTGCCAAGCTGTCATATATATATTTTTTTTATGTGACAACCGCCGCCAATGGACATTGGCAACGCCCGTAGGGTTGCAGATGCGTTGTCCCCTCATAATATAGTAGGCCCCGGCTACCTCACTCAGCAGACGAAACGCGATGTATAACATTTACACGGTCTTCTCTGTAAGGTCATAGTACTTACCCGGACAGACCTGCCCATTTTTGCAACAGCGAAGACTGTTGCGTGGCCGGCCCTATCACCTTAAAAATATGTTAGTAATATACCTAATATCATTGGCACAATCTATATAGGTAAGTGAGAAACCGACCTTTACCTTTTTCTCTTGGGGCTAATTAATGGTTATGGTCTATGGATGACAATCAGGATGTCTTGATCGAGTATTGTTTGCAATATGGTTTCGTACTTATTTACGATTTTCAAGAAAGCAACAGGACTTTTATTTTACATGTTGGTTAGAGAATTTTCGGACTTCGTGTTTGAGAGTTCCTATTAGTAATAGCAAGTTTTTATCAGGTTAACTAATAACGTCTGAATATGAAGCACATACACTACAGAGCGTCGGATTTTTGACATTCAAACGTAATAGTAAGGATTTCTTGTTTTCGATTTGCATATATGATCGATGCAAATGAAGGCTATAGTAATGAGGAGTATGTAATAATAATATAAAAATAAGTAGATAAAAACAATTTAAGGATTATTTCGCGTTTAATTTAGGTTTTAATTCCGGAAGTATAGATCAATTTACAGAGTCAACGGTCAGACTGAGATTGTTTACGTCTTTGAGAGGTCTGTATGTACAAAAAAAGTAAGAACTAATCTGCCCATTCTCGAGCACAGGCGCAGAGCAGGTAGCCTCACGGTGTTATAGAACACCTAGCTATAGAACTTAGAAATTGCATGCCGGAATGTGCGCAAGAGTTACATAATTTAATTCTCGTTCCAATTCCCTCATCGAATAAATAGAGACTCCATCCATTTACCGTTGAAATTCCACGACTTCGAACGAAGGCGGCCGTCGTATCTTTCGAGATGCGAACAGCAAAGGAACAGTTTGCCAGCATCAGTTTCCCTGTTCGAAAATAATGTGCCTTCAAGGCTAGAGCTAAGAATGCTACTAAGAAAGTGCGTTTAGGTACCACGACTATATCTTACTAAGCATCAGGTGAGATAACAGCGAGTATTGGCCGGTTTTTAGGTAAGAAAAAAAACTTAACTTTCAGATAAAACGTTATTACGTGAGATTACGTAATAATTCAGGATATATTTTGCTATAATTAACAAACCAACATAAGTTTAAATGTTATTACGTAATGATATAACTACTATTTGAGACTACAAACTGCAATATAATTTTAGATACCTGCTTTCTTAAGATATAGAATTAGATTTTGGATTAACGCTTGGCTGCGGTCGGTGAGCAGAATGACGACCGTCTGGTCCCGGAATATAGGATGAAAGGATTCATATGGTTTAAATTTTTTCATCATTTTTACTCATCATAATTGTACTGGTTAGGTTAACAAGTACTAAGCTGGGGTTGGAGAAGTGATGTTTTAAATAATATTGTTTTTATCACGTTTACCGTTACGACGATAGGTCGAGAACACTGATATAAAATAAACCGCCATACACCCATTTATTGCGCATTTCTATAAGTAGTAACTTAACTTTGAAAAAAAGAAACTTTGAAAAAAAAGGCCCCTCGTTTGTGGAGGCCTCGGGCTGTTGCCCTCCCCTAAATCCGGCCCTGGTGGCCGAAAATTGCTTTTGCTATTTCTGCAATAAAGCGTTGTTTTATGTGTAAAGTTGGCAATTGCGCAGGCGGTTCGACTGATGTCAAGTGATCGCCGCCCGTATCGGAGGGATTGTGGGTGTTGCCAACTTTAACACAAATGGGACTCAATTATCCCACTCAACTGACTAAACAAAATATCTTCTGTAAGGACGTGGTACCAAGGTAATGACACCGGCGTAGTACACTTAATATGAAGTAGCTGTAGTTAGGCTCAGTTGTGTAGATTAGGTCGATTTGATGTAGAGTTAACTACGATCGCAGTTTTGCTTTCAAAGAACATAAGAATATTTGTGAGATATATAAATCATGAAGGCAGAAGTTCATTTGAAAGTGCTTAATTCTCTAATTTATCCTCATTTCAGCCTGTTAGTCCACTGTTGAACATAGGCCTCGCACACTGACAAGAAGCACGATCCTGGGCCATCCGCATCCATCGACGTCCCGCCCATTTATCTTCTTTGAAATTAAAACCATTGTTAAGTAATTACATTTCTTTTTTTTTATTTTGAAACATACTTTTACTTAAGTCTAAAGGGAAACAAAGGAAATATGATTACACATTTTTCAAAGTGAATCGTTGAAATAGGCCTACTTACGTAGGTCCTAAAACATTTGTCTTAAAACTAAAAACATTATCTCGCAGTGCCGAATTTTATTACGACAACATTAATCAAATCAATGTTTAATCCACCGGAATTAAATATATTTAGTAATTGTCAATTTCTTTTTAATGAAAGATGTCCAACTTTTGTGATAGGTCGCGCCAAATTAATAAAGGCTCTCAAGCGTGTGTGCTTGGTGTGTTACGCATACGAAAGCTGCACACATTCGCGCGCTTTCATTCTAACTGAAACTTCAATATTTTGACGGTTATATTTATATCAGATATTTGTTGTTATATGAAACTTAAGTTATTCTTTTCTTACCAATATTAAAATGGTTTTTTTTTTATTAATTTCTAACATCACAGCGTTTTTATTGTAATCAGAAAATTCACTGATATACAATAACAACATATTACCTAGGGCAAATATCATAATTTTTAATTTATTTAAATAGTAGATAAAAGTAAAAAAGTAAAGTATCAGCCTATACATTTCCCACTGCTGGGCAAAGGCCTCACTGCGGATTGGCGAACTTCACATATCTTAGAAATATTTTTTTATTATTATCTCGAAAATATGCAGTTTCCTCACGATTTTTTCCTTCACCGCTGAGCACGTGATAATTCAGCACTTAAAATTAACAATTTCATTGGTGCCGGCACCGGGGATCGAACTCAGGTTGCCCGAGGATATTGGATTAAAGGCGAGCGCTCGGACACTGAGCTATCACGGCTCGCGTAACAAGTATTAAAATTATTCTTATCATAAACAAATCATCGGTCATATACCTATTAGATAATATACAAGTGACAGCTTACTAAATGTACCAAGGCTGCCTACGCACGCTTTTATTTCTCAGACGGCATTGAGTGTGGCGTCGCCTATACCTAATGAAATTTTACAAACATATTCTGCGAATTACGATATGCAAATGAAGATCAAATTGATAAAGAGCTTTATTTAATATGGTGAAATACGTTAAATATGTAAAGGAAATTAATGATCCGTTGGTAGCAAGCAATTGTTCCAGAACACAATATGAGTACAAATAGTTGAAAAAGATTTCGATGGCACACTGCGAGTGTTTAAATTGGTATTATAAGCCAAGGGCATGAGCACGATTATGGTTACCCACATATAAATGATAAAAACTTTGGCAAATTAAGTGAAAGCGGCAGTTTCAATACTAAATATAGGTGGATTAACATCGGTACTAAAAACTATCTGACATAATTACACTTAAAATAAGAGTAATGAAAAAAAAATTGAGAAACATAAAAAAACTGACTTTTAGAAAGATAAATTTCAAAATCTATACATTTGTACAGTTGCTACAAAAATATTTTTTTTATTAACTTTAAGGAAAAACTTAAACTAAATCTGATATTATATTATCACTTCCCTGAGATAAGGAGTCGATATTTACAAAATGTTACAAGTCTAAAAACTCAATTATTAATTAAATGCAAAATATTTGTATTATTCTGAGAAAGAATAAGCAAACCCGTATTTATTTACTGTTATTTTTACAACATTGTCACTTTTGATTATGTTTTTTGAATACAATGTAAAAAAATAGATTTGAAATGAAAAATACCTTAAACAACTAACAGTAAATTCAGTGTTTTATACATTGTTATGTTTTAGTTTTTAGTGATGTAACATAGTTACACATATTTGTTTTTGACCCAAGCTATGCTTACAAACTTATTATTAAACAAACCAATCGCCTTTGACATCTTATAAAAACTGCTTTCCAAATAGTCTCTTGTATATCTGAAAAGAAATTGTACTACTGTAATATCGAAACAATCAAATTTAAAGAAAGAAATCAGATACTTACAACAACACATGATTTCCTTTTTTTCTTTTATAATAACCCCAAAAATCGGTGGGAAGGTAACTTGAAAATTGGATTTAAAAAAGGGAGCTAAGCAGTCTGATAGAAATACTTCATGTAATGTATAATATGCTAAGATCCGATATATTCGTTGATAAAAAACTATATAAACTGGTTATAACCCTTTATCTGTATAATAGGTTTATCGAGAAATAGTATTTCCATTGATCCAGACTACGATGCTACTTGAGAATTGGAAAACACTAATAAATAGAGAGGATATCAATTGACGGATGTTACCATAATTATTATAGATCGCAATGCATGTCCAACTCCAGATAACTTCACTACTCCAGTAATTCCAGAAACAAATAGACTGGTCAAAAAAACACAACCGATGAGATGAAAAATTCTCGAAGACAAATACAACCAAAGCAAAGGAGTTGATACAAAACTTGAACGTTTTGCGTTATTAAAATTAAAATTGTGCAAAAGACATTAACAATAACTTATTAACACATTTATATCTTAATGAAGACAAACATAAGATTAGATTTAAGTCATGGGAACTTGCTATTTCCAAGTAAGCTGGCAGAATACTAACGGATATTTCATCCAATATATTTTCATTTAATTCATTAAATTCATAATTTGGTAATAAAGGAAATGAGAAGGCTTTACATTTTGCCATTTGATTGAAGAAAATCCCTAATAAGATTTAAAGACAAGACCAATTTAAAATGAAGAAATTTGTGTATTTTTTCATACTATGTGAAAAAAAGCATAGCCAAACTGGAAAAGTTCAGGTAGCCACAAAAATATTTCCATTATGAAACACTTTGTTTGTTTTAGTAATTAAAGATTGTGGAATTTCATTCAAGTGTTTTCTTTGCTTCATACAATAAATGTAGGGTTACTTTCAAAAACTTCAACGATGAATGGATTAAGGCTCAACTAATAATAAAAAATTGTCAAAGCCAAGTAGTAAAAATTATCGCTCAAATCAAACTTCTTGGACAGAACCTTTTAAAATCAAATATCAATCATCATACATCTGATTATTACAAAAAGCATAAAAACAAACATCAATTATGGCTCATGTTATGCCGAAAAAACAAGAAATGATTCAATCAAGAATCCAAAAGTGACATTAATTGTCTATGTCTATTCTTTCTTTAAAATACACTTGGCTCTAGAATGCCAAATTATTGTTACAGAGTCCGAAACGATTCGCCTTTTAAATTGAAAATACTACATACAGATGGGCTTTTTCCATGATGCCTTTTCAGGTAACATTTAAAGTTGGGCCTTCCCTTATGCATCGTCATTGGAGCAGCAGGATTTAAGTTGGAGACCACTATTCTTTGATTTAATATAGTTTTGTTGTTCCATATCGGGCCACGCTTTCCTTGGGCGTCTTCGTGATTAAGTGACAGACTGGGACTAGATGCAGAGTTGTTTATTAGACTTCTAGTTGTCACAAATGAACATGTTCTATTTGAATCTATCACGTGCGATACACCAGGATCCACATATGTTTTGCACTGTTGAGAAGAAGAGATGTCTTTAAATGTATTCTTCTTGATAAATGCTTGTAGACAAATGCCTTATTGAAATAATTTCACGCAAGAGAATTCACAAGAAATTTATAGAAATATCCCAATCATCATGAGATTCTTTTTTTAAATCTATAATTTTTTGAATTTGTGATATGTATCTATCATAATCTTCTCGTTTCAATTGAACAACTAAAATTCGTATCACTTAGCTTATGCTTAAATAAATGATAAAGCAATAGAACAACATACACATACCAAAAACATAAGTAGTATTTTATGAGATGTATGTATGTATGTTTTCTTTCTATGTTGGATAAAGCAAAATTAAACAAGTTGTCATAGTCAGGCCTTTTAAAATATATAAATAGCACTATACCATCATTATTTTGTTGTCAAGCGAAAAACGTTTGTTCTATTTCTGTACAAAAATTTCAGTGAATACTTGATATTGATATTATAACTAAGGGAATATTTGATAATATAATAACTAAGTCCGCCAAAGCGCAGTGGGGACGCGTGGTGGACTATGCCCTGATACCCTCTGTATATAGGAGGCCTTTGTCCAGCAATGGTACATGTATAGGCTAATACCTTTACAGTACATTACGACATGACATACCCGTGTCCCGGTTTTCATCGCCTACAGCAAACGAATAAAATAGTCAGACTTTACTGTTTTAATAACTAATGCAAAATGAACACTTAAGTAACAGTGACGTGCTAAGTTAAAATTAAAGTCATAAAAATCTTACCGAATGATCCAGATTAGTTGTATCAGGCGAACACCTTTTTTCCAACTCCCCAAAAGCCGTCGATTTAGTTTTTTCTAAGGTCTCAGAAGTCATTGTAAATAAAGAGTTATTCAGTAAAATTTGATTTTTGAGCTCTTGTAATTGATCAAATAGCTCTTTGTTCTCTGACAACAACATTTCCTCAAAATTGCAAATCATTGCATTTTGTAGTATATTTGAAGATGTATTCCTAAGGATTTTTAACAAGGCCACTGCTAGTTGCTCTTCAAATGGCAATATACAGACTCTTTCCAAAAGTGATGTGGCAACATCTAAGCTGAACTGCCTAGGAATTTGGTAGATAAAGTTGGTCAGATTAATAAAAATTTGTTTAAACCTGGAAAAGTTTTGGGTCTCTGCGATTGTTTGCATGAAAATATCGCACGTATGTTCCTCGTTTTTAATTTTGAACGAAAGCAAATCGGCGTATGACGTTATGTCAACGCAATTAAGATATAACAAGACCAGTTCAAGAACTTCTACCTTTAACCTAACATCTTCCTTTAGATTAGGATTAGTTTTTGTTATAAAGTCCAGTGCCATTTCAATAGATATTCGGGTAAGTTTCCTATCAATAGCTTCAATGACGAAAAGTAAACTGTACTTTCTTCGCAATATGGGCCAACTTCGTATTAACATGTATTCTTTGATGAACGATTGTTCGTCCAGTTTTGTTATTCTTGATTTTATTACATCAATATCGAGTTGAGAATGCGCGAATCTGCACCTAGGTTTTGTGCATTTGAGTATTAGATTGAAGAAACAGACACCTCCTAATACAACACTTTTAACACCATTGGTTCGTCTCCAAATAGAAGACATTAATGTTGGACTTTTACAACCTTCCCGGATCGAGCCCGGTTGTGCATATGTTTTTTCAATTACGTTCGTAGATTGATCGGAACTTTTGAAGAATCTCTCAGAATCCTGGGGTTCCTTATTAATTGATGTAGAATCAGCGTTTTGTTTTTCACAAACTGCCTTAGTTCTTTGATATCGTTCATTTAACTCAATTCGCTCCTCATGAACCGATATCGTACTTTGAACTTGTCCCTCAGCACCTTCATGTTTTTGTTCTTCAGTAATCTTAGTTGGCATGTAGGTGATTGTTTGACTAGGTTTGATTCCATTCTTATTTACAGGTCGCGGTACATACTCATTGGAGTCCTCATTATCTGTATTAGGTGCACAGGTTACCGTGCTATTGTTTTTATATGATTCGAAGCCGCTTATACTCTCAGCGTACAGTGATAACGCGTCGTCGTCATCATTGCATTTGTCTTCATGTGAAACAAAATCAAGGCTGTCTAATTCTGCTTCCTTTTCCCGTTTCGCATTTTCACTCACTGGATTGCTTGTCGTTTCAGTTTTGTTAGATGCCTTGTCATATTTTCGCTCAACTGTAGCGGGCTTAGCAAAATACTCAGTTTCTTCGTGTTTTTCAAAGCTCTCTCTTGTTTGATCGACATCAGAGAAATTAAAATCGTCATCTAGCAGGATACGTTTTATATTTTGACAATGTTGAATTACTTCACCTTCTTCTTTCAAAACTTTATATAGTCTATCGTTAAAACTTTTTTTCCTATTATGTTCATCTTGGTTATAACCGATCCAATTCATTATTTCTGTATCAAACTTTTTTAAATTTGAAGAAAGTTTATCTAGTGCCTCACTAATTTTATCTTTTACTATCATAATACTTTCCGGGATGCTGATGTTACTGTCTGAGTCCGAACATGACGAAGATGAAGAACTAAGAGACGAAGACCGAGATCTGGATTGAAAGGTGGAAAATGTGTCTCCTTCGACGTGTGAGCACCTATCCGTGCTTTCATTATCTGTTAACCTTTCACCTTTAATGCTAATAATACTGTCTCTATTCAATTTATTACCGATATCAGCGAGTTTAATTAAGGGATATTTATTATCAAAGCAGATATATTCCTTTGGGAACACTGTGACGGACGTGGTACTAGAGCTGGATATATTCCTTATCCATGACATACATTCGGAAGAAGATGATTGTTTCCTGAATACCATTCGTCCTGGTATTATATTGCGAACGTCAACACATTTATTTTCGTTTAAAGTTGTTGCTTGTTGTTGCAAATGTTCATTGCTAGACGGGTCTGGTACTTTTGTGACTCTAGAACCATCTACCTTAGCATTTCCTAGCACTTTTGTGACTCTATAATCATATTCCTTAGCATTTCCTGCTACTTTTGTGACTCTAGAATCATGTTCCTTAGCATTTCCTAGCACTTTTGTGACTCTATAATCATATTCCTTAGCATTTCCTGCTACTTTTGTGACTCTAGAATCATCTTCCTTAGCATTTCCTGGTACTTTTGTGACTCTAGAATCATATTCCTTAGCGTTTCCTGGCACTTTTGTGACACTAGAATCATCTTCCTTAGCATTTCTTGGTACTTTTGTGACTCTAGAATCATCTTCCTTAGTATTTCTTGGCACTTTTATGACTCTAGAATCATCTTCCATAGCATTTCCAATCTTTCTTCGTGGTTTAGACCTATGTGTTTTGTTTATTGCACAACTTTGAGCTGCTTTAGTTTTTGTTTTGGGATTAATATCATTACTTTTCAGTTTAGGCGTGACACACTGCTGGTCTGCTTCGTTTTTTCCACTGACAGCATCTAAAGATAAAAGGTATGCAAACATTTCATAATTCTGGCCCACATTAGTTTTTGCTGTTACAAGAATGCGCAGGCAAGTCGGAAAAATTACCACTGCCCTACCGAAGACCAATGTGAAGAAGACGTGTTATACTTTAGCGTGTCGTTTAGTCAGAGGGGTATTTGATGCCTGATTTTTTAAAGGTTTGTAACGCATCTGTAAGCCCACGGGTGTTATGCATATCTATGGGCGGAGTTTTCACTAAGCAACAGGTGAACTGCCTTATGTAAAAATGTGCCAAGTGACGGTTCACCTGATGTTAGATGTATTATACTTCCACTTTAGGCCGGTCTTCTGTGAGGTCGTGGTACTAACCCGGACGAGCCTGCCCATACGTGCAACAGCCGAAGCTGCTGCGTGGCCCTACCACCGTGAAACATAACATAACATAAGAAAAATTACTGTAATTTGTACTGGAGTGGACCAGTTTGATATAGAAATATTTTTGAATGGAAACCACAAACATAGAGGTATTTGACAGTAGTACTTATTTCTAATAGTTAATTATAGACAAAATATACATCAGAGAAATAATGAAAAATTTACCTAATGTGAGTGGACTTTCTGTATTCCGTTTTCGCCCGGTTTTAGGTCTGCCTCTCTTGCGTTTAGGTTCAGGTGTTGCTTCGAAAGCAGAGCCTGTTGGTAAAGATTCGACGACTGTAACTGCACAGAGCAGAATTTGAATATAATCAAACAAAATCTAATTCAAGATGAAAATTGTAAGAAATCTGTGACCAATTCTGAAACTAGTTAGTCGAAACATCTTATTGAATGGTGTTCTGAGCAAAAATACCCGAAAAAAGAGTGTTAACAGTTTTGTTTGACCCAAAAATTTTAATTAATCAAGAAAAGGCTTAGCTTCCTTCTACCAATAGCAAATCTAATATGATGTGTTTAAGACCAATTTAGTTTGCGCCCAGTCCGAAACCAAACAAACCAACAAACAAAACCATTTCAGAGGTTTTTGACTTAACTCTGCTGTATCTAATTAGCTGTATAAGCCCTATTGTCTTACCATAACTCAGAAATCATCATTTGTAGTCCGTATATTTATTGTATACACACATTAGTAATGTACAATCATTAGATAAATAAAAAAACAACACTGTTTATAGCACTCAATATTATAGTATTGTGCAAATGTGCAGGAAGTAAATAGATGGCAGGAAGTAAACAGGTGGCTCAGGATCGTAATTTGTGGCAGTCTATGGGGGAGGTCTATGTTCAGCAGTGGGCATAAATGACGAAGATGACTCAATGTATGTATATGTATAATACATATAAATTAAATTTTTAATCATGAATTTCTTAAACGTCTGAATTTTTAGAGCCATCCTACTCTGAAATTCCTTTTTTGTTATGGTATTCAATTCTTTTTGAATAGAACCATTGATTAAAACAAATAAAACCATTGAACTAAGAAGTGAGAAAAAAAATATCTAAATTAAACCAAGACTTATAGGAGTGTGAAGCATGTGGCAGCTAATTAAAACTGGTTAATACCTGTTTTAGCCATTACAAATACAAAAATGTTGTCAAGTTGATGATTTATCTATACAGATGTTTATTATTCAGATGTAATTGTTTCAATTCCGATTGTACTTTTGAGTGCCGAGTTTTGAGTTTTTGTGTGCCTCAGTTTCGGTGCACAAATTCATTGTTTGTATACAAATTCATTGTTCAGTAAATGAGAGAAAAAATTTCATTTTGTTAATATTTTCGTGTCTTTATTTTTAAAGTTATTTTTTTCCCATGTTTAGAAAAACTTATGAGAGTAAAATTTAAACAATATGCACGCATAGCAACATTATGATAATAATAATAATAAATAAATCGATAATATGTGATAATATTTATGATAACATTTATAATTGTGTTTTAGCGCCCCACATTTTTATAATACGGAGAACATTGGAGACAGCTTATTGTATCATAGCATTAAACAAGTGTGAATAGATCTATGAATATTATACTTTTAACCCGGTCAGAAAATATACCACTCTTACAAATATTTAAGTATCGAACAGGTATGTCTTCATAATATAATTATTGGTAAATACAGTTTAATAAAACTTGCTTCGCTAAAGCAACATTTTAGCATCATAATATTGTTGATAATTCTGTTAATAATTGTTAATAATTTCGCATAACATTTGCAGATATTACAATAAAGTTTGTACAACATATAGCATACCAGATGTTTTTAAGTTTAAAATAATACTGACCATCATCGAAGCCATTTGTACTTATAGCCAAAGATGTAATTTTCTTTACACCAGCATCTTTTTCATCCCTATTTTTCTTTGAAACATATCTCCTCTTGATATTTGATTTTGCAGGCTGGTTTTTACTAACTACAGATTTTTTGGCAAAATGATCCTTGACAACTGCAATAGAAAATACATTTAAAATGCAGATCACTAAGGTATTTAATCACATACACATAAAAAGAAGAAAATAAGAAGAGAAAAGAAAAACCTTAAACATCACATAACAACAAGCAATGTTTCGGTGCTAAGCTAAGTAGGTCTTAGCTAATTTCTAGGTAAGTGATGGGTCAAATGATCCTTGACCAGCTTTGCAGGTTAGCTGTTTTTCTAGTCTTGCTAGTGTTAAAGAACTAAAAATCTACTACTGCACAATCAAACACATTTTTAAAATGTTTAATGGTCCCTATGACACATTAAAATCCTATTCGCCCTTGCTTTGATAATGTCTGAAACTACATTTAATATATGAATCAAATCAAGCAATTGGCTTAAAATTGCTTGATTTGAATGGGTGATAAATATAATGAAAGCATTGGGACTTAAAAGCAAAATTAAATGGGAGCTGAATGTTTATAATAAAAGAGTGAAATCTGGCGATACCATTTATAAAGAATAAACACTATTTGCAATCAAAAGTATCTTAAATTTATATAAGTAAAAAAGGAATATATATAACATCTGCAGTAATTACACCACTGCTCTTACATTTTAAAAAAAACTTGAAAATTATACCAACCATCACTATTAGTAGCAGCATGAGTGACAGATTTTACATTCGATTTATTGAGAGTTTCTCCATTCATACTTTTTAACTTGTTTTCACCAACTAAAGGGCTCCTCTTAAAGTGAGCCTGTACAACTACAATACAAATTTAATGCAATAATAGAATTTTTCATTAACATAAGACTTTAGATAAAACAAAAAGAACAAAAAAGCACATTAAATGTACTATAGAGATATTACCTTATGTTGAAAGGATCAAAATGGAATGGGAAAGAATACAATTTCTTTACTTATGAGATTTTTATGTTTAACTGAATTTGAGACATGGTATTATTTTATCACCTTATTATTCAAAGAGTTATATCCCATAGCATAAAGAGATTATAAAGATGTTATTTTGCTAGATTTTGGCTGTTAAAATAAGTTTTTATTTGATTTACTAACCCTCATTAGCCAATGTGACCTTAATTTCATTCTTAGTCAAATTCGATGTAGTCACAATCCTGGATTTGGAATTTTTACCAGCAGTTGGAGAGTCAGTTTCTGAAATTATTTTATGTGATAAACAAAAACACTAAGGACTTCTTGATATTAAAAATTGAACAAAGAAAATATTTGTCCAAAAAAGCCACAAGGCATTGTGCATTTCCTGGCTAGGAAAACAAAAAGCCCTCTTATCACCAGCCACAAAAATAAGAAAAGGACCAGATTCTTTAAAAGTTTTATGTGCTGGGGCCCCAAAATTATAAGCAACTACCAAAACAATACAAAAAGTAATGTACACAAAAAGACTCACATTTAATTTCAATAAATAAAAAATAATTGGAATGGTAGAGCCTCACAGCAGCTTTTGCCATTGCATGAATGGCTGTATCTTCCACTCTTGGACTCTTCCGGGTAGTATCTTCCATGATCTGACAGTAGACCAGCATGAAGTGAAAGTATTATACTTCCAAATTTAATCTTGTGAGTGAGGTAACTGGGGCCCGCTTTTTAATGATTAGCAACGCATTTACAACCTTTCAGGTGCTATACCTGTCCATTCACTTAACATGGGCTAAACTGCCTGCTGCGGCATGCCAAGTTTTCACATAAAAAAAAATTATAAACTCATTCCACTTACTTAAATGTGCTATCACTTTCTTGCGTGTTGTGGGTGTGGTTGAAGAGGTACTTGCTAGTATAGAAGAAAAATTTTTATTAATACATTTAAGCAGTGATTTTTTAAACAAAATTTTATTTATATATTTGATAATTAACTGGCCTATTGTATCTGTATGCTTAACATCTTTACAAGGTTAATAAAAAAGAGCGTCAAAACATCTGAATGAACATCTACCATGCTTAATAAACACTCACCCTTAGAACGTCTAATTGTAGTCATAGAAGGATTTACACTAATTATCCTATGTGTCGACCTCTTGACTACCTTTTCCTCCACATTATTAACAGATTTTTGAATCACGCGTTTCCGTGGACCCATCTTTTGCTGAGTTTTAAAAATGTCCCTCGAAAGTGTATTTTTTCCAAGACGTGCCGTGTAAGAAAATGTTTTATTGGCAAGATTTAGTATTTACATTTTGCAGGTTTAACTTTGAAATCCTATTATTCCTAAATTCTTTACAATTTTGGGAACCTTATGCTTAAAAATATTTGAGGTATCCAAAAACGCGAATAAATATAATCCGGATCCGGATTTCCCTGTACCCCAATAATTTTAAACAAATACCTACAGATTAACGAATACCGATGACCATAGTCGTTGACCATTGAGCATTGACGACAGATTATGTAATTTATTAGCACGCTGACGGGTGTTTTTTTTTATGTGAAAAATTGCCAAACGAGCACACGGTTCACCTGATGTTAAGTGAATACCGCTGCCCATGGACATCTGCAACACCCGAGGGTTACAGATGCGTTGACAACCTTTTGAAAATTGGGCTCCGGCTACCTCACTCACCAGACAAAACACGTAAAAGTATTTGCCACTTTACGCTGGTCTTCTGTGAGGTCATGGTACTTACCCGGACGGACAACGGAACAACGTAGCTTGACGTCAGGATTTTTACCAGGGACATCTTAGCTTAGGTTGCATAAAGTGTCCTCTTCTTTTTATGTTTTTTATTACAGGTTAAAATCATTTATGGATCTACTGCCCCCGGGTCTGGGGAGTGCTAGCGGTATGTGGGAGGTCTCGTTAGAACGGGACGGGTACCCACTTAAAAATCATGTTTCTGTCATGAAGATGCAATGTTCCGCGACCCCGATGCGATTACGGCTTTCTCAGGCCTCTTCTAGCAGAGTACTTGCCCGGTCCTGCCTTATGGTGCTGTACTGGTGCACTTAGCACAGCACCCCTACGAACTTTGTATTGAGCAGCAGACACATAGTCATTTCCCTATATACCAAAGTACTCTGTGGTGTTGATAGACGTATGGATAGAACGAAAGATCTTATCTGTTAGACCGATTAACAGTTATCATTCGGAAACGTTTCTTCTAGAATAGTGCAAAGATACGCTTTCTATTCGTTCATCGTTCGTGAACTACACAAGACTACCATGCATTGACCATGCCAAAGACCTTACACTTATTAGCTTGTGCAATATGGCAAAAAACCGGTATAATTAGATGACTATGATAAAACAGAGCACAGGACAAATTGCTTGTAAAAACGATTATTAATATTTTGTATATTTTGTTAGAATCTACATCACTTACTCTACACGTGGGTCGGACTCGGAAGTGCTTTCAATCCTCTCCTGTACAATAAATATCATCTGACGTACCGTTAATTTGAAAAACACCTTACAAAACTTTCACTCCATATTGAGTTACTGTATAAGATATTTGGCATTATCATCCAAATACTGTTGCATATCGATAGTCTGCTATCGATAGACAATCGATTATCTATCGATAGTTAAGGTAAAAGCACTAGTATCGGTAGTCGATCGACAGTATTGTCACGTGTCAATAATGTCGATACTGTCGTAGTATCGACAGTATTGACTTAGACGATATTGTCGATAGTACAATCGATATCCTGAATAGTTTTCGAGGTCAACTATCGATAGTCAAACTATCAATGGTTGTGCATCACTAATTCAAAATAAGCGAGTCCGTGAAAGCGTGTATTACGCTTATTCACGGCGTATATACCAAATTTCAGTTCAATCGGTTAAAGATAAATGATTTAAAATTCAGTTGCAAGATTCCATCCGGACTGTGAAACATATATATATTGCAAGTCAAATAAATAAAAGCCTGTAAAAAAAGGCTAAAAAAACATTATGTAATGCAATCTGTACCCTTCTTAGAAATTTTTGTATAACCTGTATGCACTTCCAATTCCATTTAAAGTTTTAAAGGTCAAAAAAGGTCGATAACGTCTAGTGAAAAGCCGCTTGAGATTTAGCCGGTATTTAAGATATTTAATTAAAAAAATATCTATAATGGCTGCAAAATATAAAATTGTTATGATCCGTCACGGTGAAAGTGAATGGAACCAAAAGAATCTCTTCTGCGGCTGGTATGATGCTGACCTTAGCGACAAGGGTAAATTAAGTTCACATAATATTTAATATTACTAAATTATTGAATCAATTTCAAAGTTATTACTGATATTAGGTCGCGAAGAAGCTGTTGCAGCTGGAAAGGCTTTAAAAGCTGAAGGTTATCAGTTCGACGTAGCCCATACATCTGTTTTAAAAAGGGCTCAAATAACATTAAATAGTATCCTAAATGAAATAGGCCAAACTGATCTACCTGTTAATAAAACCTGGCGGTTAAATGAGAGGCACTATGGTGGTCTTACTGGTCTCAATAAAGCTGAGACTGCTGCCAAATATGGAGAGGCACAGGTATATCATATATCTTACTTGACATTAACTTGTAATGATCAATTATACTTATTATAATTGAATTATACTTTATATAACTTTAAAATAATCAATTATATTGTTACTCGTACCATTTTCAGTATTGTTTTTTGTCATTGTTTATTGTAATTAATATGTATATGATATTTTTAAACATTTTATATTACTAGTGGATGCCAAGTGGTCGGAATACAACCACAATTAATTTAAATTATAAGTTTGAACAATATTAATCTATTCTCAAATACTATATACAATACACAAAAGTGTGTATATGTGTGTAATGTTTCCGAATATTGATTTAATGTATTTTTTATGCATAATTAAAAAAAATATCAACATTCTGCACTCTATATAACTATAACTGTATGACATTTCATACTCCTGTCTGTGCAATTTTCGTAAAAAGGGGTGTAAAGTTTTCACTTCACATACTAATATATAGATTTTCAAAGGTACAAATCTGGCGCCGAAGCTTTGATATACCACCACCTGCAATGGAAAAAGATCATCCTTATTACGAAACAATTGTTAAAGATCCTCGTTATGCTGGTGACCCCAAACTAGAGGAATTTCCCATGTTTGAGAGCTTAAAGCTCACTATTGAAAGAACTCTGCCTTATTGGAACAATGTTATAGTCCCCCAGGTTGGTGTCTAGTAGAATCAATGAAATTATCAAATGATTAATTAGTAATGTAATATTAAGAAGGCTGAACTCACGTAAACCTGGTGTATGTACCTACTAGTTTCGGACTCATCGAAGGTCCTTCATCAGGGTGAGTGCGACTAGTTCGCGGTAGCGCCCCGTCTTGCAGTGCGAGAGGACCTCCGATGAATCCGAAACTAGTAGGTACATACACCAGGTTTACGTGAGTTCAGCCGTCTTAATATTACATTAATAATGTCTCGGGAAAGTTTTAATGAATTATTAGTATATTTTGTTTAATCCTACATTACACTATATGAATAAAATTTCTTCTCCAGATTAAAGAAGGCAAGAAGATTATCATTGCCGCGCATGGCAACAGCCTTAGAGGCATTGTAAAGCATTTAGACAGTGAGTAATTAAAATTGCTAGAACTAAATCCATTTTAATTGTAAAACAAATTTCATTATCTTTTGAAATTAACTGTGATGAATAAGGATATTCATAGACTTAGATTTAATTACTATTGTATATATAAGGGACCTTATAGTCACATGAATGTTCTGGTTTGTTTTGGGAATTGCACTGTCTCACAGAAAATTGAATATAAACCTATTTTATCTTCTGTGAGATATAACCAGTAAGTCTAGTCTGGTGATATTGCTTCAAGGTTTTGTAGATGATACCATGGTTGTCATATCAAAAAAAAAGATTGCTTGTGTGCCACCTCCTCTTATTAAATATACAGCGTGTCGTTAACACTGCGACAATAAATGAACACACGTCTAACGCTACTTGCTAAAAGTAACACGTGATAAGTCAGCACTTAAAGTTCAAATCTTCATCGGTGCCGGCACCGGGGATTGAACTCAAGTTGCTCGAGTATATTAAATTAAAGGCGAGTGCCCGGACACTGAGCTATCACGGCACTTGCTAATAAACATAAAAAAATTTTGATGATAAAAAAAGTCAAAAGATAAAAAAAAATGTTTTTCAAAAAAACTAATCAAGTAAAAAAGAAACAAAATTTGTAACCTATACAACTACAACTGACTGATTCATACATTCAAAGACTTTTTCAAGGGTGTTCTAAAATTCTTTGTTTTGGAAAATGTAATAACTCTGTAAATATTGATGTTTAAAAAATGTAAATATTTGATACAATTTTAAAAAGCTATCCTCTATATGTGTGTTCATTTATTGTCGCGATTATAAAGACACCCTGTATATAAAACTCTATTTGTATGATACACATGCTTTTCTAGATCTCAGCGATGCTGCTATTATGGAACTCAACTTACCTACTGGAATTCCATTTGTATATGAATTGGATGAGAATATGAAACCAGTTGATTCCATGGTCTTTTTGGGTGATGAAGAAACTGTTAAGAAGGCCATGGCTGCAGTTGCTGCTCAAGGCAAAGCTAAGTAAATAGAATCGGAAATGCAATAGTGAGAGTACCTATTTATACCACATTAATTATTTATTGTTGAATTAATGCTTATCGGTATTAGTTGTAACTGAACAGTTATAAAAATATTAGGCATTTCTATAAGAAATTTGGAAATATGCCATTGGGCATACACATTATTGAAGATGTATTATAGACACTAAAAATGCATGCTTTGAAATGTAAATAAAACACTGCAAATGATTGTTCTAGTTTTATTGAAACTGAAAAAAAATATGCAAATGATAAGAAAATATGCCTAGATAATATATTATAGTTTATCTACAAATGTAATGTGGTTCCATTAGTTTCAGTCTGCTAGCCCACATCCATATAACATTAAGTGGAAATTGAACAATTTAATCACACAGAAATCTTTTTGTTTCTTAACTTTAAGTATTGATATAAATATTTCATTCATGAACATTTACTTATAATGAGTTAATGTTAACATGCATGTTTTATCATTTAATACTTTATTGATTGATGTCAGCATCAAGTACAGCGCATTAATTAACAGAAAACAAGTACACTTAAACTTTTAAGATGTCTGTTTTAACATTTTAATTACAACAAGTTATTAAACAAACAATGAATATAAGATGTACTTACAAATATGGTTTAAAATAATTCAGTGCAGTATAATTAGTGGCTAAATATTAAATTCTAAGAGGAACTAAGTTGGTAAGCTTTCTTTTAAATCTAACATAACATCATCAATGTTTGTTGTACTAGATCCATTGTTTTTATAGTTTACTTTCCTAAGATTCATAGATTTCACAAATACTTTTTGCTTACAATTACTAAATGCAAACTTATTCAGCTGTTTACTACTTTCCACATCCAGCTCCATAGGAAGGTCACATATATTCTTATTTTTGCACTTTGCAGCTTTAGGCTTCTGATCAAATCTAAAGTCCTTTGGTATTTTATGAATCTTCACACAATGTTCTAACCGTTCATCTGCATTCATGAATTTTTCTTTGCATTCCTCTATGTAACAGCAATACTGAGGAAATAATAATAACTTTAATTTGTTAAGGACTTGTTGCAGTCAATTAGATATGATTTAATAAAATAACAGTAGGTATAGGATACAATTATGTGTAACTGTCTTCCAACCATTTTAGTATACACTAGGTGAACCCTGTTTTGGTTCATTGTTTTTTTTTCATTGAACCTTCGGAATAAGTATACAAAACACTCTCTTGTCCATTTATGTTGTGAACACAATTATTATTTATTATTATTAATCAATCAGCCAAGCCAGATTTTTATATAGACTATTTTTTTTATTTGAACTTGGGAATAATATATATATATATATATATATATATAAAATTCTATCCTTTTCAGCTATGTTGAGAGTAATACCAAGACAATCAATCGGCTAGTATTTGATTTTATAGATACTAAACTAACAAACGGAGAATAAATTTTTCTATGTAAAGATTATCTGCCAAAGAACTTGTACACTGTTACCATTAAGTTTTTCATGGATTGCATATTTATTTCTAATACCAACAGTACAGAGGAGTCCTTCATATAGCAGTGGACTTTTTATCATAATATGTATTTTAATATTTATTTGTGGAATAATAAAATGGTTGCACTCACGTATAATCGTGGATTATCTTAACTAGTTACGGATCTTGAAATCGAGAAACAACTGAGGAACGACAGAAAGTGGCAACCGAGCTGGCGGTTCACCTGATTAAGTGATAACCGCCCCTCCGGTGGCGGATTGAATGGACATTTGCAACACCCGTAGGGTTGAAAATGCGTTTCCGACTAAATAAAGTGGGCTCTAGCTACCTCACTCACCAGACGAAACGCTGAAGTGCAAAACTTCTACTTTACGCAGGTCTTCTGTGAGGTCGTGGTACTTACCCAAACAAACCAGCCGACCAGCCTATTCTTGCAACAGTTGTTGTGGCCATACCACAGTTAAAATGCATAGCGCGTGTACAGCGTGTGATGCTATATAGTGTATAGATAACAAGGTAAACCAATCAAACTCAAATAATTTCGACGTTTTTAATGGTTTGTCGTTGAATCGAGTGTCAGCGCCGGATTGACCACATAGCAAGAGCAGCATTTGCCGCATTGGCCGCATATTTAAACCCACTCATCTCTGCCTGAGGCATAATTTTTTTGAGTGAAACAATAAAAAAATAAGGGTATTGATTTTTTTTGCGTAGGCTCTTTCAAAGAATTTGCTACGGGCCTCGCGCTCACTTTATCTGGAACTGTCGAGTGTTATTACATAGAGTTTACGCTTTATACGCCTATTGCTCGCTATGAAAGCCTTTTCGAAGGCTATTACTATACTTTAACCTTACATGGCAGCTTACCATCGATAGGGGACACTTACAGAGGGTTTCTTAGCAGCCAGGACGGCGAAGAACGAGTCGTGCCTCTCCTGCAAGTGCAAATCGAGGAGATGAGGCGAAGGAAGCATTTTCTTGCATTGTCCGCAGGAGTACCGGTGCGACGCGTTATAGTGGTTCTCGTATTCCAGAAGCGAGTCCGACTTAAAAGCGCAGCCGGCGACGTTACAGCTGGTTGGAATACTGAATGACGGGGAAAATTAAATTATGATTTGAGTTACGTCTTATATCATCTTCTATATATATATATATATATATATATATATATATATACATTGGCACTGGCATTACGACATAGTCCACCACACGACCCCACTGCGGATTTGCGGACTTCACATATTTTCGAAATAACTTTTTCTTACTATTATTTATAAATAAAATATGTAGGTTTCTTTACGACGTTTCCCTTCACCGCTGAACACGTGATAAGTCAGCACTTAAAATTAACATTTTCACTGGGCATCGAAATCAGGATGGGCATTGAACTCAGGTTGCTCGTGTATATTGAATTTAAAGCGAGCACCTGGACAATGAACTGTAACGTGACGTTGCAGTACATGCCTGGTCATGTTGGCTAATTAACAAAGCATTTCCATACAAGCTTTGTGAATAGCACAATTTCAAATTATTGCGCAATGTATAACTGTGGCAGGGCCACGGGACAGCTTCGGCTGTTGCACGAATGGGCAGGTCCGTCCGTGTAAGTACCACAACCTCACAGAAGACCGGCGTGAAGTGGAAGTGTCGTACTTCTGCTTTTCGTCTGGTGAGTCAGGTAGACGGGCCCATTATATTAAAGGGCGACACCGCATCTACAACCCTATGGGTGTTGCAAATGTTCAGCGGCGGCGCTTATCACTTAACGTCAGGTGAAGCGTCAACTCGACCTTGACAAATAAATTGAAAAAAAAAAAAAAAACAATCAAACATTGCACAAGAATGCTCCCAATAAATATACAATATAACATTTAACAAAACAGCAAATTTTCGTATTAGCAGTACTTTTAAAAAGAAAATGTATTTTTTACTGCTAAATTGGCAAGTACTGAACTATAACTATCTTATACTATGATGTCATAAACAGGTAAGTGGAAAACGTATTAATTAAAAGTTTAATTACTTTTGCTTTTAAGACATTGAAAAAGAAAACAATGAATTATAACTATACTATGTTTTATCGGCGTGTCTTACGTAAAGCAAAACAATTTGTAAAGAATCATTATTACAAGAATAAATTGCAAGTATAATTGCTGTGTAGCAATAAGGCCGCCTTTTGATGACCAATATTTTGTTAAACAATTTGTTTTTTGTACTTTTTCATTTTGATTTTTTGGTGTACAATAAAGTATATTATTATTATTATTATAAATCAGTTTTTTTTATGAGAAAAGTCGGTAAACGTGCTGGCAGTCAATTTTAATTGATTACCCCAATGAATATGTACAATAGATTGCAGGAGATATATTTAAAGCTATGGGTGTTTATTTATCGGATTGAAGATGTATTATCTGTATTTAAAAGACAGTTTGTGTTGACGAATAAAAGCAATGCATGCCTCAACTTATACCAGAGTCGATGTTAATATTTGTTTAAAACAAGCTTTATTTACTCACACTTCATGGCAAAGGTTCTCTTCGTCGACGTCGTAAACCCCTAACCGCGCGGGTGGCTTGTCCCCTACAAAAAGCTCGTCGTGTAGTTTACGATGTCCAACGCCATATGCTTTCAATTTTTCAATCATATTCGATTCCATGCTCTTCCGATGAATGCTTCATCTGATGGAGACAAACAATTTTTTTTAATAACAAACTGGCCAGTACTGTACCGGTACCCCACATATCATTAGTAAGTGATGCAACTGTACGTATATGGTAACGCCGTAGCTCATTAAAAGACTGTTTACTGTTCTTGAATACGACGGCGACGTTATTATATAGTTTGTGTGATGTTTTTCTTTCTTTCAGTTCTTAGATTATTAAAGCTTCATCGAACGCAGAACCGGTGGGCTAGCCAGAACCCACGGGTTTGAGGCCCCCCTCAGTGGGTAGGGGCCGCGCATGAACTCATGCGTGCGTTAATTATGACATGTCGCCTACGGACCATCGAGGTTCGGTGCGGACCGTGATCCCGATAGCCGTTGACTGTGCTTGGTTAGTCGGTGGCTGGGGGCTTGACACGGCCCTCCGCTTGAGTGAGACCGCGCATTTGCTAATGCCTGTGTTATCTTAGTCCGGAGACAGATCACTCACGCCATTGGGGTTCGGTAGGGACCATTAATCGGATTCTTTCTTCTCTTTTTTATAAAAAAAACGTTGCCCTTACTTTAGGATAACATTATCCTGTGTTGTAAGGACGTTTTACAAACATAAATTTCACGTGGACAACCGCCCACCCAGATGCGAAACAACCATCTGTGGGTCACACAAATAGTTGTCCCGTGTGGGAATCCCCACAACCCCCACAACCCGCGACGCCGAAGTCAATACCTTGGCAACTGCGGCACGGAGTCATCATTACCGACAGTATTCAATGGCTGGGGTCTATCAGAACGGGTTCACGTGTTTCTGTGTACGCGTTGTGTTGGTTTCGGCGTGCTCTTGACCAGGACTTACGAATATCACGAACATAACAATAACAAATGAACGAACATAAACATGTGTATTAACACTATAAGTGGCTATGGTGTTGCCTAACGATATCCCGGTGCGTTCGCGGCGTCGTTACCGAAATCGTCATAGATCGGATCAACGAAACTGTTGCGCGGGCGACGTGTGAACGATTTTCTTTCCTCTCGATGAACCATTTACTTAACTATTTAAAGTGTCAAGAGTCATGAAGTAATTTTGAATTATCTGTAGTTTATCTAGGTTTATGAGGCTGTACCTGAGCAAAGGTCATTATGAGCCGTATGATTCATAACGTCCCAGTCTTTGATAACATAAGTTTGTGCCATATGGGCAGTAACTGAAGAGTTATTTAAGTTACTGAGCCGGCCCAAATTGAACGCAGCTCTGTCTCTTAGGTTTTTAATATTCGTGGCGAATATCGTTCTGGAATAGTCTGTAACTACTAGGTACTTGATATTCTTTTCCCAATGGAGCGTTTATTGTAATTTGCTCTAGTTTCCTGCTTGGACGAACTCTGTTCATTGCGTGGTTAGAGTTGGCTATGAGGCAGCCCCGAGTGAAGTGTATTGGTATATTCTGCTTGGTGTTGACGTCTATTAACCGTTTGCAAAACCAGTCACCCAGGTGATTGACGGCGCTTTGTAGTCGAATAACTAACGAACTTTGCCTAAATTTGACGAAACGTATTTTAAACTTTGACGAAATAACTTTGCCAAATAGTCATTTGTGCGAAGAAGAAGAATTTGAGAGAAGTGCCGTCCACGAAAACTAGTGTTTAGGTCACTCGTGTAGAGCAAAAAGAACAAGGGAGAGAGACAGGGGCCTTGAGGAACGTCGGGTGTAAGGGAGCGGCTCGAAGTTCTTGTCGTTGCGATGCCGAAAGGAGCCATTCAACAGCTAGAATAGTGTGCAAGCGCTTAAAATGCCAGTTGAAAGCAAAAAGCTTGAGAGCAAGCAGTAGAAGATCGCACCCGTTCTTATGTGTTTTGGGTGATTAAGGCCGTTCAGGATGTGCTGTATCAAGCGAAAGATCTGTTCGGGATAGGAGTGATACGGTCAACGAATTTTTCCTCCTTTTTAACTGTTAAGAAGCAATTGAGGAAACTGATCGAGCGATAGCTGGTTTGGCGGTTTTTCGATTTGCGAACAATAATAACTATGGCTTCTTTCTAGACGTCAAAAAGCTTTATATACGTTATTTTACGTTCAATACTTGTTACTGGTTTAAATAAAAAAGAAGGACGAGAATCTATTTAGTGCATCTACATAAATAAAACATTAAAAAGTCTAGTATAGATAGAGATATATCATGCGACTGAAGACTCAAACGTGAAAAGTATATTAATTAAGTTAAAATAAGGAAGTAATTTCGCCAGTCACCTAATAGGTACCTAAAGTGTTGGCTCTAGACAAAAAGTATAATAGATCTACTCATAATCTTTATGTCTTCTCAATAAACAATTTTTAATGACGCAATTTTCAAACTGGATGTCGTATTTAGTTAGTTATCAAATGTAATTGCGAAACAAGTTTAGTTCCTACTTAGTGTAGATAGAAGTTTATAAATATTTGCATAGTCATTCTGTTGTCGTAACTCATTCTTGCAAGGTCATCTTAATAGGGCAGTCAAGACTGTCTAGGAATATCTATATTATATCGGTGTTATTTCAATTGATAGTCATGTGCACTCTTAAAATAATATTAAACAAGTGCATAAGATCATAGTGACTATTGACAAGAAAACGACAAAAGAATACACGTTATATTTGTGTTTGAATTTGAAAGTGTAAATAAGTTACACTATCGTAAGAAATAAAACATACAAATTGTTATACATAGAAAGTATATACATAATTAAAAATATGCATAAACACCCAAAGCATATTTTCCCTTTCTTATAAAATGAATATTTAATTTTATTTTCCAAATAAAATTAAATTTGTATATGGACAACACTATACATAGCCTTTTTTTCTCAATTCAATGATACTACGCTACGATAGTGATATATCGGATAAAACTTGTTCAGAACTCTTTAAATATATTTTTAATGTAATATAGTCTATGGATAACATCATTTTAACAGTGTGTTACGTGAAAATAGTTACTTATATTTTATTTTGTGATGTGCAAATAGCAGACTAAATACTGATTATATTTGAAGTTGAGTTGTGCTTACCAATGAGTATTGCTTAAGTGTTTGTTAACTTAAAGTGATCGAAGTTCCTGTTCTCCTTTTTTATTCAATAACAAATATGAGTGACTTACGGCAAAGAAAGGTAAACTTTTAATTTGAAAGCTAACCTAAACCTAAAAAAAATATTCAGTTATCGTTACCACAGATACTTAAGATTTGTGAAGTTGATGGGTCATATCTAGTTACGAAGATGGTTATTGAAATAATCAATATGTTATAAAAAATAATTCACTACTGGGTAATAAGGCATTATTTTCGCTTTAACTTTATATAATTTTAGATTAAATGAAAGTGTTAGTTTGTTTATGGCATAAAAAAGACGGTTAAATACTTTACAGTTTGTGAAACACATAAAAATGTATATATATTATGTATTAAGAACATAATTTATTGCGTAATATTATCAATTACCGATTGTCATACCGATTTTAGTCGCAAAATCAAATTCGCTACAAATACTTTTTATTAAGGAATCTGCATCCCTACAAGTCCTAAAAATTTTTCCTCTTACAGCAATAAAATAATTATATTTTTCCTTTCTATAATTATTAATTTATAATAGATATCTTTTATATTCATCATCATCATAATCATTTCAGCCCGTTTAAGTCCACTGCTAAACATGGGCGTGCCCCACAGACTGTCGCGAAACACGATCCTGAGCCACCTGCATGCAACGACTTCCCGCACAGGTCGTCATTCCAATAATTTGTGGGTTGTCTTCCAACACTGCGATGGCCAGTACGTGGCTGCCACTTGAGAACCTTTCTTCCACAACGGTTATCCGTTCTACGAGCTATATTACCGGCCTATCGCACCTACAGCTTACTAATCTTTAGCTTTTTTTAGTTCGGGACAAATTTTATCCGAATACTAAGTTATTATCGATGTCAATGTATTTAGATTTTAAACAAGTCACGTCGTGAACGAGCTTCTAAAGAACTCATAAAACAATATTTTCTGGTACCGATGCTGAAAGTTGTATTCTAAATATCTAAAGACTAGTTCCTGCACTTCAGATCCGTTTTACTCTTATAAACTGCTTAAGAGCTAGGAGATTTTTGCTCCCAAATCTTTTAAGGATGTGTCATCAGCATGCGGCGCGCTAGCGGCTTGCGGGCTTGGCGCGTTAAAAGGCCCAGTCGTACGTTGAAACAGTTGTAAGGTCTATGTCATGGAGTATACAGGGAGGTTTTTCTACGTGAATCCATTTTTTATTAAATTATAGACATATTATGTTATATAAAAATGATAAATATTTTAAATCACTCGTAATTAATTAAATACATTAATTTGAACTTATCTGCGTGGCCCTACGGTGGTAGGGCCACGCAGCAGCCTCGGCTGATGCACGAATGGGCAGGCCCATCCGGGTAAGTACCACGACCTCAAAGAAGACCAGCGTAAAGTGGAAGTATGACAAATACTTTCGCGTTTCATCTGCTGAGTGAGGTAGCCGGAGCCCAATTTACCAAAGGTTGTCAACGCATCTGTGTGGTCAACCCTCGGGTGTGGCAGATGTCCATGGGCGTCGCTATTCACTTAACATCAGGTGAACCGTCTGCTTGTTTGACAACTTTTCGCATAAAAAAAAAATCTCAAACAGTGCGTGATTTATGGGCAACTCATTTATTTTACGCGTGATCTTTCATAACTAACACACACACAAGTTCCTTTCAAAAGTGTACGACGCATTTATGAATTACTACCGACTTGTCAACAAGTTCTGTTTTTAGGGAATGGAATGGCAAACAAACAAATAAAACTGGCAAACAAATAAAAACAAACTTTTTTTGAAAAAAAAGTTTGTTTTTATTTCAATAAACAGTTATACTACCGAGTCTGAACCTCCTGGGTGAGTTTGGGCACCTTTAGAAAAGCTAACCTGTATGTAGGCTACCAATACCAGTATGTGCATTTAATCTTGTGCCTGCTAGTCATATAGAAGAGCGCTCTGAACTAGTTAATTTTAGGCAGTGAACTATTTCATTCTGTTAGCTCTATTCGGTCTTGGGATTTGGTCTGTGGCACTATAAGAAATATCATTGTGTAAATAGTATTTAAAAAAGTTTAAACACCACTATATTTTAACGATATTAACTTTAAATATCTTACATTCTCAAAGTTTAACTTGTTTGTAGTATAATATGTAGGCACTTATTCCATAGACATTAGATACAAGTCTCCCGCCGTTTTGCGTCGTTAAGCTAAAATAGTTGTTATTGGTCTACAATGTAAATCTAGTCTCAGTTTAACGTCTTCGTTCGGTCAATAACATCGTGATTCGTCGGTTCTTCTCCGATATAGCCTTTTCTCCGCCACCAGTCACCTGTCACCGGAAGGTTCTCTCTCTCTTGCCCGCGTTCGATTCGTTTGGTATTCATTCGGTTCGATGACTGATGTAGGTCGATGTGTGGAAAAAGTGAAAGATAAGATACAGTACAAAAATACGTTTCCTATTCGTTCATCGTATATATATCGCGAACTCACAGAACTATGCTCAGTATATACGACACACGTATTATCTATGAATACGCATCTGACTGACGTTCAAAGATTAGACATTATTTCTACGTTTACTTGACATTTGCTTTCTTATGGGAGAAACAAACCAAAAAAAAATATAGTTTGACTTGACGTTTTTACTTGACAGTTGTGTGGGATGGTTTAAATTAAAATGCTGCGATATGTACGTTTATTTTATTAATCTATTACAGACTACAGCCTGATAGTCTGCAGCATTGACATCGCTATGTATTTACGAATACAATCTGGGAATAATTTGTTATGCGTGAATTTGTGATTATAAATTGTGGGATGTTAAAAAGTTTATATGTTTAACTAGATGTATATTAAACCAGATGCTTAACGTAATTTCGTAAATATAACAAGAACTTTAGGTTAATTTCACTATATTACGAGTATAAATATTAATTTTATTTAATAAAATAACAATAGTGCCTGATGGTAACAGTATTAATATGACTACGAGTGTCAATTAAAAGTATTAAGTTTGTATTAGGTTGTGATGTTATTTTTGTCCCGATATGGGAAAGTTCAGCACATACAGGTATTTAGAGGTAAGGCTAAAAGATAAAAGATAATTTATAGAAATTAGTAGAAATATGTAATTAAAATAAAGTTGGAATATTGGTATATTGAAAATTTATAATTAACTAGCCTTATTTTAGAAATGATACAGTTATTTATTCAATTTTATTTAATTATTATTCAAATTACCATATTTCTTGTTTAATGGACTATTTAAGTAACTTTACGACTTCAATTAATCATTTGATTAGAAAATAAACAAGGTGTAATTAAAAAAAAAGTATTTAAGTCAGGTATTATGTACAGAGCTTTAAAATTGTGTCTTGTTGATGAGCTTTTAATAAGAAAAGCATTGTCTAAATTAAGACTGTTTTAAATTGTTTACTTACTTATTTTGTAAATTTTTTCAACCTGGAAGTATTTAAGTTACTTAAATTTTACCATAATTTCTTACTATTTATGGGCAAAGTTATTTGCTGTCATTTTATAGTTTATAATATTTTTGTCATATAATAGTATGTTATTCAAAGTTTTTGTTTCTTGTTAAACTACAGTCACACAGAATTACAGGTGAAAAATAAGATTCATGTTTGGGCTATAACATGCAGTTAATTTTATCCTAATTTAACATGATTTTTTTTAAGTAGCATTTAGATAAAGTGACATCATTTACACAACAATCTTTGCTGGTTAACATCCTTATAAGGGGGCATAGATGGAATGCAATAGTAAATTAATATATTAATGCATAGTTCTGATCGACAACACATCTTCAGTTTGTTAAAAATTATTATTAATAACAACAAATTAGGGGAAATGTCCAATGTAAGGAAAATTAAAAAGTGGTTTTCTTCGACTCTTTTAATTAAAATTAAAATTAAAATTTACAATAATGATTACAATGGTTTACTTAAGTGTAATAAATACAATTGCCGGACATTACCACAGTTTCATTAAATAATTTTTAATTGACAATATTAAATTATATATATAATATATAAATTGAAATAACTGATAAAAAATGGCGGAAGAAAGCTTCTTGAGTGGCAGCACCTACTGGCCATTCCAGTGTAGGACAATCTTACACTAGATGGAGTGACTACCTGTGCAAATGTGCAGGAAGTCGATAAATGCAGGTGGTTCAGAATAGTGCTTTGTAGCAGTCTGTGGGTGAGATCGGGTGATGATGATGACGATGATGAACCAGTATACCACCTGTAGTCTAAAATAAAGTGGGTAATCTGTTACCAAGGTGGTAGTGTGGCAACCTAGTCTCTGTACTTTGGGCTACAGAAAAATGAAACTTGACTTCACCATATAAGTTGTGAGTTTGGCCAAAACTAGAGAGAGATCTGGATATTGCCTTCTATGTATTGTATATCTTGTTGTTAAAATTATTAAATAATCTTTTTAGTCTCTTATTTAGTGGTTTTTATCATCAATTAAATTTATTTTTATTCTTCTTTCAGTTAAAAGATAATACCTCAACACCACATATCAGCACCAGAAGTATTTCTTTAAAGCAACCCAGGAGGTTGAAGAAAGTTTTTATCCTGCTCATTGTATTAGTATTATGTGCCACATATTTTATGGGTAAGTTCATTAAAGTGTTTTACTAAACTTTTAGTATTCAAAATGGTGCTATTATTTTAACATCTATCATAGGTGTACTTACAAATGAGTTTTTTTTTTGGCATAAGTAAAGCTTTGTGTGTTTGTGGTACAAAAACTTTGTTAAATTCAAATTGTATAACTACAACTATGTATTGCTCTTGTAACTTGTGACCATGAAATGATAAGCAAACAAAGCAAATATAAAAAATATAGAAGCATTTGAAAACATTCGTATTTCAAGGGAAGAATGTTATTTATTAAAGGATAATTGGTATTTGATTTACCTTTGTACATTTTATGTAAATATGTTTGTAAAAGGCATTATATGCTTAAAAAATATACATTGTAGGTAGCTGATTGAGCAACTTTAATAGCTTAATGGTTACTTCTTTTTTTGTCTTATCTTCTTTTTCATACGGGCATACCGAGATTTTTTGTGATAATTGTATTCACCTCCACAGTTTGCAGAATTTTGGGTCGTAAGAAGGTTTTTGCTAATGCGTAATAATTATTGAGATATTGGCTGAGGTATATCCAAACTTTTCGTCATAATTAAGTACACATTATCGCAGCTTTGCCTTTATTGTTTGTTCTATGTGCACTTCTTTGTGTTATTTTATATAAATTGAATATCAAGTATGTTTAATTAAATTAAAGTAGCTTTCAATATTAATAATTTGAAATTACTCTATAATATCTTTATACAGCATCTTTATACTTATATAAGAAGATGTTTTTATAGAAGGAAGTGTGGACAGGAAGAGTCTATTCATCTAGAATCAGGAGAATCTATTCATATTTTAAATGCAATTATTCTACTAATATCATTGAATCTATTATTTGGTTTGTTTTTAATTCTGAAAAAATGACTAATCATTTCTTTTTGTTCTGTGTTTGTGAATCAAATACCAAAAACATATAATTCAATCATAATCTTTTTTACAACTGTATAGTCAACATAAATTATTTATCCATTAAAGTTTCAATGTTTGTTAAGTAGTTTTCTATGTATGCATATTAATTACATAAATGGATTTTTAATCTGGTCTATTTTGGTGAGTGTCTCATTAATCATAGACATGAGATAGGAATATTCAACCAAATTATTGATAAACACTACCATAAGGGCCCCAATTGTCAAAGGGGTCTCGAAATGCTGGTATATTCTCTTACACTACACAGTATTTTTTTACTTGTTAGGTAAATATCACCCGATAAAAACCCCCTTCTCTATCATTCGGGGGTGAGGGAATGTAGAATTGAATTAAGGCATTAATAACCTGTGTAAACGTTGCAAATTATCAACTACACATTAATCGACCGTTTATAAATGTGGCTCACTTGAGGAAGGGGAGGGATTATTCACAGGGGGAAGGGGTGTTCCGAACCCGCCGTGGGTCTCCGGCAAACTATACACGTACAGTTACAACATAAAAGAATATTTAGAAGACATGTGAAGTCTGCCAATCCGCAGTGGAGTCGCGTGATGCACTATGTCCCGTTACCCTCTGTACAGATGCCTTTGCCCAGCAGTGGGACATGTATAGGTTGATACTTTATTTTAACAACAACGTACATACACCCGTGTCGCGGTTTTCATCGCTTACAGCAAACGAATAAAATCAATAACGAACCTAGAAGGCCCTTACCATTTCTTTTTATCAATTCGGTAATATTTTTATTTCCGTTACCTCAGAACTCCGTTGACGAACCGATATTAGTACCGTCGTTCCATACTTATTTGATAGGTATTGAACCTTGGACTTCGGAGATTCATTAGGGAACACCATCAGAATCGGAAATCAAAAAAGCAATGTATAATGAAAGACATATTTGAAGTCGTTATAGTTTTTTGCTACTTTTCAGTGCACCTTTCAATTTACTAATATCTTGTGGACACGGTTCACTAATATCTTCTGTGAGGATCGAAGTCGTCGAAAATTCTCTTTCTCCGCGAGTCTGGTATATCATAGGAAACAACAATAAACCGAGATACCGTTCGTAGCGTTGCTTCAGTAGTTTATGGCGTTGAACGTTTGCACCAACTCGTCCGTGGAAGTACCTCAGGCTCACAATAGACCAGTGTGGAAGTAGAAAAGCCATGGGTGGCGGCAATCACCCCATGTCAGCCGAACTCACCGTTCTTTCCCGTTCTTAAAATAAATACCATAGTCTGTTTGTAATATCACAGTTAAGTAGTTTTAAGGTTTTGTCTTGAAGTTTCATACCTTGCCTTGTTGTCGAAAAATCTATGGCCAACCATATGAAATGTTGTGTTGTTTTTGGATACATTTCGATGTGGGTTCAAAATTATACCAATGTGGATTTTAAATTATTTCAAATGGTATTGTTAGACGTTGTCTATAATAAGCTATAAACTCCAAAAACTAATATTCGATTATACTCGTAGCTACAAGTAGTTATATGTTTATTAAAAAGACTTCGCTCCAATAGAGCATGTTTCTATTTCATTATTGAGGTTTGAATTAAGTCTTGTGAGAAATGAATATGGAACAATATCTCTTACTGACTAGAGTTTATTTTTCCGTGTATTTAATATGAGCATTAGGGCGCCGTCACATTTGAGTAACCCTTATAATTAATCGTGTTTTAAGTCTTGCAATCTTATTAAGGTTGATTAATTTCTTTTAATTTAATTTAATTAATTAATTTTTTTAATAATTAATTAAAATTTAATAAGTAATTAAATTTTTAATAATTTTTCTTTTAATTAATTTCTTTTAATTAATTTCTTATTAATTTTATTAATCTTATTATCTTGCTTCTTGTCGATATAACCTATAAGGTCATTAGTAAAACTTTTTGCTTTCAACCTTATACGTTACGAATTTACGAATATACTTGAATAACCAGTATCGACAACGAATCACATTCGGAATACTAAGGTCGCTACTTCATAAAAAGTCTGGCATGCAAGAACAGATCCTTTACGAATGATGAACGAACGATTCCTGTTGATTTTCAGCGATTCTGATAGCGAGTATCCTCAATAAAATGGTTCGCAAAAACAAGCCAATTGCGAGTCGGACTCGCGTGCGAAAGGTTCCGTACCATAATCTATAAAAACTGCAAAAAAAGTCTGTTGTATGGGAGCCCCACTCAATATTTTTTTTATTTTGTTATAGCGGCAACAGAAATACGTAATTTCTGAAAAATTTCAACTGTCTAACTATTACGGTTCATGTTAAAGCGCCTGCGTCTTTCGCCCAGGCAATGTTTTCGAGTGTTCGATTAAGTTAATTTTAATCCTCCTTATGTTTTATTATTTACCCTCGTTGTCATTCGTTTTTAATATATAGTAAGAATCGTCCGAAGTTAACTAGTTGCTAGTATGATATACAGCCTGATGAAAGACCGCCAGACACACACACAGACAGACAGAGTCTTCGTAATTTACGCTGATATTCTTTGCCGTGCTACTTCTTCGGTAGAGCCGGTCTGATCAAGCAGCTAGTTACTGTGAGCTTTCTACAAAGAATTACGTCTGTTCACTCGTAGATCTCTTCCCTCGAGATAACGCGTGGTCCAGGGCCAGAGAGTGCCGTTTCTCCTCCCGCATATTACAATTATAATGTGCAATTGTAATGTGTTATGACTCCAGTAGGTAGCTTGTTCGATTGTGACGCGAGATACCTTGTAAGCGGAGAGACGTGTTGTCGGCAAACAGATCACGTCTTCGTCATTCGTCGCACGTGTCAGACATTATCTATGCCGTTTGTGAATATAAATAATAGTTTACAAGGGAAAAGTGTGCCATTGTAAAAACAACTGTTTCATGACAAAATAAAGTATAAGCGATGGACCTGCTTTGCCTCGTCTTATTCATCCGAATTCGAAAAAGGAGGAGGTGAATTCGACTGTATTTTTTTTTGTTTGTTACCTCGGAACTTTCGTCTTTGATGATTCTTTTTTTTTATTTGAAGGCTGGTGTTTCCCACGTGGTTCCATATTAATTTCATTGGTATTGGATTTTGGTCTCCGGAGATACTTTGGGTACTCCTGATAATCAATTATAAAATGAATACAGGGCGAGATATTTGAAGTCGTTTTTGTTTTTCGTTAATAAAAAAATAGACTTGAGTTAAATTTGGATGTTTTGTGTGTATTGTTATAACCGACAACATGGGAAAATCTATTCATAGTAAAGAGCATGAGCTCATACTAAAAGACTTTTCTGAAGGCTAGATTTAAAATAAAAAAAAAATGTAAATAATTAGTGAATACATGAGTAATAAATTAAATTATTATTAATTGTGTAATGAATTGATCGCTTCCAGGCTTAGTGATTATTTTTTTGCCAGATCGTCAATGTACCAATTATAAAATGAATACAGAGCGAGATATTTGAAGTCGGTTTTGTTTTTCGTTACTAAAAAATTAGACTTGTTTTTACACAATGTGTGGGCAGTACCGCAGTGGATAGTGCGAAAAAGTTTTTTTTGGACTTGTTTTGGTAAATGTATAAACCTTTTTTTTACTCACCACCTGATTTTAAGTGATAACCGCACCACACTCTTTGAATTGATCATTCTGATCATTAAGAAGAAAATTCCGGACAATTCAGAGAGTTTAACCACTCAAATGACATTTGAAAAGCCTTTTGACAGCTGATTAGTTGACATCTACGATGATCGGTGTTTAAGAATCCGGGCGTAAGTGTAGTACTTCCACTTCACGCCGGTCTTCTGTGAGGTAGAAGACCGTTGCATGATCCTACCACAGGGAATATGTTGGCACAGTTTAAGGGGCCATCTAAAATAGTATCTCGGGAAAGATTTTAAGGGTAACTGAATTAACAAAAGTGTGTATAGGTCTTTTATGGTTCGCATAATTTTATTTTTATCACTTGTGTGTATCAGCCCTTAGGCTCTCTGATTGTGTGTTTGATATTTAATTTATACTACACGCACTTTTCCACGAAACTCGGTTAGTTTATAGTTTTCAATAACATGAACGGATCGTTTTTCAAATAATAATATTTGTCAAGAACAGAAATGGGTAGTTACATGATCCACGTTTCAATTTTCCACACTCTTTTCGTCGGTGAGTGAATGTCTCTCTAAATGTCCTAAAGCTATCGTTATAAACATGTGTTAAGTAATTTTTTCATACACGTATGGGTCTCATGTCTGCCTATTTGTCTTTATAAATATTTTAAGAATGAGGCCTAATTGGAATATCACCAGACCTTACTTAATCGGCCACCAGTTAGTAGGCAGTGTCGGAGTATGACTGATGATGTTTGATGACTCCGTGGTGCAGTTGCCAAGGTATTGGCTTCGGCGTCGGGGGTCGTGGGTTCGATTCCCACACGGGACAACTATTTGTGTGACCCACAGATAGTTGTTTCGCATCTGGGTGTTTTTCCGCGTGAAATTTATGTTTGTAAAACGTCCTTTACAACACAGGATAATATTATCCTAAAGTAAGGGCAGTGTTTTTAAAAAATAAAAAAAAAAAAAAAATAAAAGAAAAGAGAAAAAAAAATAAAGTATCCAAGATTAGCAATTGCTACGGGCCCCGCGCGAAAGGGGTCCCGCACAATTAAATCCACTCATCTCCGTCTGAGCGTAATTTTTTGAGTGAAACTTATTAAGTAAACAATAGTTTCTCGACCAGTCGAAGCCTCAAACATCGATGAGACAGAAAGCGAATACGTCGCCTTATCTATATTAATACGGGAAGCAAAAATTTTATACCTACCCCTTTTTACGAAAATTGCGTGTGGACGGAGCGACGGAGCGAGGAGTATGAATTTCGCAACTTATAGTTTATATAGAGGAGTGCAGAATGCTATTATTTTTTTTAAATGCATAAAAATACATTAAATCAATAAAAAAACATTACACACACTACCCATGTATTTAATTATGGTTGAAATTCGACCACTATGTGACCGCTAGTTAATATAATCGAACTAAAACTAATTACGTCCGCCGTGGTCAATTTCTTTTTCAATGCAGCCCTCTGTTAATTGGAATATCAGCTATTGGTTCCGATAATGATTTCACGGTGAAAATCAATCTGCCCGATTCGTAAAATAATTAGTTGCATGCAACTCGTTCAACTGACATGAACTAATTATGCTTTATGTTTGTCCAGTGGTACGCATTAGTATCTAAACATTTAGTGGCCGTTTTAAAGATAACACATGAATGTCGTCCGATAAAGAGTTAACGAGTTATTTCAATATCGTCTAAAAATATTTTTTGTGTTGAACGTTGAATATCTGATTTTGTAATAAAGAAAATAAGGGCCTGAACTCACTCGGAAGGGTAACAACATGTTACTTGTTTCTTCGTTCGAAATTAACTGTTTTATTTTTAACGCAAGACTTATGGTTTCTTACGAATTGAACGCACAGACATACCATACAGCATCGCTTAAATTTAACTGGCGGTTTAAACTATTGATGGATTGCGAACGTGTCCCACATATTTCCCTGAACGGTCCGTTAGTACATCTAAAAGGACACTTTATAAACTGACCGAATTTGCCTTAAACCGATTGGCAGTGTCATCTGTCGATTGACTATGATAATATATGTGCTACTTCTGGATGTTGCATAGGGACGTGGTATTGCTGCACGTGGCAATATGACACGATACTCAGATTTTATAATGAAAGTAATTACAGAATAGATAACGGCCTCCTCGTCATTATTGCTTGTTTAACTATTTAATGATTAATTCATTTAAACACTGACATAATCTGAACCCGGCACGTTACTAAGTGATTAGTCAGTTCAATTGCAACACCAGTCGTGATGTCAAGCTGTTTAGATACTGACGAAGATCAACAAACAATATGAGACCTATAAACAACGTTGGCATCTTCACACATTCGCTACTTGTAAGCATCAACGCGTCCGAAGCGCGCGCCGTTCGAGTCTACGAGAAACGCGGGAAATGCCACAGACAAAATAAAACGTTTCGTTAAATAGTTTCGCGCGCTTTTAAAAAAAATACTAACCAGCCATGCATATAAGCGGTATGTACTCCGTCGTGGCGTATTGCATGAAATTGTTCGTTCAAGGCTTGTTCGCGGGGCAGACACAGTTGTTCGATGGGATAGCGAAGAGTCTAGGCTACGAGAGCGTGTACCACTACGCGGTGATCATCGACGCGGGCTCCTCGGGGTCTAGGGTGCTGGCGTACAAGTTTAGAGTGCCGTTCACAGGTATGTTTTTAACATTTATAACATGACTTTATTCGACTTTTACCTTGGTAGGGCCACGCAACAGCCTGTAGTACTGTAGTCTGGGGGGTACCACTGCCTCACGGAAGACCTCCGTGAATTGGTAGTGTAACACTTTTCGTCTGGCCAGTGGGGCAAACGGGGTGCACATTTTTAAAGGTTGTCAACGCCTTCGGCAAGCGATCGGGCGTTGTCGATGTACTGTGGTGGTAGTTATTTAACATCAGGCGAACCACCGCTTGAAAACGTTTCACATTAAAAATAAAACTTTTATGTTTTGGCTTTTGTCTGTAGACTATTCCATCCCACATCCATATACATGATATTGATGTTACCTACGAGGTTGTGTATGGACAGTGACTCCGATGGCCGTTGACTGCATTAATGATTACCTTGTGTTCGCGTTGTGATGGTTTCGCCTTGCCCGTAGGTGAGGAAGAAATTGGTTATGTGATCTAGCTCCTACCTCGGTGGTACCGACGTAGGAGCTTCAACTATTTGGGAATGTAAGCATGAGATTGTAGGTAATTAATATATTGTAAATCCGCTGAGTTTCTTTCGCCGGTCCTTCTCAGGTCATTTGGTTTTTCTTCTCCGAACCAGTACTAGTATTTTGATTACCAATAAATGAATGTAATGCTTCTATGTTGAATAAAGATTTTTGAATATGATTTGAATTCTTAGACAGTCATCACCTCCCCTTATAATTTTCGCAGCACCATGCGTCCAATCATCCGATTGATTTGACAACCTTTAACATGGAGGCTCTTTACTATTCTAGCTCTTCGGATGACACGCGTTAGTATAAATGCTTTCGTTCCGAGCCGTGTGTTTACAAGCATGCCACGGTAGATAACTAATGGAGGAATGTTCAACAAAGGGAACAATTCGCCACATGTCTTTCTGTCCGATAACAATGCGAAGCGAGAGTGGACAGGCTTGTATTTTCTTAACAAAACAACTATATGTTTAGTTTGTATTCTACTAAATACACTTGCCAAAGCGTTGGATGGCCATGCATTAAAAAAATAAAATTAGCCTTTATTACTACTACGATTTTTTACTTAAGGTTATTATAATAATTATGTAATATATTTAGGTGTGTATGCATTTTTACTGATGGACTATGGTTATTATTTTTTATACATGCGTTTTCAATATGGTAGGGCCAACTTCGCCTGTTGCAGGAATGGGCAGACTTGCCGGGGAAGTGACACAGTCTCACAGAAAACTGCTGTGATGCGAAAGTATCTTTTTTATTTTTATTTTCTTAAAACATTTCCCTTAATTTCGGATAACATAATGTTGCAAGGACGTTTTACATGTATAAATTTCACATGAACAAACACCGCAAAAACTATCTGTGGGTCACACAAATAGTTTTCCCGTTAGGGAATCGAAGCCACGACCCCTGACGCCGAAGCTCAATACTTGGCGACTGCGGCACGGAGTCATCAAGTCAGTATAACTATGGCGTATAGTCTGGCGAGTGAGGTAACCGGAGTCCACTTTTTTGATGTTGGCAAGTATCTGCAAACCTTCAGGTGTTGAAGATGTCCATGGGTAGCGGAATTCAGTTAACATCAGGTGAACCGTCTACTCGTTTTTCAGCTTTTAACATAAAAAAATAAATGGATTCTTTTCTGTACTAAAGCTGTTTACTTCTAGCGATACAAAACAATTTTACATTTTTATTACAGTTTTACAGTTGCCACGGTCGTAAAGAATGCACATAACGTGTTATTGCTTCTTGTGTTTTAGTATTCAGCCAACCTAATTTGGATTTAGTGGAGGAATATTTCGAGCAGTCCAAACCTGGGCTGTCTTCGTACGCAGACGATCCAGAAAAGGTAATAACCGTTGCTATATTTGTTAGGTTTATACGCTAGTGAGATAAAGGTTTGTCTGTCTGTCTATCCGTCCGTCCAGGAACCGTGATAGTTGGACAGTTGAAATTTTCACAGATGATTTTGCCGCTACAACAGTACTAAAAACAATAAAAAAATATTTAAGTGGGGCTCCCATACAATAGAAATAATTTTTTGCCGTGTTTATAGATAATCCTTACTATAAAGGCGAAAGTTCGTATGAATGGATGGATGTTTGTTACTCTTTCACGCAAATACTACTGAATGGATTTTAATTAAACTTTACAATAATATAGCTTATACATCAGAATAACACATGGGCTACAATTTATATAAATATTATTATGTATATATCTGTCTTTCTGTCTGAAATGTTACGCCTTCAGCCTACTTTACGCAGACGTAGTCGCGGGCAGCAGCTAGTACAATATAAACTTCTTGCTACAAATTTTTAAAGTTTTTTATAGTGGTAATCTCTGCACTTAAGATTGAACATTAAAACATGTAGAAAAAGTACTCAGTGGCTAGAGCGTCAGGCCGCGAATGCCGAAGACGTGGGTTCGATTCCCACAGCGGCGACAATCTTTTCGTACTTTTTCTACATGTTTTAATGTTCAATGTCAAGTGCAGAGATTAGCAATATAAAAAACTTTAAAAATTTTTAAAAAGCAATGGCGACATCTCTCATTCGAATTATCGTTGTAAAACGATATTCAAAATTGTTTGTATGCTGGAAAGGATACAACAATAGATGCGCCAAGCATTGCTTCAAATGCTAAATAACAATGTAGAAAGAAGGCGTTAAAATTTTCGTCGTTGTGGCTATCAGCCGTTTAGGTCAGTGGCTAGAGCGACAGGCCGCGAATGCCGAAGACGTGGGTTCGATTCCCATAGCTGCGACAATCTTTTCGTACTTTTTCTACATGTTTTAATGTTCTTGCTACAAATTTTAACTACACATTTAAGCTACACGAACGTACAGTAAGGGCTATGTAAAAAAAAGAAAAAAAGAAAGACATCACGGCTCCAACCAAAGTGTCCAGACTAAAATAACTCCACGACCAGGGCGCCGACACCATAGTGCAGTTGATAAAGAAGGCCGAATTCCTCACCCCGTTGGAGAAGAGGAGGGCCACGCCTCTGATAGTGCGCGCCACCGCCGGTCTACGTCTCCTGCCCAAGGAGAAAGCGCAGCAGCTCCTGGACTACGTCGCTAGAGCGATCGCCCCGTGAGTGGTTCCAGAATGTTCAAGACAGCGGTAGAACTCTGCGGCGATTGACTCCCTCGAATAGTTCTTTTTTTATGTGAAAAAGTGGCATACGAGCTGGCGGCTCACCTGATGTTGAGTGATAACCGCCGCCCACGGACATCTGCATTGCCCTTATGGTTGCAAATGCCGGCGCGTTTGAATAAAGTGGGCCCCGGCTACCTCACTCACCAGACGGAAACGCAGAAGTGTAACACTTCTACTTTACTCCGGACTTCCGTGGTACTTACTCGGACGGACCTGCCCATTCGTGCAAAGGACACAAAGATTAGAAAGAGTTTATTTCTTAAAACATGGTAAAATATAGTAGTTACAAGTTGTAACGTTTCTTATAATCTACCATTTCTGGTGAATAAATATTACATTCATATTTATATACGCTAAGAAAACATAATTCAGGAAACCTTTTTACGAATTTTGCGTCATTTAGATAAACAACTCTCAAATGATTGCTTAAGATGTTCTGCGATAAATAAGCATTCACTGCGATTGGCAATCTCATTAGTACCGGATGCGTAATAGGAACGGGATTGAGGGGCATCCATAGTGGGGGCCTCAAACCCATGGGTTCTGGCTAGCCCATCGGAGAAGCCCACCCAATTCTGCGTTCGGTGAAGCTTTAATAGTCTCGGGATTGAAAGCGTTAACATCAGTTAATACAAATGCAAACATTGTGTTTATCGACGGGCAAAATTTTTATTTTGTTATATCGTAACATTACAAAAATGTCATAAGTTGTAAGATATATAGAGTTTTCGATGAGTGGAAGTACTGACCAAAGACTGTATTATTACGCACCTCCTTCTTTTTTTTTTTAAATAAAAACATTGCTCTTACTTTAGGATAACATTATCCTGTGTTGTAAGGACGTTTTATAAACATAAACTTTACGCGGACAAACACCCAGATGCGAAACAACTATCTGTGGGTCACATAAACAGCTGTCCCGTGTGGGAATCGAGCCCACGGCCCCCGACGCCGAAGCCAATACCTTGGCAACTGCGCCACGGAGCCATCAAAGACAACGTAACCTTTTTTAAATGCGAGAAGGTGGCAAACGTGCTTGTGAAAGTGAAGCCTTACTGTACACTGTCTCGTTTCGAAGTCATGGGCTTCCTTTCTATGTTTGGAGTGTCTTGCCCTATGGGATTCAATGACCTCCGCTTATTTCAGCCTGGGCTACGACGTGGGCCCGCATAGCGTGGAGATCATGGACGGTTCCGACGAGGGGATATTCATCTGGTACACGGTGAATCTATTGCACAGTAAGTCAGAGCGACTCAGATATTTTAAATGCCTTTATTTGTACCGATTTGGTTGGAAAATTTCATTAGTGCTTATAAATTTGTGTTGTCGTTATCATGAAACGGTTACAGGGCATATTCCACGGATTGGCGGATTTCACATATCTTCGAAATGTTTTGTTATTGTGAAGAATGAAGGCTACTAAATAATACAGGGTGGATTTTTTTAAGGTGTCCAAATTTACACAGGAGGTTCAGATTCGATAGTATAATCGTTTATTGAAATAAAAACACACTTTTTTTTTTTCAAAAAATTACCATTCCATTCCCTAAAAAACAGAACTTGTTGACAATGCGGTAGTGATTCATAAATGCGTCGTACTTTTGAAACGAACTTGTGTGCGTGTTAGTTATGAATGATCGCGCGTACAATAAATGAGTTGTCCATAAATCACGCACATTTGGAGATAAGTTCAAATTAATGTAATTAATTAATTACGAGTGATTTTAAATATTTATCATTTTTTATGTCTATAATTTAATCAAAAAATGGATACACTTAGAAATGCCTCCCTGTATAAAATTCCTATAGAAGCTATGGTTCATATATTTTTTTACGACAAAAGGGGGCAAACGAGTAGGAGGCTTTTCTGATGGTTAATGATCACCGCCGCCCATGAACAAATGCAACACCGGAGGGCTGGCAAATGCCTTGCCGGAAAGAAGTTAGTTACGACCTGGGATCCAAGAGGAGCCCATACCTCTTGGATCCCAGGTCGTAACGGCTCGGAAAGACCGCCGGCTGCAGCTGGTTCCACAGAGTGGTACGTGGCAGGGAAAGCCTGGAAAATCGAGCTGGTGTGGTGGGTATTCTAATGACGCGTCGCACGTTCCAGGCACCACTACTGAGCTATCACTGCTACGTGTGACGTAGCCGTGATAGGTAAGTGTCCGGGCGCTCGCCTTTAATATACTCGAGCAACCTGAGTTCGATTCTCCGTGCCGGCACCAATGAAATTGTTAATTTCAAGTGCCGAATTATGACGTGATCAACGGTGAAGGAACACATCGTGAGGAAACCTGCATATTTTCGAAATAATAACAAATAAATTTTTTTCGAACATATGTGAAGTCCGCGTGGTCGACTATGCCCAAATACCCTCTGTACAGATGAGGCCTTTGCCCAGCAGTGGGACATGTATAGGCCGTTACTTTACTTTATATATTTTTATGATCATTGGCAAGTGGCGTTAGAGGCGTGTTAATGCAGTATAAAATCCCTATAGAAGCGTCGCACTTTCCAGGCCTGATGAACGACGAGACAATGGCGGCGCTGGACCTGGGCGGCGGCTCGACGCAGATCACGTACCAGCTGAGCGACAGCGAGGCGGCCGACTTCCCGCCGGAGGACCGCCACGTGGTGCCCGCCGGCAGGAACGTCACGCTGTACACGCACAGGTGCGAGCGGGACGGCGCTACGCGGCGGGAGCGGGACGCGCTATCTCGCCCTCCGCTAGCTGTCTGACGCCGGGATCGCGTCTGAATAGATATGACAGGAGTGTGCGAGAGGGACGGCATGATTCATGAGATGTAGTGGAAGCGAGACGTGCTATGTTATTTTCGGCTAGTTGTGCGGACGCTTCGGGCGAGACGTACTCGTGCGAGAGACGCCGTGATCGCGTCTGAATAGATATAACAGGAGTGTGCGAGAGGGACGGCATGATGCGTGCGAGGTAGTGGAAGCGGGACGTGCTACGTTATTTTCGGCTAGTTGTGCGGACGTTTCGGGCAAGGACGTACTCGTGCGAGAGACGCCCTGCGTGCCTGAATGGATATAAGTGACAGGAGTGTGCGAGAGAGACGGCATGATGCGTTCGAAGTAGTGGAATCGAGACGTGCTATGTTATTTTCAGCTTAATGTGCGGAGTTGCTTCGAACAACTCGTGCTCGTAAGAGGGACGCACTGATGATATTAATGCAGTGAACCTTTAATCATGGGAAAGGGACGGCATTATAAGTAAGAGACAGTGGAAGCGAGACGTGTTATATTAAGTTCAGCTAATTGGTCAGTGCTGCTTCGCTCAACTCGTACTCGTGCGAGAGGGACGCCTTGATGGGGTCTAAACTAAAAATTCGCGTGTGGGGACGGCATGATGCGTGAGAGACAGTGGAAGCGAAACGTTCTGTACAATGTTTAGTCTAGTTGATGCGTACGAAATATATTAGAATTAGATTAGTCAAAAGATTTGTTATGAGAACATTAACTTTATTCTATATATCAATGACGACAGACGTAAGTTTTAAAATGGTGTATGAATCTTTAATTTTGACGAAGAATTATGGAAGTTATGGCGCACAGTCTTCTAGAAGTGATATATATATAAGATATAGACTCGATATAGACTCGGTGGCACCACTGAGGAATAGACTATAGTTATGGTAATAAGACTAATAAGGTTTTTAATTGCCACTATTTTCCCCTCAGTTATCTGAACCTTGGTCTACTGGCCGCCCGCTACGGCATCTTCCGCATGGAGGCGGCCGACAACGGCACCAGCGAGCTGGTCTCCGTCTGCGTGGACCCAATAGTCCAGCGCGAGCCCTGGACCTACGGGAACCAGCAGTACCGCGTGAGGTAGGCGTTGAGTTCCAGTCTCGAGCTGGTCGGCTCGGGCCGCACCAAACGGCGGGGGGCCGATGAAAGAAAAATGGAGTTTAATAGTTTAATAGGTTGTCGTGACTACAGAACACAGGTTCGATTTCGGGCAGTGATCACATTTCATCTTTATTTTGAGTGCAGAAAAGTTATATTTAAAAAATAATCATAACGAACACGTGCCCAAAGCTGTGTATGCTTAGATTTTATTTAAATAGATCAATTTGTTCAAAGTCAAAAGTATTTCCCAATATTTATAAGTCCTAAATTACACGCTATACAGCGTGTCGTTACCATCGCGACAATAAATGAACACACTTCTAACGCTACTTGCCAATAATCATAAAAAAATATTAAGGTTAAACAAAATTCATAATTAAAAAAAAATATTTTTCACACAAACAAATTAAGTAAAAAAGAAACAAAATTTGTAACATCCTATATAACTAGCGCCATAGCGTCGCATTACAAGCCTCTCCTTCTAACAGTATGTTTTGTCTCTTTTAAATTCATTCAACCCATTCAAATGCTTTGTGACCTTTACAAATGAACTTTACGTTACGTTTTTTATAGGTAAGGGTGTTCTAAAATTCTTTGTTTTGGAAAATTTAATAACTCTGTAAATATTGATGTTTAAAGAATTTAAATGTTTAATGCAACTTTAAAAAGTTATCCCCCTATATGTGTGTTCATTTATTATCGCGATGGTAACGACACGCTGTATATAGCGCCGTGGCGAGATACCATCTTACCACCAGTGTATGATTAAAAAAAGTATTGTAGATGGCGCGGCGGTGCTCTACATCAGGCCGCCAGTTGGCCTCAAATAAAAAAAAAGTGTGACTCGTTCTCCAGCGGAGCTCCGCGGCCGGAGGGCATGAAGCGCGAGGCGGCCTACGAGAGGTGCCACGAGGTGGTGCGCCGCTACGCGCTACGCACGCTGCGCCGCGGCCCGCCGCGCCCGCCGCGCGCCAACGTAGCCGCCATGAGCTACTTCTACGACGTAGCGGCCGACGCCGGCCTCATCGGTGAGGCCTCGCCCGACGTGATCGCCCTGCCTACCCGTTTTTTTCGATTTCAGAGCCTATTAGAAAACTGTTAGGATCATGTTAACTTAGAGGCTAAGTTTATATGAGTGCCGTACCCGAATAAGCAAAAATAGGAGAATTATGTGGGTTCGATTGCCGCACGAGGCAACAATTTGCTGCATATTTTCGAAATAATAATAAATAAAATTATTTCGAAGACATAATATGAAGTCCGCCAACCGCAGTGGGGTCGCGTGGTGGTCTATGCCGTGGTGCCCTCTTTACGAGGCCTTCGGCCAGCAGTGGGAGCATTAGTAGTCTGTCACGTGCCTTATTTCAGACGTGATGCGCGGCGGCACCGTGTCGGCGGCGCAGTACCGCGCGGCGGCGGTGCGCGCCTGCTCGGCCGCCAACGTGGAGCAGCCCTGGGCGTGCGTCGACCTCGCCTTCGTCACCGCGCTGCTGCGCGACGCCTACGCCATCGGCGACCACGACGCCGTCTCGGTGGGTGCTCCGTCCCTCTCGCTCTCTGCCGTTACGTCTGTCTCCTCTCCCTTTCTAATTTTACCACTTCGCCGTCTCGGTGGGTGCCCCGTCCCCCTCGCTCTCTGCCGTGGCGTCTGTCTCCTCTCCCTTTCTAATTTTACCACTTCGCCGTCTCGGTGGGTGCCCCGTCCCCCTCGCTCTCTGCCGTGGCGTCTGTCTCCTCTCCCTTTCTAATTTTACCACTTCGCCGTCTCGGTGGGTGCCCCGTCCCCCTCGCTCTCTGCCGTGGCGTCTGTCTCCTCTCCCTTTCTAATTTTACCACTTCGCCGTCTCGGTGGGTGCCCCGTCCCCCTCGCTCTCTGCTGTGGCGTCTGTCTCCTCTCCCTTTCTAATTTTACCACGGCGCCGATCTCCTATTTTTCGACCACGACGCCGTCTCGGTGGCTGCCTAGTCCAGTCCCGATTCGCCGTCACCGCACCGGTAACTTCGACGCCGTCCATGTGCCTCCACTGTTGCACCTATCTTCTCTCTCTTTCGACTACGCCATCGGTGACTACGACGCCGTCTCTTTTCCTCCGCCCCTACGCCGATCTCTCTTTCTTTCGACTATGCTATCGGTGACCACGACGCCGTCTCGGTAATTTCTCCATCCCCTCCCTCCACCGCTGTATCACCTCTCTCTTTTTCTTTCGACTACGCCATCGGCGACATATCTAGCTTTCAAATATTTCGGAACACACTTGATGCGTTGAGCATTGCTTAAAATACAATAGAAACAAAGCACATTAGTACGTTGAGATTTTAGTGGGTATTAAGATAAGCCGTTTAACTGAGTGACCAGATCGTCTAGCGCGTATCCCGGAGACATCATGTTCAAATCCTCGCAGCAGCCAAAAACTTCGTCCATTTTTCTATAAATTTTTAAATAACATAAATTTTTAGAAGTGTGGGTCGCAGTAAGGCAATTCTTTAGTATGGAAGCGACAGGATGAAGCGAAGAGAAAGGAAGAAATATTATATACGTCACTTACACACTATTGTCCACAATACAAAGAAGGAAGCAAGATAGTTCAGAGCAGAAGGAAAAGCACAAACAGTGTTCTTAAAAATATTAACACAGCTGGTTTACGAAATAGCCGGAGAGCGTTGGAGCGTTATAGACTGCGCGTCGCATATGCGGATAGCAGATAACAGATTTGTGAGATGCGCGGTCGCAGCCGATCGACGGCCGAGCCACCGAATGACGTCACACAGACCGGGTCTTTGTTTACCATAGGCTAAGCGCGCCGCGGTGTGAAATAATATATATAATAAATTTAAGTGTGCCTTGTTGTATGTTTGTATGAATAATATTTGTTTAAGTTGTTGTTAAATTATAATATATATGTGTGTATGTGTGTATGTGTGAATGTGTGTAATATGGTATGAGTGAGTGGTATGTAAGGAAGTCCCCACAGAAGATATGTGAAGTCCCCTTATCCGCAGCAGGCCTTTGCCCAGCTGTGGGACATATATAGGCCGTTACTTTATTTTACTAATAAATTTTTAGTTTATAAAAAAACATGTAATCTCTCGCTTTGCAGCTGTTCAAGAAGGTGCACGGCCACGAGGTGTCCTGGGCGCTGGGGCTGGCCTACACCACGGTCATGAACAGGATTACCACCGCGGCCGCTTAAACAACCCCTCGCCCTTTGCACCAAACGATAGATTAATCGTCCGTAGACGTCTTTCGATGTATAATCTCCTGGTACTTTCGAGCGGATGAACAGCTAAGTCTTTAAAAATTTCCGCGCACGGTAGAGAATGATGGCCCTATAAAGTAAGTTGGTCAACGTCTTTCAACTTATGCTCTCCTGGTACTTTCGAGCGGACGAACAGCTATATCGTATAAATTCACGCACGAGGAAACGTCATGAAGTATTTTTCTATGTGAATGGACCTTAAAACTCCTAATTGACTACGAAACGAAACTCCTTGTATCACAGGCTCTCCTGATACAAGACTCGACAACTTCGACTGCAAATAGACCAACCTCTTATTGATTTTGGTCTCCTGGTACTTTTTATCTTGAGACGCTCGATACTAGAATTCTAGAAAACTGTTTTATTTTGGTCATTTTTCATTCTAGAAGACATAATGTTGATGAATTTCTATGGACATGTGTTATTTCCATAGGTATAGAAAGTTTCATATATAAAATATGGTTTTTATTGTAATATACATATAGGAGAGAATGTTGTTGTTCTGCAACAAAAGGTCCCAAACACATTTCGTGTTTTTATTATAATATTTTTCCATCCGTGTGATATTTTTGTTTAGGAACGTGATTTTTATTATTTATTGGACAATTTTATTTTCTTTCGTATTGAAATGTCTTTTCTATTTATATGATTAATATTAAATATGGGACTTTAATTCGGTTCGCTGACCTTCGACACTGTATACAATTATTGTAGTAATTATTTTATATTAAATAATCTCAATATACCTCATGATAATTCGTATTAACTGATTTAATAGAAAAGTTGCTTATGTATTTAAATTTTATACAATTCATATATAAGAAACTATGATATTTTAGCACAATTTTAAATAAATTATTTATGGTATTGTGCATATAATATGGCAGCATATTGAAAGCCAATAGTTGCTTTTTTAACTAAATATTAATAATACTTTTCATTTGCATAATCTCTTATATTTTGACTATTTATGAATGTGATTGAACACTTATTTATTATATTCAATCTGGCATTATATTTTTTTTGTTTTAAACAAATAATGACACTTATACTATGAATAATATTTGGTTGTGATTATTGTTAAAATAAATTCAGCTTCAGTCTGTTCAATAGATTAAAAACTGAACATGTAATGTTTTGTTGCATTTTGTGCATTTTTATAATATACAGTTTATCGATTCATGAATTGACTGGACCACTTAATTCTACTATTTATGATTATATATATTTATGTACAGATTATATTTTGTTGTCAATATTCTTTATTTTGTCTCGATAATTAAATGATTGAAATGTGAATTTGGTCATATCTTAATAGTAATATTCCTCGAATGTGAGAAGATGACGAGATATTTTTGAACATTTCTGTACTGTAAATGAAAATTTTGTTTACATTACACAATTAGTTATATTTATTATTATATCGTGCATTGGATAAACAATGGATTTGAACTCACTTTCCACTGGCAATTAATAAAAATTATGATATTAGTATCATTTTGCAACTTTACAGCATGAGGAATAATAAGAAAAGAACCCTTTTCAAGTTCAAGTCTTGCTCTACTTTTATAAATACATCCATGGTTTTGAACATATTATAATTATATTTTAGAAACACACGAGAATTTATTAATGCCGAAACAATAGGAGCACTCTAAAATTTTAATCAAAATCTTCCGATGTAGGCAAAATGAAGATGACTTGATTACCATTGTAACATTGTCATCTTTTTCGTGTCCAAAATTGTATGAATTTTCAAATTTTGGAATATATTTTTTGGCGTTCTTAGAATTGGACCCCTTCAAATTCATTATAATAAAGAGCAGTTATATGTTCTTGTACTTGGTGAAATTGGTGGACGTAGCGTTTTATAAAAATAAAAGACAAATGACAACTTTGTCGTGTCGTGTTTTCGCGCCAAATTAATGTTAGGTTAGTTAGCTAATGTTACTCGAACACTTTGCAATTCTAAATTATCGGTGCAGGATGAATTTGTGTAGCCCTTACAGTATCTGTCGCACTTATTTTAAAAATTTATTGCAAATGTATTTTATGTGTACGGCTGATGGATGGTTAAACGTAATTTTATTGTACGGATAAGCTCGTCTTGTAATATCAAATGTCACCCAATATTTTTATGTGAATATTATTGTATTGTATTGTACTATATAGTAATCTATCAGATTTTTGACACATTATATTCGAAGGTTTTTTTGTAACAGCTTCCTTTGCACTGAGACATTGTAAAATTTTCAAATGGTTTAAAGTAATCGGTGTTACGTGTAAATTGTACAAAAATTTAATAAATGTTGGTAAATAAATTTGTTTTTTTTTTGTTCCCTTATGTCCTAATGGCCGAATCAGACCTTATCCCGGAAGGTCAATATTTTCTTTCAGAAATCAGAGTGGAGCCTCCACGGATATCAGGCATTGTCTCGCAATGCCACGATCAATAGTCGAGCACGCAATAAGCAAATTTACCGGGTATCATGGCCCTACAGTGCCCCCGTCCAAAAGATTTTTTTTTATTTTTTTTTTTTTTACCTAGAATAAATAAATAATTTAGGGACATATTTTTACACAACGTTCTCTTGTCCCAAACTAAGCAACGCTTGTACTATTATATGGGTACTAGATAACTGATAAACATACTTAAATGTACTTTATTTTGTAGACAAATGTACATGGATTACACGATTATACATCCCGGAAATCGCCTACACTGCAACCACCCAGCTACAACATTCCACATTACATTCTCAAGGGATTGCTTATTCCGTGCTACGCGCCGTCGCCCGTAATCCCACGGATACGAAGTGGTTGCGCATAGATGATACACTTATATAGAGACACATATATTGCGCAACACAGGTGTTGGACACCGGAACCGTCCGAAGCATTGCAGCGAATGTCACTCTTGTCTCACACTTCGAGCGACCGTCACCTCACTTAGAAATAGAACTTGTAATTTTTTTTTTATGTAATAAATAAGTATTTTTAAATTTAAATTTGCATTTTTTTGCATCCTCCGGCCGTAGCCTTCGTAATTATCTTAGGGACTTAGATACGCCGGACCCACCGCCGGGGGTCCCGCCGGATAACACTACACCCACAGTTAGTGCAATTACAAACACAATAGTTCGCCCTCGCCTCCGAGCACGGCGAGACCAACACAACGCGTACACAAGGTACACCCGCGTTCCAGGGCGGTTCTCACCGCCCGCAGCCACCGATTAGCTAAAAACACAGTCGACGGCCATCGGGGTCTCGGTCCGCACCGCAACTTCGATGGCCCTTAGATGACATGTCGTAGTTAAACGCACGCATGAGCACATGCGCAGCCCTACCCACATCGGAGGGCCCAAACCCGTGGGTTCTGGCTAGCCCACCGGTTCTGCGTCAGATGAAGCTTTAATAGTCTCGGGACTGAAAGCAAAAACATCAGTTAATACAAGATACAAGAGTTATCTCAAAAACTATGGACATAAGAAAAAAAGTACAAATAAAAGTTGTGGAGAATAGATTGATCTTTAAAAATGGATAGAACATTTTATAGATTAATACAACATTATAAGAGTTCTCGGCCGAGATGGAAAAAACTGTTCGTGTAACGAGCCGTAAATCGTAAGCAGTACCTAAGTTTTACAAATAAGTTTATGGTAAACAAAAGATGCGAAATTTGATTCTCTACAATAATGGTTACTATGAATTTTGCCCAAAGTGCAGTTTACGTGAAATCGGTCATTTCAAAATATATTTTTTTCAAGACTGCGTGTGAAGCTCCACAGGAGTCTGTCACCATTTTATGATTTTATACTCAGTGATTGATCCTAAACTGATATAAAACTGATCTGAAATAAATTGTATCGGTAATTTAGTGTGAAATTGATAAAAAAAATAAAAAAAGCCAATAGTTACTGGCATATGACAGATTTCTATTTTCATTTAATAATAAGAAGTCCCATCCCGTGCCACTGTTTAAACCAATTCTCTGCTGACCTGCGTGTGGGACGTCCTTCAACAGACTTCTACATCTGAAGAACTTTTAACTGTTGTAGGGCCACGCAGCAGCCTCTGCTGTTGCACGAATGGGCAGGCTCGTCCGGGTAAGTACCACGACCTCGCAGAAGACCAGCGTAAAGTGGAAGTATAATACTTTCGCATTTCGTCTGGTGAGTGAGGTAGCCGGAGCCCAATTTTCAAAAAGTTGTCAACGCATCTGCAACTCTCGGGTGTAGCAGATGTCCATGGGTGGCGGTATTCACTTACCATCAGTTGAACCGTCTGCTCGTTTGGCAACTTTTCACATAAAAAAAGATTCCTTAATTATTCAGCTTATTGACGATATTTTTTATTTCGTTATTGTTTTTATTGCGATCAACTATTATCCACTTTTACTCAAAGTTATATACAATTTTAACTTGAAATTCTGAAAAACCGGTCAAGTGCTTGCGGGACTCGCGCAGGAAGGGATCCGTATTATTATGAAATATTTCATTTCTTTTACTTTACCTTTTACCTGAATAATCCTATCTTCAAGTCACTGCTTAATTTGTTTATCAACTTCCTCCTGCTTCTTTAATGAAATACTTCTGGTACGCTGTGCAACCGGTACCTCGTCTTTCAACATGATCTTCAACTTAATATTGCTTCTTTGTCTTGTTTTGGTCTATATGTATCCACTAGTTGCGTCACAGTTTCTTGAACATCAGAGGGCTTTATGTGATTGACAATATCATTAACACATGAAAAACAATTGACTAAAGTGAGAAATTATTAATAGCAAAGTTATTTCTTTGATATTAGCAATTTTTTAAACATTACCATTAGATCTGACGCGATCTGGCTGGTTATAAATGTTTGGGAATGAATTTAATATATTACAAAAAATTACTAAGACCAGCTTCGGACTATAACTTTAACATCTTGTTGTTGTTGTTTATATTTGGTGAGAAAGAAGAAATAAACAGTTTAACATTTCTGCATGCTTTATTTTGCAATATAGTTCTTCAAAGGTATGCAATGCGGAGTAGTTCGAATTTGCGGTAGGATTTTTTTTCAATTTGATCCAATACTAAAGCGCCGAACGTTTCAATAAAACTGATGTTTCAATAAAAATGTCTGGTAAAACCAGCTTCAGAGTATGACTTTAACATCTTCATGTTGTCGTTTATATTTGATGAGGAAGAAGAAAAAACCGTTGAAATTTTTACTTTTTATTTAAGAACCATTTAATTGTCACAATAAAAATTAACGTTACTCTAATGTACTCATTACAATAACATTGAGTCACTTCAGTCTCCTAATGTGATTATCGATTTAACTCTAAGCTTTGGTTAAGAATAAATGTTTTAGAAAATCTTACCGAGTTAACATTCTTTACAGTAATTCTAATCCGTAACATCATCGCTACATTGAGATTTCAATGGATTTATTTTAAAAATTAATATATCCGCATCAAGGTTTTGAATAGCGGGAGTGAAAAAGATGGTCATATATGTCTATTTCTTTTTCCTATTTTCTTCTCAACTTTATTTTAATTTATATCAAAGATTTTTAATGCGTATCTATAACTGACCTCTGAAATGTTTTCTTCTGCAATTTAAGTGAGTTTCATAATAAATCTGTTACTTGGTAGGGCTTGGCTGACCTAAAAAAGGAGGCCGTTTAATATTTAATGCATATTTTTTATAATCACTTATTTTATGCACCTGTTGTCAAAATAGTTCATTTTTAAATAATATTTATTGATCTTTCAAAGCCTTGTTGCGGATATTGTGAAAACTTTAAAGATTTTAATGAGGACCACAACTGTTAATTTTATATAACATTACATCCTTTTACTCTGACAGATAGCGTACATATATAATTAATATCGTACATATGCTAACAAACAAAGACAATAATTGTTAACTTGAAAGACATACGTACTTAGCTTACTTTCAATTAGAAAATTTCAAAGATTAAGATTATTAATCGAATTAAATATAAACATTATTACCTAAACCTTCTATTACCTTCGTACGGTGCTCAAGCAAAGTTTTTATTTATTATTGAGTAATGTAATGAATGTGCGTTTAAAACGTAAACTAGAATCAGTTGTCTGTAACTATCTACTCACAACAACTACTTGAAATACAATTGTATTATTGATAATTTCATACTTCTGTAGCACGACATTTTATTATTATCTACGAGTAATTTTTCATATGATAAAAGACGAACAATAAATATTGGTATAGTGAAACTGTAGGCTACAAATCTCATGTTTTCTCCAATCTATAGTTGATGCAAACCATTAATGGATGAACATAATACGTATACAATACAATACAATATCAGCCTATTGCCGTCCACTGCTGAACATAAGCCTCCCACAAGTACGCCAAGTATCCGTATACAATACGTATGTTATGAAATAAATAGAACTGCAATAATAAATGTTACAAACATAGAATACAGTAATTATCCAATATTTTGGATTTACATTTAAATTTGTAGGCATTATTAAAATAATCATAGATTTGACTACCAACTAACGTTTGATGTTGCTGAAAATGAGTTTAATTAAGGATTATTATTTGGGAGCAATCGAGATGGAATGTTGTTAGAATGACTTTTGTTACGTATGTAGATAAATTACAGCTTCTTGTACCAGAAGAGATAGTGTTCCCCGTCTTCAACAAGGAGGTCGTCGACTCCTGAAAATTGAACAAAAACAATGTTGCTTTGTTAAATAGAATGGACATTTTATATTCGATTGTACGTCTAACGATCTTAAGACTGACTGTAGTTAGCGCAGTTGCTAACCATTCGTCGCCAGGGTTCGTGGGTTCAATTCCCACAAGGGATAGTACTTGTGTGACTCGTATAATTGCTCTGTATCTGGGTGTTTTATTCCAAGGAGGGTTGACGTCAGGCAGACTAGCCACGACCATTAATTACATAATTCAAATGTTGTGCTAGCCCCACGTAGGTGGGATAAGCATGAGGAAGAAAGAAAAAGAGTGTGAAGATCTTAGGGAGCAGTGTGTAGCAGCAGTATGAACAATTGTCAACTTCCTCTGAAGTAACATGATCCAGCAATTATTGATAACTGAAGCTTATTAAAGTAAGTTCGTCCGTGCTGACGGTACTTTAATATGCAACAGTTATCAAACCACTTACAAGTACATGTGTACTAACAAGAAACAGAACCGAAATCAAATATCTCACTCGCTGTATGTTAGATTTTGAGGAGTTTTTGTTTTGTAGGTATCTCTGCATAGCCCAGTACCAATGGAATTGATATATAATAATAGAATTCATAAAGACGGTTTATGATGGAGTTAGGAAGAAGAAGAAGAAAGAAAAGGAGACGAGCTCTGAGGTAACAGTTAAAAACATTAAAATTAAACATTAAAAAGTATACAATGTAATTGAGAAATTCTTAATTTATTGAATTCGGTTGAAAAGTGATAGCACAGCAGTACTTTCATAACTAGTTCTACGTAGCACTGCTACTTCTCGTAGACCCTAGTTACTTCGTAGTCAAGTAAGTATAGTCGTCGTAGGCTGGACCGATTTTAATGAAATTTTTTGTGTGACTTCAGGTCGATTCGAGAATGTTTTTTTACAACTTATTTAAGTTATCGGATTTAAGTTGTGTGTACAGGACAAAGTCTGGACCGCTAGTCTTAATAAATAAAAATGAATGTTGGTAAGCGCATAACTCAAGAATGGCTCTACCAATTCGTCTAATTTATTTTTTGTATGTTCCTTAAGGTCCACGGAAGGTTTTAATACTATAAAAATAATTTTTAACAAAAAGAAACCGACTTCAAACAGGAAACTTAAAACATTGTCAACACCTATATATAACATTTGATGATTGCCCGCGATTTCTCTGGGATGTCGTCATCAGATCCGGGTTTCCTTATCATGGTACCACCCTTGGGATATTTCCTTCCCAACAAATCATCATTAAAATCGGATCATAAACGACCAAGTTATCCGCGAACACACATAAAAATGATATATATACGGTCGGTCGAATTGAGAAACCTCCTTCTTTTTGGAAGTCGGTTAAAAACCTCCTTCTTTTTGAAGGTCGGTTAAAAAGGCCAGCTAGTATATTTATATATATATATTTAAATCAGGCGTGGAACTGACCGACTGGCGCTACGAGCTGGTTGCCGGGCGGCGTGGCCGGGTCGGGCACCTCCGGGAGCCGGTACAGCAGCCAGTAGTGGTAGCCCATCGGCTCCTCCTTGTGGCCGGCGAGCGTGTGCACGTAGTGGCCGTTCGGCCACTCGCTCGCCTCGAACCTGAACTTCGGCTCCTGCTCGGCGGCCATTTGCATCACGTGGTAGAACGACACGTTCCTGCAATCGCGCGGGCGCCAAATCGGCGGTGTGCTTTTCAACACGCTACATCAGCTTCGCATGTACGTTTGTTTGTGTGTTAGTAGAGATTCAAATGTGATTTCACAGCGTCGAATTGAATTGATAACGGGTTAATAGTGCGTGGAGTCCTGCAGTGGGAGGAAGTGAAGGTTCGAGTGTCACGCCTGAAGGAGCGTTGAACGTTTAACGCACCAGTGCTTTCACACCCCGTCCATGGTAGCTAAACGTTTAACGAAACCTTGTTGGAAATCGCATTAGAAATAACACTTCAAAAATAATTTTCAATAAATTTAAAATGTGAATAGTGTGATGAAAAAAAATATATTTAATCAAATATGTATTTAAATATATACTTAATTTTTTGTAAATATCGCGGGAAAATGTTTTAAATAAGATATTTTTATAATAACTTGCTTTTCCAATAAAATATTTATAACCATTGACCTTAAGGGGACTTTTTTTAACTGTTATTTATTTTAAAACTGATTTCTTTCCGCATGATGGCAAGCAGCCATTTTAAGGAAATCTTTTCATTACGTTCACACGTAGTTGGAAGTTTCTGTTTTTTTCTATTAGTTTAACATGACATGATCTCCATAGTGGAGATCAAGTTCACAAACCCAAACTGAGTGTTCGGTTTGTGTTACTTATAATTATGTTTTACTTTATCTTTACATCGACGCAACCATGTATAGTCAGTTAGTGTTATTTATATAATTTTATCTTTACCTCGGCGCAACCATGTACAGGGTGTAGTTTTCGGTGACGTTGGTTCCCAGCCAAAGTGTGTACGTGAATGAGACGTTTCGCGCGTCGGAGTCATTGTGGTTGTGGCCCGATTGGTAGGCCACTTTCAAGCTGCCGTCGCCACCGTTGCTGTCTGCAAGTTCGAGATTGTGTTATGTTAAAGCAAAATGCGTTCCGTGATGCTGTATCTCGCAACGCCTTAGTTGCTTTAAGAAGAATAACATCAACTAAATCTCTACTTCATATAAAACAAAGTCGTACCGCTGTCTGTCTGTCCCTATGTATGCTTAGATCTTTAAAACTACGCAAAGGATCTTGATGCGGTTTTCTTTACTAGATAGAGTGATTCAAGAGGAAGGTTTATATGTATAATTCATTGCACCCGTGCGATGTACTATACGTCGGGGCGGATCGCTAGTCCTAACTGTAATAGGGCCACGCAGCAGTGTTGAATGGGCAAGCCAGTTCAGGGATGTACACCGACAGCACAGAAGACCGACTCGAAGTGGAAGTGTTATACTCCTGCGTTTCATCTGGGGAGGGGGGCCCACTTTACTGGCGTTGCTGATGTCCATAGTCGACGTTAATCAAATACAAGTTCAAATAAAAATTCTAGATGTAATATATCTTTTTTAAAATTTCTAGATATAATGTATATTGATATTTTTAATTTCATATGTGTTCATTTAGATAATAACATGACCTTTTCAGATAGTATGACTATAAATAGTAAAGTAACAGCCTATACATGTCCCACTGCTGGGCAAAGGCCTCCTCTACACAGAGGGTATCAGGGCATAGTCCACCACGCGGCCCCACTGCGGATTGGTGGACTTCACATATCTTCGAAATATTTTTTTTTATTATTTCGAAAATATGCACCTGCATATTTTCGAAATAATAGGGATCGAACTCAGGTTTCTCGAGTATATTGAATTAAAGGCAAGCGCCCGGACACTGAGCTATCACGGCTCTAAATACGACTATAAATAAGTGTATTAAAAATTAAAATTCCAAAAAAGTCTAAATCCCTTTCTCGCGTGGACTTCCACATAAGGATATCGGAACGGGAACCAGCTCACCCAGCGGCTCGTGGCGGCTGTCTAGCAGCTTGTCGCTGCAGTGCGGGGGCCGGACCGCGGCGAGCGAGGCGGGCGTGAGCGCCGCGACCGCCGCGGCGGTCTCCGCCACGCCGCCCCAGCCGCCGTCGGGGCCCTGCCGCTCCAGCAGCCACTTCCTGGCGGCCGGCAGGCTCCAGTGCTGGTGGGCGGCGGGCCCGCTGTCCGAGTCCTCCAAGGCCTGGCGTGACGCGCGTATGATTAGTTCGAAGCCGCTTTTAGTAACTATTGCGTAGACGGTAAACATACGGCGAGAGAAAAGGACGTTTTTTTTTTATTTTTTTTAAACTTCATGCACAAAATGGACATAGGTGGACTTAATGCTGACAGCTTATTTCAGAAGTCAACCTTGGGGTGGCACTGACAAGTTGATGTGGGTGCACGAACATATAAAAAAATTGTACCAAATTAAACATAAATATAGAAATATTACAAGTGATATGCAAATCTCAAATATAATATAGTACATGATAAAATAATATGCTACATTACTATAATTTACTTTTTATTTTTCTTAAAAATAGCTTCTTATATATATTTCGTGCATCGATTAATCAAGTTAAAGAAAGGTACAGTGAGGGAGGGTTGACGTCAGGCAGGAGGCCGGTCGTAAAAAACATGGCCAAAACCGCTTACAACATGATTCTTATGCTAAAAAAAACCACGTTGCACCTGCGCTGTCGCTTTGCCGGGGACACGGGAACACGAAAACGCAATCTTCCGCGAACCCCGGCGCGACTTTGGCCTTCTCAGGCCTTCTCCCCGGGTGCTTAGACACCCGATCCAGCCAAATGGTGCCGTGTCGGTGCAATGAGCACGGCACCCCTCTCAAGCCCTCCGCGGGGCAGCAGTTAATGATTCACATGCTGTGCCAACCCCACTTAAGTGGGATAAGGGTGGGAGATGATGATGACCTGTATGGCGAGCGCCGTGGTGGTGAGAGAGCCGAAGCTGCCGTCGGGGTGCTGCTGTCGGGCCAGGCCGGCCATCGGGCGGCGCACGAAGTGTATCAAGCTGCGGTGCCGGTGGTCTTGCACGACGCAGCGCAGAGCCAGGATCACCATGGATATCGTATCTGTAAACAAAATTAAAACGTGACATAACTTTTTAATTTTATTTTCGAGATGAAGCCGAGATGCGAGCCGTGATGCCCGGAATAGCTCAGTGTCTGGGCGCTCGCCTTTAAGTCAATATACTCAAGCGACTTGACTATGGTATATATCAACGGTGGTAGGGCTACGCAGCAGTCTCGGCTGTCGCACGAATAGGCAGGCTCGTCCGTATCAGTACCACGAGCTCACAGAAGACCGGCGTAAAGTGGAAGAACTTTCGCGTTTCGTCTGATGAGCGAGGTGGCCGGAGCCCACTTCCCAAAAGGTTGTCAACGCATCCGCAACCCTCGGGCGTGGCAGATGTCCGTGGGCGGCGGTATTCACTTAACATCAGCCGAACCGTCTGACCGCCTGGCAAATTTGCACATTAGAAAAATGTAAAACGCGGCCTTATACCTAGACTGTGGTCCGCCGCGGCGTTCGCGATGTCCAGCAGGCGGCGTATGTGGCGGCGGCGCACGTGCGCGGCGGACGAGCACGCGGCGAGGGTGGCGTACGCGAACTCCAGGTCGTGGGGCGGCTCCCTGTGGAGCAGCGCGGCGACCAGGTCGCGGCCGTGGAACGAGCGCGGGTCCTTGCAGAGCGCACCCAAGGCTAGCGTGTACGCGGCCAGGCGGCCCAACGGCGGCGGCGACTCGTGGTGTCTGCGGAGGAAGCCACGCAAATCGTGCTAATCCTTTTTTTTTTATTCAAAGCTCGCTAGCACTTGACTGCCATCGCACCTGATGGTGGCGATGCAGCCACTTACAATCGTGATTATGATCCCGGGGTGATAATACGGGGTGATTACAGACAACGGTCATATTAGCGGAGCATATGCAGAATTTGATTGTAAATCTGAATTGTGTGTAGTACGTGCTTGTGACCTAATTTTTTTTGCTTAAAAGATCATTTTTAATTTTTTCAAACATTATGGACACCCTATTGGAAATTCCTGCCTTACCGTCTCAATAACCAAGCTTTCTCCCGTGATCTCTTTGTACCATTGCTGTTCGCTGTTTGATTTGTTGCATCTGTGTCAATTTGAGTTCAATGTCTTTACTCAAATTCTTAACTCAGTGGCCGACTGCAGACTGTAGGGTGACCACTCTTAACATAATAAACAAACAATGTTTGAATTTATGTTTTTCTGGTTATTTATTGTCAAAATAAAATATTAATATTTATTTTGAATTATGGATTGCTCAATTAACGTTATATCAAAGCATGTACTTCGTCTAAAAAATCACCCTGTATATCACCTTGCTTTTACATCGTTGTCGCGTCATTCGGGCGCTCGCTTTTAATTCAATGTACTCGAGCAACCTGAGCGATCCCCGGTGCCGGCGCCATTGAAATTGTTAATTTTAAGTGTTGACTTATCACGCGCTCAGCGGTGAGGGAAAACATCGTGAGGAAACCTGCATGTTTCCGAAATAATAACAAAAAAAAATCATGATGTGAAGTCCGCCAACCCGCAGTGGGGCCGCATGGTGGACTCTGACCCTCTATTCAGAGGAGGCCTTTGCCTCAATAATTCCCACAGTGCTCTCTGCCTATCTAAATCCACATAAAGTCGAGCTTTGAACGAAGAGCTGAATTTTTTGTGATGTCCAATCATTCAAGCAGACCAAGCCATCAAGCTTGTGATCAAGGACGAAAAAAAATTTAAATGGGCGACTTCCGTTTCACATACCCATATTGCGATACAGATAAGTCTACAGACACTGATAATTTCCACCCTTCTTTTATATAAAAATGTACAAAGGCTCACTCCTTCCTTGGGCACTCTTTTATCTTTATTTGGAAAACCGCCAATATTATCCCCATTTAAGAAAAAAATGCCGTTTAAAGATAATATTGAAGTTATGAAAACTCTGCGTTTTTGATAAGTTATTTCAAAAACAAACTAAAGTACGCGTTACTAACTAAAGTAGATGTTATAAACAAACTAAAGTTATGTTAGTATATCAGTTTAGCTTGTTTAGCGGAGACCTAATGTATACATACAATCTAGTTATATGTAGTGATTTTCTTTGAATTTCCCAGGAAGATACTACTTAAAACAGATAACGTTAAAGCTTTCGATCTGATTGACCATTGGATATCTCTGCGTAAACTACAAACATTTGATATTTGAGGATACATGTTCAGATGTTTTTTCACTTACATCCATAACAGGTTTCATGTTCTGCGATAGAAATAGACTATTCCTGAATACTGTGAAGTGCTATGTTTATTCGTTAACCCCCAAACCAAGTGTAAGACTAATATTTTATTGCAGTCTTACAAATTCAGAAGTAAAGAGAGCAATATCTAGGATGTAGGCATACATTTCGATTCTAAACAGCTATTTTACATACATAGATTATGTTGTTAATAAAGGATGACAAAAAAAAGGTTTTGTGTTGATTATAAGCTAATTTTAAAGATGCGCGTGTGCTCTAATGGCCAGTTTTTATACTCTACCTACAGATAGATTTGGTTACTGGAGTTAAACTTTCACATAAGTATTATGGAGCTAATGTCAAATACCTATCGCTAGTAACCAAATCTATCTTCAGATTGATTATTGAAAGACAGGAGTTTGTTATCCATCCTATGACATAAATGTCATGGAAAACTGTATTGTAAATTATTATGCTGAGGAAGTGGTAAACAACGTAACATCAGTTTTTATTGTAATGGCGGCGCGTGGGCTGAGTAATGTTGTGCGAAGGGTCACTCAGAATCTATGATAACGTTTTACCAAGTAAATCTATTAATAAAGTTTCAAGATATATTATTAAATAAAGCGAAGACGCTTTCTATAAACAGACCCTGTACCGCCTAATCAAGATCACGGTGTGGAACTATCGATACGTCGACATAGGTGTTAGTATTCAGAGTCCATTCAAAATAGGTCTAATTAATTCAATATACTCATCAAGTTACTAATGCAATATGTAAAATAATTATTTATTACCAAACCTGAAATATAGGTGATTATGTGTATTTATTGAAAATTATAATCGATGCAACAGATCCTACGGTTCAATACATCCTACCAAAAAATTATTTTCCTGCCCCGATCTTAACAAGAAATCGTGATATTGTGCATTTTCCACCAGAGTGGATCTAGATTTTTATTTGTAAATTTATTATCATTCAAACGCGTAAGCCTTCCTTCAGTAAAAGTAAAGTAAAGTAAAGTAATAGCCTATACATGTCCCACTGCTGGGCAAAGGCCTCCTCTAAAGAGAGGGTATCAGGGCATAGTCCACCACGCGGCCCCACTGCGGATTGGCGGATTTCACATATCGAAATATATTTTTGTGTTATTAGTTAGGAAATATGCAGGTTTCCTCAGGATGTGTTTCTTCACCGCGGGGCACGGGATAAGTCAACACTTAAAGTTAAAAACTTCATTGGTGCCGGCACCGGGGATCGAACTCAGGTTGCTCGAGTATATCGAATTAAAGGCGAGCGCCCGGACACTGAGCTATCACGGCTCTTTCCTTCAGTAAACCGTAAATTAAAAAAATAAGCATCTTTGTTGGAGCAATTTTTAAACGTACTCGTAAATTCTGTCCAGAAAACCTAGCTAAAGATTTATACATACAGATACCGAAAAGCAATCGACAAATACTCAATGATTATGATTTTGTATTGATTTAATTGTTAACTAAAGCACGTTTTCACGTGTACTCTGTAAAATAAAGCAAGTTAAAAATATTCATTTTTCAAACCCTTTCTTATATTTCCCTTTCATATTTTTCAGAATTCTTTTAAGGCAGTAGTATGCTTTTTGCGGAAATTAAACCCGCCAGACAATCTTTTTTTAAAATCTCAGCACTGGTAACTTGAATAGGTACGATACGGTAATACAAAACGCATATACTTAAAAGCATTGTTTTTCAGGAAATTGCACCTCTAAAAGATGTAACGAAAATATATTATATGATGCATATAAATGTAAATAAATAATAATTATTAATTTAGCCTCATGCAGGTCGGGACGATTTGACCACCAACAAAATATTTAATCATAATCCGAGGAACACGTGAATTTACTTGCGAAAAATTACCCTTATTTATCATAAGGGTGAAAATGAAATTGGTTAAAATAATCATACATGTAAATCATAAAGTTTATGCTAACGAATAACTACGGCCGATTCGAAGACCCCGATTGGCGCAGTGGGTAGTGACACTGCCTCTTGCGCCAGAGGGTGTAGGTTCGATCCCCATTTTTATAAAAATATTGTGTGATGAACATGTGTTTTTCAATGTCTGGGTGTTAATATTATATAATATGTATTTATTTAGAGAAGAAAAGTATGTTTATAAGTTATCTAGTACATAGCGTTGCTTTCTTTGGGAGGCGAAAACGTATGTATCCTGAAATATTTATTTATTTATTATAATTTATAATCTACTCACTTTGACATCATCAACAGTATTTCGATCTCCATCTGCTTGGCAGAGAGCTGCATTTCCAGGCCTTGCTGCTCTATTTCCTTGCCGGTGTTGTTAGCAAGCTGTAATAAAGGAGTCATTTGTCAAGAAATCGAAAGCCATCACTATTATGTGATCATATTTGAAAAAATTACAAAAATTATGACTCTTCTGACCCTAAAAAAGTAGACAGAAATCTACGTTTCAACAAACAAGCAATATCAATAGGATGCTTGATGCTTGAAATGCTTGGTGTAAACAACTCTTTGTAGGTTAATTAACTAAAATTTATTGCTGGTGTTGCTTTGATAATATTTACTTTTCATCTAATATTATATATACATATAATATAATATTTATTCATATACATATAATATTTGCAGAACAGACTGCTAAACTCCAGTTGTGGCCTCCTTATACAGGGCGGCTTTTCTAAAGGTGCCCAAATTCACACAGGAGTTTCAGACTCGGTAGTATCGTTTATTGAAATAAAAACTTTTTGTTTTTTCAAAAAAGCCATTCCATTCCCTTAAAAAACAGAACATGTTGATAATGTGGTAGTCATTCATAAATGCGTCGTATACTTTCGAAACGAACTTGTGTGCGTGTTAGTTATGAATGATCGCGCCTAAAATAAATGAGTTGCCCATAAATCGTGCACTTTTTGAGATAAGTTCAAATAAATGTATTTAATTAATAACGAGTGATTTTAAATATTTATCATTTTTAGAGGAAGAACCTGCTTCGTGGTCTTACCACAGACAACATTTTTTTATGTTATAAGGTGGCAAGCGATTTGGCGGTGCACCTGATGTTAATAAAGCGGACCCCAGCTACCTTTCTCACCAGACGAAACGCACAAGTATAACACTTGCACTTCACGCTGGTATTCTGTGTGCTCATTCGCGCAACCGTTAAATCTACCAGGATATCATACCTGTAAAGTGAGCATGACATGGTGAGTGTCATTCCCCCATCCCCAGTCGGGCTGACGGTGCTGAAGCAGGTACTGCAAGGCCTTCTGGATGGCCTGGCCCTCGTTCAGGGTCTCAGTCTCCCACGCAACGGTGGTAGTGACGGTGGTCGTGGTGGTGGACGGCGCTTTGCTTGTTAAAGTCGTCGGTGGTTCGGTTTCTGAAAACGAAATGGTGTCAGAAAGCGTATTAAATAATTTAAGAGACGGAACCTTTTATTTAAAGTCGTTATCAACTCACCGGTCTGCGCATGGGCGTGCGTTAGCAACAGGAGCTGGACGAGAAAGGCTGCGACACGTTCGTACATTTTGACTCTGCGAAAGAATACATCGGTAGTTATAATAAATTATGTTGAATAAAATAATGGTTGATCTGTTATATTTTAATTCACACTGAGAAATGGTACGTATGTGTACGCTTGATTTATATTTATACCGATATAATTATAAATAAATCACACTTCTTAAAAATATTATACTGTACAGATTGAATACGCCACACGGTCTGCAGTATCAGTAGGCGAGTACACTAAACTTTTTCGTGAAAAGTTATACCAGCATTTTAGTAAAATTAAAAACTATTGTTGCGAGCTAGGGGTTCAGAGTTTGAGTGAAACGCCGGTGTTCAAAACTTCATTTTTATTAATGACCAATGCGCGGTGGCCCTCTTGATACCACACAAGTCCTTCACTTTACTACAGGTTTTACAGCCCACTCACCAATTAAAATATGTATCTGTGAATTATTATAAAAAATAAAATCCTCTCTCCTAAACGGCTGGATCCTTTTCAATGAAATTTTTTCTTCACGTCGATTCGAGAATGGTTTAGATTCATAATTACTACATTTTGTTTTTATTTCTGAGTTGTCGAATTTAAGTCGTGTGTACAAGAAAACGTCTGTTGGGTCCAATAGTTAATAATAAACATAGTTAGTATCTTTGTATGCATTATGTCTTTTACTATGTGAGTGTTTCGTATTCACGTTTACTCAATACGAGTTATGTATTAAAGTACCAGGCGAACAGAAAGCCGGGCCGAGTTCAATCCATCAAGCGCCATATCAAACACGCATTGTTAAGCGCACCAGAATAGATTCCCTTTGTGGCTCACTCAGACTCCTCGGCATCGAGGTCTTAATAAAAGCGAAATGTAACTAAAGATCACTTTGACTTTTTAGAAAGTATTCATTCACGTCGCTGATTTTTGAAGGTTTGAAAGAAGATAAAATGTGTTAAGGCTTTGTTGAAATTTAAACTCTTTTGAGACTGATTTTGCCGCTTCGGAACTTTTTATCAAGGGAGTATTATATAATCAGGAATAGTTTTCATTATACACCCGGATTTTGTTTAATGGAGAAAAGGGGCAAACGAACAGGAGGCTCACCTGATGGTAAGTGATTAAAGCCGCCCATGGACACCTGCAACACCCGAGGGCTTACAAATGCGTAAATTTTTTTACAATATTTTCCATCCAAAGTTTCCGTGTAACATTCATGTCATTCGCCTTTGATCGCGAAAGAACCAATAGGGAAAAGAAAGAATAGGGTTCCGTATCCAAAGGGTAAAACGGGACCCTATTATTAAGCCACCGCTGTCTGTCCGTCTGTATGGACCGTGATAACTATCACAGTTGTGAAATTTTCACAGATGTATTTCTGTTGCCGCCATGACAACAAATATTAAAAAAAAAACAATTAATAAAAAATATTTAAGTCTGACAACAACAACAGACATGATTTTTTGCGTTTTTATAGATAATAGGACGGAACCCTTCGAGTCCGACTCGCAATTGGCCGGCTTTTTAAAAATGAAACATACAAATTTGTAAAGCGTAAAACCTGCGCTACGCCGTGCTACGGACGATGTCACAATTTTGCCATGTAACAAATTGCATCATATATTTTTGTACACTTGTAGAGAAGTGACTATCTTATAACATTCAACGCCTTTCTTGAAAGTTCACAAAGTATACACTGAAGTTCACTTCTGACTTATCAAATCCCGACACCTAGACACTACAGATGGTGACCCTGTTACTGCAAGCTGCAAGTGACCTACCTCATCATTCTTCAGTGTAATATCATTCATACCGCTACGGGCATTCGAAGTTCGAACTGTGGTTCTCGGATAGTTAAACGCAAGAGCCCTTACACTGAAGGATACATAACAGTAATTGAATTAATTCGATTAATTATTCCCCGTTAGTAAATATTCAGAAGTAAAACGCAGATTAAAAAGGGCGGGGATTCTTAATACAGTAATTGAGTTGATTCGATTAACTACTTCCCTCCAAAAATATTTAAAAGTAAAACACATCGCAGATTAAAAAACCGGCCAAGTGCGAGTCGGACTCGCGCACGAAGGGTTCTGTATCAACGGCAATCAACCAAACTGCAAAAAATAATATCTGTGGTATGGGAGCCCGACTTAAATTCTTTTTTATTCTGTTTTTCAGTTTTTGATGTTACAGCGGTGAAAATTTCAATTGTATAACCATCACGGTACGTGAGATACAACCTGGTGACCGACGAACAGAGAGACATACAGCGAAGTCTTAGTAACAGGGTCCCGTTTTACCCTTCGGGTACGGAACCCTAAAAGAGGCGGAGAGGTTTTCGGGCGGGATAAAATATTGTGTTGAAATTATGAGTTTTTATGGGAAGGCTAGTCGCCGCCGTAAACATTAAGGATACTTCAAAGGGGTAATCTGGGACCAACGAGGCGGCAGGTGTGCGTTAGGGCGTCGCGGCTTATTTTCCGTCTGCTGCACTAATTGAAGAGGCGTCAACGCAGTCGGCCGTGAGAGAGCCGTTTTGCCGTAAACCGCCCCGGTTTTACGCACACCGACCCGCCAAGATTACGCCCACACTCTAAATTGCTTGTATAATTAAATTTCTTTAATAAACTGCGGCCTTATTAATACGGCGCTGTTATTACTGCATTGAACGCGTCTAGGGGATTTTTCACGTTTTAATATCCAAAGGCGAGTTCGTTCTGTTTAAAATTTGTAGCGTTTATGTCTAGAGCTTATAAGATCTAAATTATTTGATATAATTTAGACGTAAAACGAAAAGCTCTGTGATAATGATAAATGTTCAAGCTTCAAGTTTACGTTAATTAATAATGTGACCATTGTCTTTAGATTAGAGTATGGTCATAAGATTATTAAATAAACCTTTACCGTATTTTATATTAACCAAAAGGACAGGTTTTCATAACAAATATTTTGGTTTACAAAAAATACAATGGAACAAATAACATAATAGACTGTAACTTTTTACATTCAGTTCAATTAATACCTTTGTGTTCGCGTGCTTTATGATGAACATATCGGCAGGTCTGTAGACTAAAAATGTTGTTCATTATTTACTTTTAAAATGGTAATTATTTTTGTTTATCTGTTGAATATTCACGTTCTTTACCAAACTTAATAAAACGTAAAAATGCCAGTTGCCGAATCATTCGCTGTCCACCGGGCACGATTAATGTAATACAGTAACACAGAGGTAATAAACGCTTGTAACATATCATCTCATAAACTGTGGTTGGGCCACGCAACAGTCTTCGCTGTTGCACGAATAGGCAGGTCGGCACGGGCAAGAACCACGACCTCGCAGAAGACCGGCGTAAAGTAGAAGTGTTACACTTCTGCGTTTCGTCTGGTGAGTGAGGTAGCCGGGGCCCACTTTATTAAAAGGTGGCGACGCTTTACTAAATTAGTTAAAGTACCAAGTCAAATTCAAAATGTAAATGTTCAATTTAACCTTGTTTTAGTCACATAAAATAATGTAGTAGGTATCGATTAACAAACGTCTACCTTCCTCGTGAAAATCATATTTTAATTATGTTTACAATTAAAAAAAATATTTCATATTCAAAAATATGAGCCGTGATAGCATCATCCGCACGCATGCTTTTTCATTCATTATACTGGAGCAACCTGGTTCAATTTCAGGTGGCGGCCAATTAAATTGTTAATTACAACTTTAAGTACTGATTTATCACGTGTTAGCCGGTGAAGGAAATCATCGTGAAGAGGCCTGCATAAATTTTCGAAATAATAAACGAAAAGATTTGGAAGATATGTGAATTGTACCAATCAGCAGTGGGGTAGCGATATGGACAATACTAATATCCTAGATACAAAGGATAATTTATTATTAATTGTTCCAATAAAATACCTATAAAATTTATAGTAGAAAACGCAGATCTGAGTTGTATGTTGAAAATTGTATTTTGAAAGGCACTTTGGTATAAAATTATTTTGACAAAAAGTCCACTTGAAAAAACGCAAATTTAATCACATTGTTCATGTTCCATCAAGTCTTTGTGTTTTTCTAAAAGGCGGGCAGACGACGAGGGCCTTCCAGTTCGGCGGTATTTCAATAAGAGATATTTCGTTTGAAAATATGTCGAGTATTTTCACTTAAATGACGAATTAAAGAGTCTGCTTTGAAATAAACGAACCCAACCTAATAAGGTTCTTTTGTATTTTTCCTTAATACCTCTTGGGATTTATTTTGTTAAGCCACCGTAATATTAAACGTATTACGTGACAAGAATTGCTTAGATAACGAAATTTTTGCTTCTTTTTAGTATAATGAACGTTATGAGAAATACATACAATATATAATATACCTGTATGTTATATTGTAAACTGATAGTTTTGAAAAAGAGCAACTGTTGAGTTTCTTGCCGGTCTCTTCTCAACAGAAACTGCTTTCCGAACCGGTGGTACCTTACGAACCTATACACATAATCTTTGATGTAAAATTTGACGATTCATAAGAGCGCGCAAGCGTCTATTTGAATAAATGTACTTTTGATTTTTTTGAATAAAGTGGCCTCGGCTATCTCACTCACCAGACGAAACGTAGAAGTATTGTACTTCCACTTCACGCCGGTCTTCTGTGAGGACGAGGTACTTACTCGGACCTGCCCATTCGTGCAACAGCCGATGCTGTTGCGTCACCCTTCCACAGTTATCGGAATGCTTTAAGCGTCTAAGATTACAACCGAGCAGAAAAATCGCTCGAAAAGACACCTCCTCCAATTCTCGTTTAAGCATATGTAAATATATTTATGGGCGCGGCGGGTTTTTGTATGCAAAATATACATTATGTCGCCCCTAGGGCGCGAGTTGGGGGTGTGAATTTTCATTTTTAGCGGCGTAGTGAACAATTTGTTATCATTCTTATACGCACATTCATGGAATACGTAATGTGGGGTAATGTCGCCATTGTAGCAAGAGCGCTTTATAAATGGTAATTAACGTTGTCACAATTTTGCAGTGTCTGTAATTATTTA